CATTCCTTGCACAGCTGTCAGCCTTTATCCATTCCTTGCACAGCTGTCAGCCTTTATCCATTCCTTGCACAGCTGTCAGCCTTTATCCATTCCTTACACAGCTGTCAGCCTTTATCCATTCCTTACACAGCTGTCAGCCTTTATCCATTCCTTACACAGCTGTCAGCCTTTATCCATTCCTTACACAGCTGTCAGCCTTTATCCATTGCTTACACAGCTGTCAGCCTTTATCCATTGCTTACACAGCTGTCAGCCTTTATCCATTCCTTGCACAGCTGTCAGCCTTTATCCATTCCTTACACAGCTGTCAGCCTTTATCCATTCCTTACACAGCTGTCAGCCTTTATCCATTCCTTACACAGCTGTCAGCCTTTATCCATTCCTTACACAGCTGTCAGCCTTTATCCATTGCTTACACAGCTGTCAGCCTTTATCCATTCCTTGCACAGCTGTCAGCCTTTATCCATTCCTTGCACAGCTGTCAGCCTTTATCCATTCCTTGCACAGCTGTCAGCCTTTATCCATTGCTTACACAGCTGTCAGCCTTTATCCATTGCTTACACAGCTGTCAGCCTTTATCCATTGCTTACACAGCTGTCAGCCTTTATCCATTCCTTACACAGCTGTCAGCCTTTATCCATTCCTTACACAGCTGTCAGCCTTTATCCATTCCTTGCACAGCTGTCAGCCTTTATCCATTCCTTGCACAGCTGTCAGCCTTTATCCATTCCTTGCACAGCTGTCAGCCTTTATCCATTCCTTACACAGCTGTCAGCCTTTATCCATTCCTTACACAGCTGTCAGCCTTTATCCATTCCTTACACAGCTGTCAGCCTTTATCCATTCCTTACACAGCTGTCAGCCTTTATCCATTCCTTACACAGCTGTCAGCCTTTATCCATTGCTTACACAGCTGTCAGCCTTTATCCATTGCTTACACAGCTGTCAGCCTTTATCCATTGCTTACACAGCTGTCAGCCTTTATCCATTGCTTACACAGCTGTCAGCCTTTATCCATTCCTTACACAGCTGTCAGCCTTTATCCATTCATTGCACAGCTGTCAGCCTTTATCCATTGCTTACACAGCTGTCAGCCTTTATCCATTCCTTACACAGCTGTCAGCCTTTATCCATTGCTTACACAGCTGTCAGCCTTTATCCATTCCTTACACAGCTGTCAGCCTTTATCCATTGCTTACACAGCTGTCAGCCTTTATCCATTGCTTACACAGCTGTCAGCCTTTATCCATTCCTTGCACAGCTGTCAGCCTTTATCCATTCCTTACACAGCTGTCAGCCTTTATCCATTCCTTACACAGCTGTCAGCCTTTATCCATTCCTTACACAGCTGTCAGCCTTTATCCATTCCTTACACAGCTGTCAGCCTTTATCCATTCCTTACACAGCTGTCAGCCTTTATCCATTCCTTACACAGCTGTCAGCCTTTATCCATTCCTTACACAGCTGTCAGCCTTTATCCATTCCTTACACAGCTGTCAGCCTTTATCCATTCCTTGCACAGCTGTCAGCCTTTATCCATTCCTTACACAGCTGTCAGCCTTTATCCATTCCTTACACAGCTGTCAGCCTTTATCCATTGCTTACACAGCTGTCAGCCTTTATCCATTCCTTACACAGCTGTCAGCCTTTATCCATTCCTTACACAGCTGTCAGCCTTTATCCATTGCTTACACAGCTGTCAGCCTTTATCCATTGCTTACACAGCTGTCAGCCTTTATCCATTCCTTACACAGCTGTCAGCCTTTATCCATTCCTTACACAGCTGTCAGCCTTTATCCATTCCTTACACAGCTGTCAGCCTTTATCCATTCCTTACACAGCTGTCAGCCTTTATCCATTCATTGCACAGCTGTCAGCCTTTATCCATTGCTTACACAGCTGTCAGCCTTTATCCATTCCTTACACAGCTGTCAGCCTTTATCCATTCCTTACACAGCTGTCAGCCTTTATCCATTCCTTACACAGCTGTCAGTCTTTATCCATTCCTTACACAGCTGTCAGCCTTTATCCATTCCTTACACAGCTTGCCAGACCCTGTTACCCCAAAACAAACACCATAAACTGTGGGCAGCAAGCTTCTAAAAACAAAACTGAGCATATAATTCCCCAGAAATAACCACATGAGTTTTGCGTGACCACTCCTGTGTGTCCCATCCATTGTAAACTAACACAGTGAGAACAATGGATAGCCAGTAGAATGAATGTAAGCTCACAGTTTCAATGGTTTCATCTTCACTTTCCTGTGATGGTCAGCACATTTTAAACACAGGTCTCCATTTTACATATTCTATGTTTTTTGAAGGCCTTAACTGTCGTTTCAAGGTTTTTCCAGGTTTCAAGGACCGTTATGAGGCATTTTTCTCTCTCTCCCTCTCTAGGTGTATGACATCAAATCAAACATTATATGTGACTTCATCAAATCAAACAAAAATGACATCAAATTGGATAACATGACATCAAATCAGAGAAATATGACATCAGATCGGATAATATGACATCAAATCAGACAAGACAAATGTCATCAAATCAGACATTTCTTATGTTGTTTCCAGCAACCAAGTTCACAGCAGCAGGTACCTGGCAAACAGAACTGGACATTTATGCTTTCATACATACAACAGATCTTGTGTCTCCATTGCTGTATTTGTGACACTGACATTTTACTTACACATAATATACCTATAATTCCACTGCTGTACCCAGGACGAACAAACAGTAAAAGTAAAAAGCTCTTATCCATTCTCGGTTGCAGAGTGCTGTTTTTAAAATAAAGACCTCAATGGATGTAACACTGGGGCATATTGAATGAATGTCAGATAAAAGAGAAGTAAAAACTGTATACACAAGGGAGATGAATAGTCGTAGACCTGGAGGCAGACCAAGAAGAATATGGAGAGATAATGTCCAGACGGACCTGCAAACACTTGGTCTCATCAACTGAAAATAGAAGGCCAACCAGAGAGATGAATGGAAGTGGGTAATGTCTGCAGCAACGAACCTCAAGGGCTCAGAATGCTAAAGAAGTAGAACAATGGAGGTAACAGATAGTCTCTATAAAACTGTCCAGGCTGTGTACTATGGAGAGGAGCTTGTATTAATGTGGGCAGGTCTTGCTAGACATAATCGCTATCGCCAGGATGGCACAATATAATATTATCATCTGGAAAGGTACACATTCCCATACTCCCACTGCTGTTATCTAATTAACCTAGCAATGAATACACACATGTTCTACATAGAAACTTCATGTTTTACACATACACACAACATATCTCATACTTCCACAGCTGTATCTAATTAACCTAGCAATGAATACACACATGTTCTACATAGAAACTTCATGTTTTACACATACACACAACATATCTCATACTTCCACAGCTGTATCTAATTAACCTAGCAATGAATACACACATGTTCTACATAGAAACTTCATGTTTTACACATACACACAACATATCTCATACTTCCACAGCTGTATCTAATTAACCTAGCAATGAATACACACATGTTCTACATAGAAACTTCATGTTTTACACATACACACAACATATCTCATACTTCCACAGTTGTATCTAATTAACCTCACAATGAATACACAATATTCTACACAGTAACTTCTGGTCTTAACACAGAACATATTCTGAACTACATATCTAATTTACCTAGCGATAAATACACACATAGTCTTTATTGTAACTTCTGGTCATACATACAATATATCGTATACTTCCACTGCTGTATCTAATTAACCTAGCAATGAAAGGCATATATTCTACACAGTAAAATATGGTCTTACACATACACACAACATATCCCATACTTCCACTGCTTTACTAATTAACCGTCTTACGCATACATACACAACATATCCTAAACTTCCACTCATCATCATCAAGTGCCTTGCCGACTGGCATGGGCGATTATGCCTCTCCACAATCTGCGATCTCCTGCAGCATGTATCAGTTCATGTTTTAACACCCCTCCATGCCAGGACAAAAGGCCATAAAGAATCTCCTCGCAATTTCTGTCTCTGTCTCTCTTTCCACAGATCTTTCCAGTGGTCCATTTTCCCTCTTCTCTTAGAATGACCAAAAAATGATGATGACTTTCTGATGTTTGTGATAAGTTGTCTCCGAGCACTCGCCTCTTTCAAAACATTTGAGTTGCTCATCTAAGCTGTCCAAGGAATTCTAAAGATCTTCTGAAGAAAAAAACCAGATCTCCAAAGCTTCAAGATATTGTTCGGCCTGTTTATTAATTGTCCAGGATTTGCAGTGGAATTGTTAAAACTGGCTCTATATAGCATACGAGAATTCTTTTCCTAACCTCCAATGACATGGGTTTATTGCACAAAATATTTTTCATTTGATAAAATGCAGTTTTGGTTTGTCCTTTTCTGTTCTTTATCTCTTTGATACAACTTCCATGTATACTTCCACTGCCATATCTAATTAACCTGTCTTACACATGCACTCACAACATATCCCAAACTTACACGGCTGTATCTAATAAACCTGTCTTACACATGCAAGCACAACATATCCCAAACTTACACGGCTGTATCTAATAAACCTAACAATGAACTCACATATTGTAATTTCTAGACTGCTGGTGCCAACATTTTTTTTTTAAACCCAGAAATTACTTGTCGCTAGATGCATAATAACATTTCTTCTTCTTAAAGTCCATGCCGTGTAGCGTTGGTAGTCATGTCTATCCACAACCTTCTATCTCGTGTACTTTCAATGACGTCAAACGGTCCAGTATCTTTTCTCTAAGTCTCTCTCCGCCTTTTTTCTTCCCTCCAACTTTCCTTCTGTCATGATGTACTCTGGTTTTTGCCTTCTCATCACATGACCAAAGAATGTGGATTGTCTCATACTAACATTTATCAAACAAAATTACTGCATTGTGTTGCATAAAATCAGGAATTAGACAGGTTCAGCTAACAAAAACATAATAAAATAAAGATATTCTCAGGACTTCTTCAGTTGCTTGATGCTCCGCTTGGTTCTAGTAGTTTTGAGCAAGTTATAGGCGGTGTAGGTACAGTGGTAGTTGGAGAAAAATGGAATGTAGAATGCTCGAAATAACCTGTGCGACCTGTGGTGGAATAAATTTAAAAAAATATAACATGAAGTTTGTCGTCAAATTATCATCATTGCACATCGAACCATTCAGTCCATAAGTGCTTGGATTCCCCTCCTTTGTAAATCACATAGTGTGTAGTGGCTTGGGACACCTGTTCTGTTGGTTTCTTATTCTTCTTTGGCTTCCTGCATAGTGCTCTAGTCTGGCCACACCACTTTTAACATGTTGTTCTTGCAGTCTGGTCATGCATGCATATTTGAGATTAGAGGTGAAACAGAAAGAGAAAATTACACCTACAATCAGTTTGACAAGCACAACAAAAACACCTGTATCTTTTCTTAAAGATGCATGCAGAAATGAATGGACAGAAAGATTCAACTACATTTATCGCATACAGTGCAACTCAAGTAGTTGGGCGTAACTGTCGGCCGATCGCGTGTATGATCGTAGTAATCAGTGGGTTAAACTGTCGAAACACATGGACAGCAACAGCTACAAGCATAGCATCTGTGGCTCAAGTGTTGCGAACATGCTTTGTAATTTCAAGGTGCCGGGTTCTATCTCAGCTGCAGGTGATTTGGCAGCAAACCATCTAGCATTAGTTTCAATTGTAGTATTGAGAGCTGACTGCTCAGAAAGCAATGGCAAACTAATGAATGTAAAATTTGAAGAAAGAAGATATAAACAACAGACTGCACAATTTACTGCCTGGCATATTTTGCTGTAACTCATTAGGGTCTAGTAGAATCACAAACAGCCTATAAATGCTAGAGTTTGAACATAAGACCTCAACAAACAGCTCAAACATAATACCTCCACACACAGCTCAAACATAAGACCTCAACAAACAGCTCAAACATAAGACCTCCACAAACAGCTCAAACATAAGACCTCAACAAACATAAGACCTCAACACACAGCAAACATAAGACCTCAACAAACAGCTCAAACATAAGACCTCAACAAACAGCTCAAACAGCAAACATAAGACCTCAGCAAACATAAGACCTCAACAAACAGCTCAAACATAATACCTCAACAAACAGCAAACATAAAACCTTAACAGCTCAAACATCAAACATAAGACCTCAGCAAACATAAGACCTCAGCAAACATAAGACCTCAACACACAGCTCAAACAGCAAACATAAGACCTCAACACACAGCTCAAACAGCAAACATAAGACCTCAACAACAACAAACATAAGACCTTAACAGCTCAAACAGCAAACATAAGACCTCAACAAACAGCAAACATAAGACCTCAACAAACAGCTCAAACATAAGACCTCAACAAACAGCAAACATAAGACCTCAACAAACAGCAAACATAAGACCTCAACACACAGCTCAAACAGCAAACATAAGACCTCAACAAACAGCAAACATAAGACCTCAACAAACAGCAAACATAAGACCTCAACAAACAGCAAACATAAGACCTCAGCAAACAGCAAACATAAGACCTCAACAAACATAAGACCTCAGCAAACATAAGACCTCAACAAACATAAGACCTCAACAAACAGCTCTACCAGCAAACATAAGATCTCAACACACAGCTCCTCCTTTGAAGTTGGAGTGCATCTGCCTAATAATCAAGGTACCATCAGTCTGCACACCAAATTAGCAAAATCTATAATTTAAAAAAATAACCACAGATGTACACGCAACATTCAAGTCTTGAAACAGGACTATAAAGCCTTGAAGTGAAAAAAAAACAAGTACCCCTACCCCCCCCCCCCCCCCCCACCCACCCCCCTTACCCCATCCCTGAGTTCCAGCTGGTAAACAAAAATAAATAGCTCAACATCAAACATAAGACTCTGACAAGTATAACTACAAGACCTGAACAAACATGACTCAACAACAGAAACAAGACCCCCAACAAATATGACTGACTCAACAACAGAAACAAGACCCCCAACAAACATGACTCAACAACAGAAACAAGACCCCCAACAAACATGACTCAACAACAGAAACAAGACCCCCAACAAACATGACTCAACAACAGAAACAAAACCCCAAACAAACATGACTCAACAACAGAAACAAGACCCCCAACAAACATGACTCAACAACAGAAACAAGACCCCCAAAAAACATGACTCAACAACAGAAACAAAACCTCCAACAAACATGACTCAACAACAGAAACAAGACCTCCAAGAAACATGACTCAACAACAGAAACAAGACCCCCAACAAATATGACTGACTCAACAACAGAAACAAGACCTCCAAGAAACATAACAACAGAAACAAGACCCCCCAAAAACATGACTCAGCAACAGAAACAAGACCCCCAACAAACATGACTCAACAACAGAAACAAGACCCCCAACAAACATGACTCAACAACAGAAACAAGACCCCCAACAAACATGACTCCACAACAGAAACAAAACAGCAAACAAACATGACTCAACAACAGAAACAAGACCTCCAAGAAACATGACTCAACAACAAAAACAAGACCCCCAACAAATATGACTGACTCAACAACAGAAACAAGACCCCCAACAAACATGACTCAACAACAGAAACAAGACCTCCAAGAAACATGACTCAACAACAGAAACAAGACCCCCAAGAAACATGACTCAACAACAGAAACAAGACCCCCAACAAACATGACTCAACAACAGAAACAAGACCCCCAACAAACATGACTCAACAACAGAAACAAAACCCCCAACAAACATGACTCAAAAACAGAAACAAGACCTCCAAGAAACATGACTCAACAACAGAAACAAGACCCCCAACAAATATGACTGACTCAACAACAGAAACAAGACCTCCAAGAAACATGACTCAGCAACAGAAACAAGACCCCCAACAAACATGACTCAACAACAGAAACAAGACCCCCAACAAACATGACTCAACAACAGAAACAAGACCCCCAACAAACATGACTCAACAACAGAAACAAAACCCCAAACAAACACGACTCAACAACAGAAACAAGACCTCCAAGAAACATCACTCAACAACAGAAACAAGACCTCCAAGAAACATGACTCAACAACAGAAACAAGACCCCCAACAAATATGAATGACTCAACAACAGAAACAAGACCCCCAACAAACATGACCCAACAACAGAAACAAGACCTTCAACAAACATGACTCATCGTCACCATGTGACTGAACACTGGCGCATAAAAGGCAACCAAAAAATTTTCTGACACCAATAAAAGTAAATTTTTTTTTTCTGTGTGATAAAGTTCTGCAAATTCAGTGGCCATTTGCCATTTTGCATAAAGATATTCTTTTACAGTATGACTGAACTGTCAAACTAAAAAGGCCACAAATATGATCAGTTTCCAAAATGCTCAACATGGGGAAAAAAATAAAAAACATTTGTGAAAATTTACTGTAAGCACTACCGAATTGTTTCCCTTAAATAAGCATAGAGATATGAATGAACTAACAGCTTCAACTATATTTATTGTAACAGTCGCAATTTTAACATGGCGGCGAGCATCCAAAGTTAGGATCAATGGGGGTGCGATCATGGTAGACAGGCGTAAATGTCAGTGGATCGCATAATGTGCATTCGTTGTAGTCAGTGGATTAAATATCACCCAAGTGTTGCGCTCCAGTGACAATCCCTTAAGATCCCTGTAAAAGCTGCACCTGTGAACAAAATACTACTGTGTCTATGAAGTGACCCACAATCTTCACAGTGCAAGGCTTGACCGCTTTGTTACGGAAACCTTTGCTACCTGTGTGGGCCCCAGACATACCTAAGAGTTCCCAATGTCTACATACCTGGTCACATCTAGAAACAGTGCCTGTTTAAAGACTGTCCCTCTCTTACATTATACACAGCAGCTCATGATTTACTGTTCTCTGCTACCTGTATAGGCCCCAGACATAGCTAGGAATTTCTAGTGTCACATCCAGAAACAGTGCCTGTTTAACAACTGTTTCTCTCTTACATTATACACTATTTTATCCATTCTTGTCCTTTTAAGGACTAAATTTTTCGTCATTTGAAGCCCTACTCTGGCTCTTGCCAGGGGCGGCAATATAGCCGGCCATAAATATGGCCTAAAGGCTGATCGCGGTTTATGGGACCTCTCCACAGTGATCCTCACCCGCATGGTGGCACATTGTGTTTATCGCTTATGTGATGTCCTGGTGGGGTAGAAAGTCAGTCAGTACATTATACACTGCCGCTCATGGTTTACTAATCTCTGCTACCTGCATGGGCCCCAGACATACCTAGGAGTTCCCAATATCTACATACCTGGTCACATCCAGAAACGGTGCCTGTTTAACAACTGTCCAGTTTGAGCTGGAGGAATACTGAGGCTCCAACTGTGTCCAGTTCTCTGTGTCCCTGTCTATCAAATAGTGGCAGCGACTGATGTCTATCTGAAAGTCCACACAATCAAAAAGGGGTGAACTTTTTCCTGATGATCCTTAATGATCTCTGGTCATGTGCTAATCTACCCTTCAAAGGTGAATGTCCCTCGGTGCATTCAGAGAAGGCGTACTGCGCAACCAGCAGCCCAGCAAAAGAAAAACACCCCATGATATGAAGTGACAGCCTAACAGAACCTAATACAGCAGAGACACAGGTGGCATGTGTGTAGTAGACATACGAGAAATTCAGGCCTGATGACACACCGCAAGGAATAACTGGAAATCAATCCAACCAACATGAAGTGATTGGAAAAACAAACAAAAAACTGGAAATCAAAGCCAGACAAAGAAATGAAGCTTCAATAGAACCACCACTCATCCTAGGAGCTGGTTGAATGAGGCAAGAATCTTTTGTTTTTTTACAACTGCCGATTACCGATTACCGATACCCTTCAATGATCTCTGGTCCTGTGCTAATCTACTAGGGGCCATAAACTGGGTTGTCAGCTCAAGGTGTCTCTTAAGTCCACACAATAAAAAAAAGTGTGAATTTGTTTTGCTTCAATAATCTCTGGTCATGTGCTAATCAACTAGAGGCCATAAACTGGAATGTCAGCTCAAGGTCTCTTAAGTATCCATAAAGCTTAGTTTTCAGGCATGTTTGGTGTGGCCACATGTTGCTTCATAGTTCTTCCAGGAAAGGACAGACTTGCAAGGCATGTTCTTGGTTCTGTTCAACAGTAAGACACTGGCAGAGAGTTGTCAGGTTCATAATTTTATTTGAGTGTTTGTTGAGTCTGAAATCTCCAGTGCATAAGCAAAAACAAATTGTGACATAGTCTGTTCTGTTTAGATGTTCAAGGAAATCTTGTTCATAATTATATCTGGTGTTTGTCTTCCAAACAGAAAAATAAAAAGGCATGAATTACCGTTAAAACATTCACTGGGCGTATGTCACTAGTTACAGACTTATCTTTTTAGTATTTCAGTGACTGAGTTTATAAAGCCCCAGGTTCTTCTGGTTAGAACTGCGGATTGTTTTTCTTCCACTTGAAACTGGGTTTTTGAGCCATGGATAATAGCTTAGTGTCCCAATCTTTCTCTTGTGGTTGTCATCCTTGCAAGCCTGTCCTGCTGAGGGCCCACTACATCAGTCCACCGTCTTGTGTTTCTTGTTGCTTTACTTAATTGTGTTAACTTATCATTATCATGTGGCATGCACAGGTGGTCATGATTTGCTATCTTAGATGATCACCAGAATCACGGTCAGCAATCCTCATGAAACAGAATCATCATTCAGGTTCAACCATCTCAAATGACCACAGATCAGGTCAGTGTACTTGTCTCGCCCTATCAATATGGCCAAACCATCCAGGTATTTATGTCTTTGCTCTTTCTCCATCAATCTTGCCAGTTGTAACCAAGTCCTCCTGTCCATTCCTACTCATACATAAAAAAAACACCAACTGTCTTGAGAAGGAATGCTTCATATGTTTTCTATCATTTCATGATATTCCTGGCATTTCTTTTAAAAACTACATCTCTTAAGAGTGTGAAAGTCAGTGGGTCTAACCCGCCCCCACCCCACCCCAACAAGGGGCTCTATAATGTGCGCACGGAGTAGGTAGGCATCTTCTTCTTCTTCACATTCCCTGGCTGAAAACTATGGTTGACAGTTTTGGTTGTTCATCCATTTCTGGACTTTAGTCTTGCTCCAGAACTTGTGTTTTGTGTGCAAATCTGTTTTACAGATCTGGCTTATTTGTAAGCATGTAAGACTGCTGGTTCCTCCCCTCTCAGTCAGATGCACTGCAACTTCGAAGGAAACAACCCTAATTGGTCTACTCTTCTGAAAAGCTTGTTAGGAGGACAGAGGTTGTATTATCTGTATATCTTCACTGCAATGAGTGTCCTGTAACCTACACATTCATTCATTCAGTAGCATGTCCCTTGCGGAACCTCGCTGCCATAACAACCCTCCGGAAAACCTTCCTATCCTGAGCAAGATGTCCTGCGTCTGATACACCCATCTGGAGATCATCTGCCACATCCTGCACCCATCTTCTCCTTGGCCTTCCTCTTCCTCTCTTCCCAGGCATATACCCCTCCATTACTGTTCTCTCTAGACTTCCATGACGTTTCAAGTGACCAAAATATTTCACATGGAGTAGGAAAATGTCAACCTACATATCTGGATGGTTCCTCTCTGTTTTCATCGTTCATGTCGGATGGAATGATCCTGGTTGCATCTGCTCCCGACTCATACGGTTTGGGCAGTAGTCCCTTGAACTCTGACTCTATAAACTGTAAATGCCAGCTGTAGACAGAGGGGGGTAACAAACTGTTAGAGTCCGGCATTTCACATCAGTAGAATACTCTAGCCTATACAGACAAATCAATTTGTAGAAAAAGCCACCAACTTTTCCATCCTAGGTGGTTCTCTCAAAGCATTTTTGGCCTTTTCGATGTTATGCTGGGCAAATATAGTAACTGATTTGTGCAAACTGGCATGGACAGATATAGTGAAGTTATAGACAATGAAGTTCATACTAGAGACAACATTGCAGATTTAGATAATCTATTTCAAGCGAACAAAAGAAGAAGAAGATAGTGAATTGAAGTACACACACAGACACACTAACTAACTAAATGGTTGAGAGAAACAAGTAGAAGAGATGATCATTATTAATGTTGAATGCACAGTACTTTAAAAAAAAAAGAAACACTTTAATTCTAATTTATTTTAAAGTTGCATACTATATTTATGAACGGATGAGAATGCCAAACAGTTAGCACCTTGGTGGTGAAGTAAGCAAAGGCAGTGGAGTTGTGGTGGTGTGAGAAATAATATTGGGAAAATACTGGTGGACATAGTAGAAATGAACGATCTAATGAGAACTGCACTCATCAAAACTCATCAGACGACACAATCAAATTGGAGAGTTATTTGCCATTTCTGCTCTAGACCTGGCAACTGGGTGACAAAGGGATGGGTGGAGATAAACTTAGATATATAATGAATGTGGAAAGCTCAAAAAGCTAGGCGAATAATTAAACTGTGTCCAGACAGTGTGATTTTCTTTAATGGTACTACTTTTGTAGCTACAGTAACCACCTCATAACTGAGCTGTGAGATCTCAAGTCAATAACTGGCTTCTTAGCTTTCCATGAGATGGAAGTGTATGTGCAAATGTCTGCTCGTACCTTGCCATCTTTCCAGATGATAGTATTATATGTATGGAAATAACCTCCTCTCCATAGCACAAAGCATAGGCAGTACTGTAGAGACCATGTGTTGTTCCTGCCTTGTTAACTCTAAAGGAAAGGTAACACCAAAATGTTTGGAACACAGCATGCTGCAGAAGCTGCTGGAACAAAACAGTGATGTTCTATCTGCCTGCCCATCAAAGCTTTGACGGGAGGAAAATTCTGCAGTCCAGAGCTTGATAAGTAGCACTGGCTACTGTCATTACATGTGGATGTATAATGTCTTTAATTTCATCAATCCATTATCTCCCTGGGTGCCCTCTGGCTTTTACATCAGATCTTCCTCTTCACGTTCACCGGCTGTAAACTCTGGCGGGAAGTTCTGGTTGTTTGTCCACCTCTGGACTTTAGTCTTTTTCCAGAACCTGAGTGTTGCGTGCACATCCGTTTAACAGATACGACTTAAATATATGTAAACTGTCGGTTCCTTGCCTCTCAAGCAGATGCACTCTGACTTCAAAGAAAGCCCCCAATTAGTCCACTCATACAACATGCTTGCTGGGGAGGCAGTGGGTCTATTTTTATTTTCACCCTAATGGGACCCTGGTACCCACACGGGGAACATCAGATCTTTTTCTGAGGATTTGTACAGGATGGACTATCCAACCCTGATATTAGTCACCTCCCAGTACCTGCTTGGTGTTGTTATTCTTTGTTTTTCTTTAGTTCCTCATAAAACAAGCAATAACATGTGTTATTTCCTTATCACTCGTATCATACCTAAAAGTATAGAATAAAGTATGCCCTTGCAATCTTGAACAAAAACAAAATCAATGAAGAAGACACACTCACTTGGGTCCAGGCAGGAAAAAAGAACTTGGGTATCTATACCACTCCTTACCCACACAAACATTGACCGATTTGCCAGGTGGGAGTGTGTGGATCTTGGAATCTGAAGCTACTCTGTGCAACTCCACATAGATATCCAACGGAGAATGGTAGCCTAAAGGGAAAGAAGAGTAGAAGTTCACATAAACAATAAACACAAGCAATTCTCAACAGTGTTATCTGAACTTCATATACAAATACTGTTTATGCTGCAGTTAATAGCTGTTATTGCTGGTATTTAACCTTGTAGTATCCGTACAAATATGAACTAATCGAGCTGATGTTGTTCACACTCGCCTTGATATCTCACAAACATGAACAAATATTGATGATTGTGGTATTTACCAAGACAGCATTCACACACACATAAACAAATCATGTTGATCCTGTTCATACTCACCTTGATATCATACAAACATGAACAAATATTAATGACTGTAGTATTTACCAAGATAGCATCCCGGCTCTCTAGCGAAGTTGGTTAAACCTGACTTTCGTGGCGGCCGGGTGACGAACTCCTTGTGGTCCGGGTTCACTCCCGGGAGTAGGCAGAAAAGCCACATTTTCTCCCAGATTTACGGTATTTACAATGGAATCAAGGCCGAAAGGTTGCGATATCCATAATACCGAGCCTAAGAGTTAACAACTCATGGCTTCTGGATACTAAAACAAACAAACACCAAGATAGCATTCACACAAACATGACCACATCATGTTGATCCTGTTCATACTCACTTTGATATCATATAGACATGAACAAATTGTACTGATGTTGTTTACACTTGCCTTGTTATCACACAAACATGAACAAAGCATGTTGTTGTTGTTCATACTTGCCTTGATTGAATACAAACATGAACAAATTGTGCTGATGTTGTACATGCGTGCTTTGATATCATACAAACATGAATAAATGACGCTGATGTTTTTCTTACTTGCCTCAATATCATATAAACATGAACAAATTGTGTTGATGTTTTTCTTACTTGCCTTGATATCATATAAACATATACAAATTGTGTTGACGTTGTTCATACTTGCTTTAAAATCATACATGAACAAAACTTTTTTACATGTGCTCTGATATCATACGAATATGAATAAATATTGATGCTGTTCATACTTGCTCTGAAGACAACATATATATTAACAAATCAGGCTGATGTTTATAGTATTTACCAAGAAAGCATTTACAAAAATGCAAACAAATGTTGATGTTTCTGGTAATTACCAAAATAACATTCATGCAAACATGAACAAATATTGATGTTTGTGGTACTTGACCAAGACAGCATTCACACAAACATGAACAACTGTTGATGTTTATGGTGCTTACCAAGACAGCATTCACACAAACATGAACAACTGTTGATGTTTATGGTACTTGAACAAGATAGCATTCCCACAAACATGAACAACTGTTGATGTTTGTGGTACTTGACCAAGACAGCATTCCCACAAACATGAACAACTGTTGATGTTTGTGGTACTTGACCATGATAGCATTTCCACAAACATGAACAACTGTTGATGTTTGTGGTACTTGACCAAGACAGCATTCACACAAACATGAACAACTGTTGATGTTTGTGGTACTTACCAAGACAGCATTCACACAAACATGAACAATTGTTGATGTTTGTGGTACTTACCAAGACAGCATTCACACAAACATGAACAACTGTTGATGTTTATGGTACTTGGTTAAGATAGCATTCCCACAAACATGAACAACTGTTGATGTTTATGGTACTTACCAAGACAGCATTCACAAACATGAACAAATGCTGATGTTTCTCGTACTTGACCAAGACAGCATTCACACAAACATGAACAAATGCTGGTGTTTCTCGTACTTGACCAAGATAGCATTCACACAAACATGAACAACTGTTGATGTTTGTGGTACTTGATTAAGATAGCATTCACACAATCATGAACAACTGTTGATGTTTGTGGTACCGGACCAAGACAGCATTCACACAAACATGAACAACTGTTGATGTTTGTGGTACTTGATCAAGACAGCATTCACACAAACATGAACAACTGCTGCTAACATTTACTTACCCTGATAAACAGCAATTATCCTTGAGAACGACAGAGTAGCAAACACAAATGAAAACACAGCAGCCAGCCAGCTTGTGCTGTCTGTGTAATGGCCTCTCTTCGTCTGCTCAGGCATCAGTGAATGCAGCACTCTCTGGAGAGTAATATTTTGAAAATCAAAACAAGAGAAATGAAATATCTACGATGAATCCTTAAATTTAATTGATGAGACAGGATCAGAAATGATGATATTACAAAAATAAAAATAAAATTTTTTCAGGGAACTGGGACAGAACCCGTACTAAACTACAAAGAGAGACAACAGATCAAATGGTTTGGACATTTGTCAAAATTATACCACTGGACAGTGCATCAGAGAATGTCCTGTCACACAGACAAAATGAAAGCAGAGCCAGAGGTCAAGCACATAAGCCATGGACAGGGGGAATATCCAAGGCAGTTAACATCGTCAACGATTCAGCACCTATCAAGGCTTGCACCCGATGCTCTTCAAAACCTGGTGCTGAAAAGCAGAACAAGAACTAGAGAAGAAGAACAAGAAGATTAACTTAATTTTTTTCCCCCGTGTGGATTCCAGGGTCATATTGTGGGGGAAACAAGAATAGACCCACTGCCTCCCCAACAAGCATATTGTAGGAGTTGACTAATTGGAGGAATCATTCTAAGTCTGCGTAAGTCTGCCTGCGAGGCAAGGAACAAAGAATCTCCCTACAAATAAGCCAGACGTGTGAAATGGATGTGCACGTAACACACAGGTTCTGGAATAAGTCTAAAGTCCAGATGTGGATGAACACCCAGAGCTTTCTGTTGGGAGTTTACAGCCGGTGAACGTGAAGAAGAAGAAGAAGAATTATGGGTCTATTCTTGTTTTCCCCACAATGGGGCCCCAGAACCCATATGGGGAGGATATTTTATTATTATAAATCTTTGGTTAGCAAGAATTATTTATTTCAGAACTCTACCCTTCTTAATTTGTGTTAATGAGGTTTCACTGTCTAATATTTATATTTAAGATATAAGAGTATATGATACAACATCATTAAAAAACCAATTCCAGCAAACCAAGAGATGCTGATGCTGGATTTAAAACCTGACAAAAGTATCAACAGAATGACCTTGCTCTGGAACCCGCATGGCCAAACAAAATTTAAAGAAGACCTGCATGAGAAGAGAATGTGAGGCCGAGATGAATGATAAAGAATGATTTGGAGTGAGCTTCATGAAAGGTCATAGGATATGGTGGCTTGGTGTGAGTTAGCTTCGACCTGTACATAAATGGGGGATAAAGAGCATATGATGACATACACCAAAGGAGGAGAAGGACGTAGAGCACAAGGTAGACCAAGAACAATGACATTCTGTAACAAAGATACTCTATCACCACAAAACAATGACATTATGTAACACAGATACTCTATCACCACAAAACAATGACATTCTGTATCATAGATACTCTATCACCTCAAAACAATGACATTCTGTAACACAGATACTCTATCACCACAAAACAATGATATTCTGTAACACAGATACTCTATCACCACAAAACAATGACATTCTGTATCATAGATACTCTATCACCTCAAAACAATGACATTCTGTAACACAGATACTCTATCACCACAAAACAAAGACATTCTGTAACACTGATACTCTATCACCACAAAACAATGATATTCTGTAACACAGATACTCTATCACCACAAAACAAAGACATTCTGCAACACTGATAATCTATCACCACAAAACAATGACATTTTGTAACACAGATACTCTATCACCACAAAACAAAGACATTCTGTAACACAGATACTCTATCACCACAAAACAAAGACATTCTGTAACACAGATACTCTATCACCACAAAACAAAGACATTCTGTAACACAGATACTCTATCACCACAAAACAATGACATTCTGTAACACAGATACTCTATCACCACACAACAATGACATTCTGTAACACAGATACTCTATCACCACAAAACAATGATATTCTGTAACACAGATACTCTATCACCACAAAACAAAGACATTCTGTAACACAGATACTCTATCACCTCAAAATAATGACATTCTGTAACACAGATACTCTATCATCACACAACAAAGACATTCTGTAACACAGATACTCTATCACCACAAAACAATGACATTCTGTAACACAGATACTCTATCACCACAAAACAATGATATTCTGTAACACAGATACTCTATCACCTCAAAACAATGATATTCTGTAACACAGATACTCTATCACCACAAAACAATGACATTTTGTAACACAGATACTCTATCACCACACAACAATGATATTCTGTGACACTGATACTCTATCACCACAAAACAATGATATTCTGTAACACAGATACTCTATCACCACAAAACAAAGACATTCTGTAACACAGATACTCTATCACCACACAACAAAGACATTCTGTAACACAGATACTCTATCACCACACAACAATGACATTCTGTAACACAGATACTCTATCACCACACAACAATGACATTCTGTAACACAGATACTCTATCACCACACAACAATGATATTCTGTGACACAGATACTCTATCACCACACAACAATGACATTCTGTAACACAGATACTCTATCATCACACAACAATGACATTCTGTAACACAGATACTCTATCATCACACAACAATGACATTCTGTAACACAGATACTCTATCATCACACAACAATGACATTCTGTAACATAGATACTCTATCACCACAAAACAATGATATTCTGTGACACAGAACTCAATCACCACATAACAATGACATTCTGTAACATAGATACTCTATCACCTCAAAACAATGAAATTCTATAACACAGATACTCTATCACCTCAAAACAATGAAATTCTATAACACAGATACTCTATCACCTCAAAACAATGACATTCTGTAACACTGATACTATATCACCACACAACAATGACATTCTATAACACAGATACTCTATCACCTCAAAACAAAATCAAACTGTGGGTCTGTGGAAACTGACCTGTGTTATGTCCAGGACCATTGCGGCAGCTAGGGCAAAGAATGGATAAATTGGGAACAGAAATCTCTCTTCCTGCAATGAATACACAATGAATCAAAGTGATTAGTTTTGGGATCTCATCACAGAATATTTTAAAGGTCAGCAGTGGCTGAGGTCCAGCCAAATTTGCTTGTGAAGACAGCACAAAATTTAAAGTATTTTCAAGTTGGCCAGCATTAAATTACAGTGGTATCTCAGTGTACATCCTTAATGTGTTCTACATCCTTGGACTTATACCAAACAGGCCACATATCAAAATAATTTTTCCCATAAAAAATAAAGAGAGAATGATTCATCTGTTCCATGAAAAAATATCCTATTGTTATTGGCATTTTAAACATTGATGAGGCTGTTTAAATTAATTTAAACAATGTGTAATACTAAAATACATAAATACAAAAACGATTAGATATTATACATGAAAATTTAAGCTTAATTTGTACCTTGCTGAGAAGAGTTAAGCACCTAAAAGGATTCTGCCCAGAAGGGATGAGGAGCAGGAGATGTTATGGTTTGGAATCTGAAACTGCTGGTTTTTTTGCTCTTTCTTTTTTTTTTTTTGTTCCAGTCTGTTCCCTACTTGGATGAGACTAAGGCTCATATGTTCTAGTATGTGTTGTATTCCAAACAAAGGTTGTACACCAAGCAAAATTGTTCAGGTTTCACTTAGAAAGCAGACACATACCGAGGTACCAATGTGTGCACAAAGAGTGTTGTCATTCGGAGGTGGCAGATTCAAATCCAATGTGCCCACTACAGATTTCTATTTTTATGTTATCTGCAGTATCCTCTAATCTCTAATTGGAAGTTTTACTCTAGCTGAACTGATAATTCAAATACAAGGGCTTAATATAACATCTGTCTGTGACAGAAAGTAGCAAAAACAGCAGATTATCTTAAAAATTACCAAGAAACAGAGATTGCATTGTTTGGTGTTGAAAGAGTTAACAGATTATCATCAACTGAATCACTAGATATTGAGAATGAATGAATGAATGAATGAATGAATGAATGAATGAATGAATGAATGAATGAATGAATGAATGAATGAATGAATGAATGAATGAATGAAGAATTGACATCTCTGCACTCAAGACATTCCCACACGTGCTCCGTCCCCTTCTTTAGTAGCCAATAAAGAGTTGACATGCTAATAGTACCAGCTTTAACCTGATTAAAAGTCTGCCTATGTTCCCCTTTAGTGCTGAATATCTTCTAAAACCTGACAACTATGCTTTTGGGGAAACCTAAGAGACCTTGAAATGGCATCCCAGTTTGCAACCCACAGCAGTCTTGTGCCTGTGTTGATGATTTTCTGATCAATTTGAATATTTTCTTATTCAGTTGATAAGAGACTGGTACCTCAGGTTGTTCTTCATTTGCACCTTCCTTAGCTCGTTGATCAGCTCTTTCATTTCTGGAAACTTCACAGTGGAATGGTATCCCATGCATAGCTACATTACATTAGTTGAATAGTTCACAGAGAAGTGTTTGTATATCTTGTAATTTTCCAGACTGGTGTGTCTGAAGTACCGCTCCTGCATCTGTCAGGAATACCACTGGTTGTGAAATAAGACTGGTCACATGATGGTGGTCAGCATATGTTAAAATTAAAGTTGAGAGGATCCACTTCGTTGCACTGGGTTTCCTTTGTGGGTTCTAGGGCCCTATTATAGGGAAAACAATAGACCCACTGCCTACTCAAAAGCAAGTCAAAGGAGTCGACCAATATGGAGTTTCCTTCAAAGTCGGAGTGCGTCTGCCTGAGAGGTAAGGAACAAACAGTCTGCATGTTAATAAGTCTTCTTCTTCTTCTTCACTTCCTCTTTTACCGCTGTGGGTGTCGAGGGAGATATAAGGTTCTGTTTCTAGCTCTTCTGGCTGCCTCGACCATAGGCACATCGTGCTGTTGTAGAGTTTCTCTGATGTTATCCTTCCATCTTGTTCTTGGTCTACCCCGTGCTCTACGTCCTTCTTCTCTTTCCATGTATGCTTTGTATGGTATGGTGTCACAAGGCATTCTCTCTAAGTGGGCAAACCATTTCACTTGCTGTCTTTGTATGTAATATGTTAATAAGTCAAATCTGTAAAACGAATGCATATGCAGCACTCATTTTCTGGAACAGGACTACAGTCCAGAAGTGGACGAAACATCTGAACTTTCTGCTGAAGTTTACAGCTGGTGAAGAAGAAGAGAAGAAGATTTCCCTGGATTTGATTCAGCCTGACTCGGTCTCTCTCTCCCTCTGAAGAACAGCCAGCTACTTAGCATTCTCTGGCTGTCAATTCCAGCAGAAAGTTCTGGTTGGTTTGTCCACTTCTGGACTTTGGTCTTGTTCCAGAACTTGAGTTTTTGTCAATATGCATTTTACAGATCTGGCTTATTTGTATGCAAACCGGTAGGTCCCTCACTTTTCAGGAAGATGCACTCTGACTTCAAAGGAAACACACGTAATTAGTCGCCTTTTATGACATGCTTGTACAGAGGGCAGTGGGTCTTTTCCAGTTGGATCCTCCCCCCCCCCCCCTCCTCCTGAAACAAATGGTTCCCGGAACTCACATGGAAAAATTACGAGCCACCTGCTGAGAGCGTTGCACAAAGCAGGAACTCTGTAGCTCTAGCAACAATCTCCTGAGATCTCCGTAAAAAAAGCACAAATGAACTGAACAACAGGTGTGTGATCATAAACAAATCTAAGAACATGAAATACAAGCAAATCTATAGGAAATGAGGAGACTGAGACAGAAACAAGACAGCCAGAGAGCAAACAATACCTAAGATGGTCTACCTTATGTGGTCGAGTGAAGAAGATCACAATCCATATGTACATAGGGGCGAGTGACAGCCAGACATTGCTCTCTGAAATACATTCACTGTTAGTGACTTTATAAACAGACTTTCTCTGTCTCTGCATGTGTGGAAGTGTCTGTCTGCCTGCCTGCCTGCCTGCCTGCGTGTGTGCGTGTGTGTGAGTGCATGCTTGTATGTGTGCATGAGTGTGTGCATGCATGCGTGCATGTGTGTGTGTGTTTTGGGGGGTGAGTGGATGTGTGTTGTGGGGGATGCATGAGAGTAGAGTGAGCATCTGTATGCGTGTGCATGCATAATGTATGTGTGTGCGTAGAGCATGTGTTTGTACATGGGTTCATCTCTCTCTCTCTCTCTCTCTCTCTCTCTCTCTCTCTCTCTCTCTCTCTCTCTCTCTCTCTCTCTCTCTCTCTCTCTCTCTCTCTCTCTCTCTCTCTCTCTCTCTCTCTCTCTCTCTCTCTCTCTCTATCTCATTCTCTCTTTCAGTAAGGTGATTTAACTACGGCCTTAGGAAAAGAATGAAAAATCCTTTAACGGTGAATAATACATACATAATATTTAATATTACAAAACGATCAATATAAACTTCAATGTTGTTGTTGTTATCGATCCAGCGGCCCATGAGCTTTCGCCCTTTGGCCCAACCTCATGTAGTGGAATTTGCATGTTTTCACAAGCTGTTCTTTTCCTCCATACAAGGTGTTCCACTTGTCTGGTCTCGGAGGGAGTAGCATTCTTCTAGTCTCGCTGAGTTTTTTGGCACTCAAAGAGATAGTGTTCAACAGTTTCGTAGGGGTAGTTACATAGCTGGCACTCTGGGGAGTGTTGTGGCTGTATTCTGTTTAGATGTACACTGAGTGAAGTATGTTGTGTTCCAAGTCTGAAGATGGTGGCCTGGTCCCTTCTTGTTAGATGGTTAATGCTGTCATTAGGATCAGGGCCAGCCAGAAACACAACCCATATTTCCTTTAGAACTGCTACAAGGCATTTCTAGCTGCTGCCCGGGGAGGTAGGTAATCCACAGATACCGCAGCATCACAATGCAATGAATATAAACTTAAAATAAGACTAATAATGTACAGAAATGTACTGTAATACTATAAACCTACAGTACTTTAAAATAATCTCACAGCTCCTTCTGTCTCTTTGAGGCTCGAGCTTTCTACGTGGCCATGTTCAGTAACTTGCGTAGAAGTAGTATCTGTGTTGCATTTACCTCCTCTTGCATTTAAAATCTATAACATCAAATAAATACTAGTACTTACTAGGTGACTTTTTGAGAAACCATGAGCAGAACAGCTGTCAGATGTAAGGGAAGAAAAAGAATGAGAACAATATCAGTTGTATCATGTAAGTTTTTAGGACTTAACAGAAACTGAATTAAGTAGCTACAGGGAGCCACCATAAAGTGGCGGCTAGACGCCCGCATATGCATCCGAAGGTTGTGGGTTCAAATACGAACACAACTGGACTATTTTCAAAAATTACCTCGGCTAGAGGGTCAAACCAGCCTCAAATGGGTACCAGCTAAAAAAAAAAAGTCCGGGAAGTAAAGACGGCTGGCGTGATTTTGACCACATCCCTCCCTCCCCAAGTGCCGACTGGTCTATCAAATATAGGTACAGCACTATATACTCAATAAGCCTAAAGGCGGGGAAAAAGGTCCTAAGCAACAATAGCATGTTATTTGCTTCTGACCATATTTTACAACTGCTATTTTTTTCCTATGTGCACTGAAAGTACAGCTACTGGGCTGAATGCTTGGTGTCACACTGTGAGAGTTCGATTTCACATGGAATGCTTTTCTAATGTGCCCAAGATGGTTTGTGTTGAGAACTGTAGATTCTTCTTCTTCGTCCTCTTAGCACTCACCGGCTGTAAACTCCAGCGGAAAGTTCTGGTTGTTCGTCCACTTCTAATCTTCAGTCTTGTTCAAGAATTAAAATTGTGCGTGCAGATCCGTTTTTCAGACCTGAACTATTTATATGCAGGCTGTTGGTTCAATGCCTCTCGAGCAGATGCACTCTGACTTTGTAGGAAACCCCTAATTAGTCGCCTTTTACGACACACTTGTTAGGGGGCAGTGGGTCTATCCCCCCATCCCATAATGGAGCCTCTTAGAACCTACACTGGCAGAATAGCAGATTTAGAAACTGGTAATCCGTGTGGGTTCCGGGGCCCTATTATAGGGAAAACAAGAATAGATCCACAGCCTACCCAAAAGCATGTCATGAGAGTCGACTAATTGGGAGCTTCCTTCGAAGTCGAAGTGCATCTGCCTGAGAGGCAAGGAACCAGCAGTCTGCATACCAATGAGTCAGATCTGTAAAACGGAATCACATGCAACATTCACGTTCTAGAACAGCACTGCAGTCCAGAAGTGGATAAACAACCAGAACTTTCTGCCAGAGTTTACAGCTGGTGACTGAGAAGAAGAAGAAGAAGAAACTGGTAGATGGCCTTTTGAGAGACCTTGTGCAATACTGTGTGTGGAACTGCTGCTTCTATTTGCAATTAACTGAATTCTAGTGGTGGACTGTTGGGATTCCTGATGGCTGCCTTATGCATTTAATGTTCATGCATGCTGTTGGCTTTGCCAGGACTGAAGTCTGTTTCAGTATTTTCACAACGGACAGAGATAAGACACTATGTGGTTTTCGCTGGCACATGAACGGAGCAACTGTAGGTTACCTATTTGCCCTGAAGTTAAAACTGCAATTAACGGCTAAACTAAATTATACAAGCATTGTAAACTATTAGACTGTTACAGCATGTTATGCGCCAACAAATGAGACTAAAGAATCAGTTAAGGCAGTGATTCCCAAACTGTGCGCTGCCGCATGGGGAGCCATGACCTCTTCACAGAAGAGCCATGAAATATTCGAAGATACATGAGTTTTATTTGTTTTGATCTCCTACATACGAAAAGTCATAATTTTTCTTAGGTTAGAGCGCTGTGGAAAAATTTTAATTGAAAAAAGGCCCCACGACTAAGAAAAGTTTAGTAAACACTGAGTTAAGGAGAAAGGTTACATGAGATTTTAAAGTACTATAGGTAATCAAAGGCCATTGTTGCCGCAAGTTTTCAGTACATAACCTCGATGATCTGAAAATATAGGTGAGTGAAAAAAATCTTGGCCTCAAAAGAAGTGAACATACGAGTACCTCATCGAAGGGCTAGCAGGACAGCCACTACATTACTACCACTCTCAAAAATTCTGTTATCTTTAGTACAAAAACATTAAGTGTTTCTGGATCCGAAATGACAATGTACAATGAACGAGCTGAACACTTACCAAAAATGGCAGAGATCCTAAGGCCAGGATATAAGCAAAGTTGAAGTTCAGGAAACCATTAATTAGATAGAAAGACAGCGGTTCAACTCCTAGGGAAAAAGACAGTATACATTTTGAGTAAACCTGTTACTAACACTTTGTTTTTAATTCTTCTTCTTTTTCTTCTTCTTTTGTTTCTTCTTCCTTCTCTTCTTCTTCTTCTGTGTTCCACATCAGTCATGCTAAACATTGAGTCCTGTCTGGGTCACAAACAGGATTGTGCGTTTAAGGTCACCACCGGTTGTGACGTGACGCGTGGTTTAAATGTTTATGTTGTTGAGTAGGGATCTTCCTTTCAACACATTCTCTCCACTAGATAAACCGAACTAAAATCTGAGCTATGTTGCTCTCAGACAAAGTCCTGGATATCCAAGAAAACAGCCATATTGGCTCGTTAAGTATATTAACATTAGCTGAACTTGGTACCCACAAGAGAAGGCAAGGAATTTTAGATGTCTATCATACTTAATGTTAATGAATTATTAGACAGGGCAAGTGATTCCTCCGTCATCTACCTTCTCCCGGTGTTATTATTAATAATTAAAGAATTATTATATTATTTGAGCCCCCACCAAATGTACTTCTATCTATCAGTTTAGAAAACAGGTAAGATTGAATACACTTGGAATTTAACAAACGATGTAGTATAAAACTTGACATACAGCTTTATTTTCTAACAATCAGTTAATTGACATACCCAGTTTGTTGTGTTTACACAAACAGTGACTAGCTAAAGTTATGATAGTAATGGGTTGTTTCAGCGCGAGAACAGCACCTGGGATTAGAGTGGTGTGATGAAGGTGATAAAGTATGAACAATTTATGAACATAACTTTCATAGAACCTCTGACAGCCGTGAGCACTGTCAAGCTCTTCCTCCTCTTCCAGCTTCTTCCCTGCTTGTTTCTCCTCCTCGCCCCCACCTCGTTCTCCACCTCGTTCTCCACCTCGTTCCCAGCTGGCCGAGTCTAACACAATGTAGGCTACTTCATGGACTGATCGTCACATGGGCGCTAGGAACTTTTCCAGCAAATGCCGAACACGACTCAACCAGGGAGAAAGTACTTTTCAACGGTAGGTCTGAGTCTGTGGCCTGCTGGCGGCACTATGAGGTAAATCTACGATGCCTGCAGTATAAGTATTAATCTATTGTCCAAATTAAACTCCTCCCTTTCCTTAGTTTTTACCCAACCCTCAAGATGATGGCTTAAGCACCGCCCCTGAGGTAACTATCAGATCACTTGGCTAACCAGTGACCTGTCACTCACAGTGAACGGCCTACAGTACGACCTTGACCAAGATAAAACATTCCTAATTGCCAAACACCTGTTCTCTCTAGTCTTACACTGACGTGTGAAACTTTAAACTTCTCGGCTCCACCATGTCTAGCGTCTACTCAATTCCCCTGTTCAAAAGGGCCCGCTCAGTCTCTACCGTCTGGTCAGGAGATAACATTCTGACACTGGCGTGAGAATAGAATTCCTAGCTACAGTGTAAGGTTTTAGGTAATATTACTCAAGGTTGGGTTGCTTTGTCTGGACTAAGGACTGGAAACATTTAAATCAATACGGTTTAAAGTAATATTAGGGTAAAGGGCAGAGTAAATATAATCCTCTCTCTTTAGAACCAGAAGAACTTATTACAAGTACTAACTTCTGGAATCAATGAGATCGTCTCGTGACACCGGTCCCCCAAAGCTTCTCTTGCAATGTAGCTCCCATGGGCCAGATCCACAGTCTTTGCTGGGAGAGGTTAGGGCAGTACTGCAGTAAGTGCTCAGGGGTCTGTCTTTCTGCTCCACAATCACAGGCAGCAGATTCTTTTATGCCTATCCTGTGCAGGTGTGCTTAAAGACCACAGTGTCCTGTCCGAAGTCTAAAAACTGATGTTTGTTCTTTCCTGTTGAGTTTGTAAAAATTTGCTGGCATGTTTTGTTAGGGTTTACAGCAAGGCCGTGATATCTGTGCTTTTCAGCTCAATACATCCAACTGCAGCAAACCACTAACTAGTTTCCTTTTACAACATGATTGTCAGAACAGCAGTGAGTCTTTTCTTTTCTTCTTCTTTTTTTTTTCTACCAAAACTGGTCACCTCAATCCACATGGGGGATGTTTTATTTCGGTTTTTTTTTTACTCAGGGTCTATTTCTCTGTAGGAATCACCTATGACTTTGCTCTCACTCATATTCAGTTTTGTCCGACAGTTCCATCAGGTAGTCTCACACTGTATCAGTATATTCTTAAACACCACCTTAGATGCTTTCTTGCCAGACTCTGGTACCATATTTCCATGAGGGCTGCTTTGGGACTGATGTTACTTCATAAACTGGACCTTAGAGATTCCTCTGGGAAAGTAAAGGGGATCTTTGTGGCGAAGTGGTCAAGCTGTTTGTCTCACGCTTTGAAGGTGGGTTAATTTCACCGCTGCACCCTTCGGTTCACAAGTGCAATTTTTACACAGTTCCCTGGGGATCATCTCGGAGCTATGGAGTTCGTGTGTGGCGCTCTCTGCAAGTGGCTAGCCGTTCTGCGGACAGAGATTGAGCCACACAGAATAAAACCTGGTGCAATTAAGTCGATTCTCTTGACTTTAACCTTCAATGTGGGAAAGTAAAGGCTGACTGTGTAATACTAAGCATATCAGTCCTCATATCTGTTCAGTCATCTCAAATATCAACCTATCCTTATGTCCCCCAACATATAAGGGAGCGTCAAAAACCTATTAAAATAACCAGGGAGTGGGATGGATTAGAACAGTGAGGCTTCTATGAGAGAATGTTCACAGCCGGATCAGGCACACTGTTTTGAAACTTGCTACTCCATTCAAATGCTGGACTGACAGGCATGCATCAACAATAAGCAGGTGCACCATGCTCCTAAAAAGCATGTTGCAAAAAGCGAATAATTAGGGTTCTTCCTAAATCTGATGTGATCGGCAAAAGAGTGCAAATATCACAGATTAGTTGTAAATCCCAAAACAATGTGCCAACAACACTTTTGATGAAAAAAACCAGAAGAAGAAGAGGAAGAAGAAGAAGAAGAAGAAAGAGAAGAACAAACAAACGAATTAACAAACACTCATATATACATACCCACATACACCCAGATACATACACACACACCCACATACATACACACACATTCCACACACATACATACAAACACACAGATACACACACGCACACACAGACGGAGAAAAAGAAGAAGGAGGAGGAGGAGGATGAGAAGGAGGACGAGCAGGAGGGGGAGTAGCAGGAGCAAGAGAAGCAGCAACAGCAGCAGGAGGAGGAGGGGTGGAGAAAAAGAAGAAAGCCTAGTAGTTACCATACAGCTCTGGGCCATGACCACTGATCACGTTGTAGAGAACAATGTTGAGGGGTGCAATCACCAGTTTCCCATAGAAGTGCATGTCTATAAGAACCATTGGTACCTAGTAGAGATTACAAGCAAGAAACATCATGAGTTACATATACTCTTTATTTTATTAAATGAATAAAGATACAATAAAATGGGGGGTGGGGGTAGGGGGAGGTTGACATCAAGAGAGGAAAAGCTGGCATCAAGGCATCATAAGAAAGGTCTGACATCATGACAGAAGGAAGGTTAGACATTGAGACAGCAGGAACTTTTGACATTAAGACAGCAAGAAGGTTTGACATCATGAACGAAGGAAGATTTGACATCAAGACAGCAGGAAGGTCTGGCATTAAGATGGCATGAAAGTTTGACATTAAGACAGCACAAAGGTTTGACATTAAGATAGCAGGAAGGTCTGATATCAAGATAGCAGACAGCAGACAGGTTTAACATCATGACATAGGGACAGTTTGGCATGAAGACAGCAGGAAGGTTTGACAATAAGACAGCAGGAAGGTTTGGCATTTAGACAGCACGAAGGTTTGACATTAAGACATCAGGAATGTTTTACGTTAAGGCAGCAGGAAGGTTTAATGTTACTCCAAAGGCCAATACTATCTTTACATAATCAATTCCCAATGTTGCTTCCAGGGTCCTACTGTGGAAAAAAACAAGAATAGACCCAATGCCTCCCAAAAAACCTGTTGTAAGAGTTAATAAACTTAGAGCTTCCTTCGAAGTCGGAGTGCATCTGCCTGAAAGGCAATGAACCAAAAGCCTGCATATAAATTAGATCTGTAAAACAGATGTGCACATAATGATCAGATTCTGGAAAAAGCTAAAGTCCAGAGACGGATGAACAACCAGAACTTTCAAAGAGTTTACAGTTAGTGAACGTGAAAAAGAAGAAGAAGAAGAAGAAGAAGACATAATCAACTAACTACTTACCAAAAAAACTATGACAGATATTGTACACCATTTGAGGAAAAACATCACTTTCTTCTGTTGCACCAGCAGATCATAAGCAATGGGAATTCTGTTGGAAAAGCAATTCAGAAATAAGTTAAATACTCAGTAAAACCAAAACTGTGTGATGTCTCCACAATGAACAGCGAATACAGTGTGGACAGTGCCGCCTTAGGCAATATTATGTGGTGAGGCCCTAATGTCTTCCATGGTATGACTCTCATACCATCATCCAAAAACCACAAGAAGTTTTGTTTTTTAAATAAAACATCCACAGTGGAAATAGAACATGAGTACTTGAGGATCATGAAACTGTTAAACACATTCACTAATCTCTGCGCAACAAAATAAATTAAACAAATGTAAAACAAACAACAACAAAAAAAGAAAAACAAACAACAAAAACACACACAAATAGGAATTTATTCAACTTCCATTAAGCCAGTAGTTAGGGTGGCATAGGGAGGCATTGTGCCAATGGCTTCGTGCAGAGGAGCCCATTTGGGAGGATACTAGCCTTATCCTAGGAAGAGGAAATTTAAACTGAAATCTTAATGTTATGGCAAGGCACATCGGGCTCTTAGCCTTGATTGACAACCAGTCTAGGATGGAAGCTCCAAAAGGCCAGACAGACAGAGCACTGCTCTTCTGATCCAGCTCTTCTACAGCCTGCTTTGTTCCAAATGTACTGGTGTTACCTTTCCTTTAGAGCAGGGTTATTCAACTGGCGGCCTGCGGGCTAACTCTGGCCCATGGAGGCTCAGTAAGTGGCCTACGGATCACTACCATTAATACTGTAACAATGACGTTTATATTCTGGGGCTGGGGCTTCTGGCCCCTGATGATGACCGTTTTCAAAATGTTGGCCCCTGAGTAAACCTATTTGAACAGCCCTGCTTTAGAGTAAACAAGGCAGGTTCAGTAAGGAATCACCATGCATGGGCAGCACATGGTCTCTAAAATACTGCCCAGGCTTTGAGCTATGGAAAGCAGGAACTTCAAATACAAGCCAGTCTTGTTGGTCACACTCACCGGTGCCCCGAGCTGTGATTCACACGCCTCTCTACAGCATAATTTAACACTATCATCTGGAAAGGCTATTAGGTGCCAACAACAATCAATATCTCGCGATAACACTGTTACGTATGCTGAATTCCGGTCCTAAATGGAGGACTAAACATGACAGAATGTTTAGCTTCCAAGCAATTTTTGCTTCCGACAGTGCTTTGCTAATGCAGTTTCCACTTATGGAGGGAAATCCACGGTCTTGCTGCCTGAGCTACTGAGTTTAGTGTTTGGTGCAGACCTGTGAGCTGTGTTTTTTTCATGTGGAATACCTTTCATATGTGCAGCAGTTGTGTCGTGGTTCTCAATATGGTCGATATTCGATTTACGTGGGGGCTGGGGAAATACCTTATGTAATAACTGTACGTATGTATAGCCAACTTTTTATGACCGAGTACTTCCATCAACCACAAACTGCATTTCTGGTGGCGACTGTTCTAGCCCCTCTAGCAACTGCCATATGCATTTACTGCGTGCAGACATCTCTGGATTGTGCCGGGACAACTACTTGTTCACCAGTTGTTTTTTAAATGTGAACATTTCATTTGATTTTCACTGGTGCAGAAAAGGAGCAAGTATGGGGTGACCCGATTGCAGTAAAGTGGAAACCACGACTAAGACTAAGTATGCATCATTAGCTCACAAATGAAGAAGACAATGGTAATATTAAAGATGCTACCAGGTTATCATGATCAACTCACCCCAGTGCTGCAGCAAAGGGCCACCCTAATATTGCACTGGCTGCAATAGCCATTACAGCCACCTGCAGACACAATAATATAGTACTGTAATCAAGCTTAGTGTTGTTGTTCGTTTGTGTTCAATGGCTGTAAACCCACGCAGAAAGACTTGGTTGTTCATCCATTTCTGGACTTTGGCTTTGCACCAGGACCTGAGTTTTGCATGTGCCTTCATTTAACAGATCTTGCTTATTTGTAGGCCTCTCAGGCAGATGCACTCCGACTCTGAAGGAAGTCCCCATTTAGTCCAATCCTACGACATGCTTGTTGGGGAAGCAGTGGGTCTATTCTTGATCTCCCCGCAAAGGGACCCCGGAACCCACACAGGGAATGTTGAATGTTTTTTGTTTTTTTTTTGCGTTCACCGGCTGTGAATTCCGGCGGAAGGTCACGGTTAATCGTCCGCTTGGACTTTTGGCTTTCACCCGGACCTGATTTTTGCGTGTACAACCGTTTTAATGTTCCCTGCCTCATGGGCAGCTGTACTCCGACTTCAAAGGAAGACGTCAGGCCTATTTCTAGGTTGACTGTGGCCATTGTTTTGTGTGGGTCAAGACGTTGCCTGATTTGTGTGGAGTCCACTTTGTCTCCTTCTCCACAGGTATTGCCCCCGGAGTACCCCTTTGGGGCAGCCCCCTGTGGAACAGTTAGCCCTCAAGGGAAGGCAGGGGCAGATCATGGGCATTCCCCGCCATCCAAGGAGGCTTCCATGTATGCAGAGCCGGCACATGGCGCTCTGGTTCTGGGCTCACCCAAGGAATCATCACGTCCTGCACATGCCTGCTTAACCTCACAACCGTATCAGGCTTCCCGCTCGACAAGAGCTGCGCCCTCTGGAAGTCAGCGGGGAGCAGCCTGTGGATTTTGGACTTTTGTGACCACACGAATAGGCACATTCTTTTTTTCTTCGCACGTTAGATTTCTTTGACGAGCCGTTAGCCCAACAGAATTTTACATCCTGCGTCAGGCATAGCGTTATCAGTTTGGTCAGTACAAATTGTGGAGGTCAGATTTTGAGCTCAATCGTGTGCCGTAGGATCTAGTTTTGTCGGACATGTAGGCTTAGCCAGCCAATGGGCTGTTGCTGTTGTGGTGTACCTTAGCACGGTGACGACGACACTGAGGGTTACACGAGGATGTACATGGCTGGCCAGCCTATGTATGGTTGCTGTTTTGGTGTACCTCAGCGCGGTGACGACGACACTAAGGGTTAACCGAGGATGTACATGGATGGCCAGCCTAGGGATGGTTGCTGTTGTGGTGTACCTCAGCGCGGTGACGACGACACTGAGGGTTAACAGAGGATGTACAGTGAACAATGTTCTCTTCACTCCGCATTCTTTTAACCAAGGGTTGTGATTTTTAGCTGTACGTTTGGCAAGCATACTCATGTTCCTAATGAGTTTTGATAACCTTTTTCACCCAAGCGTTTGGGGGCGGGCTCATGAGAGCCACAAGGACACATCACCTCTGGGGGCCGCCAAACTCTGAGATCCCCTGACAGCTCTGTTAATGCTCGTTTGAGACATTATCCGTGGCGTACGACGAGGACGTGCTGCAGGGTTCTTGCGTGAGGTTCTGTAAAACCAGAACAGTGAAGGACTGGCACCCGAGTGACGTACGGAGTATCTCCTTATACACATCATGTTGGACTTAACTTCCCCTCACGCCTGTGACATAAATCACCGCGCCACTGTTGAATGTTGAATTAAGAATCAACATCATATCACTCGAGACACTCCCATAAGCACTCCATCCCTATTTTCAGCAGCAAACGAAGAGTTCCAATTCCGATGGCACCAGTAACAGTCTGACTGTCTATCCGTCTCACCATTCCCTTCAGTGTTGAGCGTCGGCCGGATCCCCTGGTAACTCCTCGCAGCGCCATTCTCCTCAGACTGTAATGATCTATTTGTGCCTCCGCACTGTTCACTAGCACATGTTCCTAGACTCATATTTGTATAGACCCATCTGCCCTCGATAGGTGATGAGGTCACACACCACACCAGCCATCTTTGTTTTCCAGGACTTTACCTCGTACCTATTTAAGGCTGGGTCAACCCGGGAGCCAAGATCATGTTTGAAAAAAATTTTGTTTTATGTTGTTTTGAACCCACAACCTTCAAATCCATAGGCAAGCGGCTAGCCGTTACAAAATGATGCTGGTTTTTAATCTTTTTAACTTTTCCATTGTCTTAATTTTTTTATTTTTTTTTAAAGAAGTTAAAGTCGAGAAGATCGACTTCATTGCACCCGGGTTTTATCCCATATGGCTCGTTCTCTCTCCGCAGAATGGCTAGCGCCTGCCGAGAGCATTGCACAGAGCAAGAACTCTGCAGCTCCAGTGACGTTCCCCAGGAATCTCCATAAAAATTGCACTCGTGAACTACAGGTCGCAGCCATGGAGCAAGTCCATGACCTTTAGAGCGAGAGTCAAACAGCTTGACCACTTCGCCACGGAAACTCTCCCCCACCCCTTTTTTTTGGGGGTGCTAATCAATGTTTACACTAAATGCTTGTTTTGCTGCATAGCTAAAAAGCGGTAGCACTACTCACAACATAAATTTGTCACTTATCAAAAAGAAACAAATGACTCACATGTGCATCGCCCGTGAGCCAAGCCCCATATGCCACCATGGTCAGGTACATGGAAAAGCTGCTGGGTAGGAAGGCTGCAGACGCAGCAAACATGCCAGCAGAAAACAGAAGTAGGATTAGAGTCAGGCGGCCAATATTTGATCCAAAGGCTCGACACACACCTCTGTAACATGGAAACAAAATCATGTCACACTTACTGTATCAATAAAATATCAGTTTTATATGTGTACCAGATTTAATTACCCAGGACAGACTCAAACTCATTCTTTAGAAATTATAACTAATTTTATTCACCCGCTTATTAAAAATTAATTTTAGTACTTTGGCCGTCCAGTGAGGAAAGCGGTAAGAATGGTGAAACATGTATCTGCTAGGGCCTGAGCCCAGGACCTTCTACATGTCAGGCCGATGGGATAACCATTACATTACACCACACCCTTATAGCTAGTTTCACAGAGCCATCCATGAATACCCGTATCCACCGGGGTTTTTTTTTTTTTTTTGACAGTTTTATTTCAACAAATGAACAGTTATTTACTGCATTACTAGGGAAGTCTGTTCTCCTTTGGTCAGGATGCCACCTCTAGTGTCTCCGAGGTATTTGGAATTCTATATTGGGCATTCAGGGTAAATGGGAAATTTTATTTGGGGGAGCGGGGGGGTCGTCAGAAAATTCTAGCTTGTATTTCAGGTGCAATTCTCTGGCTATCTGCATTAAGTTAGCTCTGTTTCTCTTTTCAGTCAGTTTGTACTGTGACTTAAATAGCTCATTATGCATGAGTGTTTCTCTAGTACAGCAAACTTGGAGCACTGAGTGAGCATGTGTGAATTGTTCCTGTTCTCCATGGACTGTCAGCCTGTCCTTGTTTCTATCACTGCAACTAGTGTGAGCATGTGTGAATTGTTCCTGTTCTCCATGGACCGTCAGCCTGTCCTTGTTTCTATCACTGCAACTAGAGTGAGTATGTGTGAATTGTTCCTGTTCTCCATGGACCGTCAGCCTGTCCTTGTTTCTATCACTGCAACTAGTGTGAGCATGGACAGTCAGTTGTGCCAGACTTTTTTCAAAAAATGACCTTGGCTCCCAGGTCGACCCAGCCTTGAGTGGATACCACGTGCCGTCCTGGGAAGTAAAGGCAGCCAGCCTGATAGTGACCACACCACCTATCTAGTGCTGACTGGTCTATACAAATATAGGTCTAGCCCTATAGGTCCAAAACGCCTAAAGGTGTGGAACAGGGTCCTTTTCTTTTATATATATATATATATATGGTTGTAATTGTACCATTGTCCAATTCTGTTGTCTGCTGACGAAGGCAGACTATTTTCTTATTTCTATTTTAATCCAGTACTAACCTATGGATGCGAGAGCTGGAAATCAACGAAAACTCTACACACAAAATTAGACAGTTTTGAAAATAAATGCCTTAGAAGAATACTAAATTTCAAATGGTCAGATTTCCGAACCAATACACAAATAAGGCAAGAATTCAGGCAAGAGTATGTGTCTAATTTTATACGAAAACGCCGCTGGAACTATGTCGGCCACGCCCTTAGAATGGATAAATCAAGACTTCCTTACCAAGCCCTCATTTGGACACCACAGGGGAAAAGATCTCATGGAAGACCAAGGGAAACCCTACGTAGAACTATCATCAGGGAAGGCTCACTCATGGGCCACTCAAACATCCAAGACCTACAACAGATTGCAACGAACCGCCATGCATGGAGAGTCATGACCTCTGCCCTATGTGCCGCACTCGACACAAGAGGAAAGACTAACTAACTAACTAACTAACTAACTATTTTAATCATGACTGCTGTAATTTTTGAACTGGCTAGTTCTACTTCTCATCTTGATAAACATTCTGCCAGAGAGCAGGCAGACTTGATCATTAATGGAGGTGTCACAATGTCCTTTGTACATCTATTTCACATCACAATGAGATCTTTTTTTAACATAGCACTGATGCCGTTTAAACATGGCAATGACATTGTATAACCGTAGCATTAACAGCTTACCTGTAGAAGAGCATCTCAGACACCGCACACGCCACAGCCAGCAGACAGCGGGTCATGTAGAAAACTAGAATCTGCAAACAGGAATATACTGACATAACACACCAACAAAACAAACTATAGTGGTACCTTGGTGTACATCCCTAATCCATTGCAGATCCTTATACCAAACAGGACGTATACCAAACAGATTTTCCAATAAAAAATAAAGAAATAATAATAATAATAATAACAATAATAAGAAATAAGAAATAAAGGGAGAATGATGTTTCTGTTCCTACAAACAAAAATCCTGTTATTGACATACAGCATGTAACCTTCATACTCTTCAACACTCTCTTTCATCACCTCCATGGTGATCATTACAATTTTCTTTGTAGCTTGGCTCTTCTCATTAACTTCTCAGAACTCATGGTTAAAGAATTTACTAAACATTTATGCAAAAAAACATAAAAATTCACAGAGTTATAGACCAGGCTGTTTACTGGATGTTAGCAACTGGTGTATTTACACTGTGTTTTATTAGCTAAATATAATTTCCATATATTCTTAAGACACATTTAACCCTTTAACCCTGGTGTGGCCTAGAAAAAAAAGCTAAGATCCCATTTTTTATATTTTTCAGATATTCCTTGAAAAAAAAAAAATTCTTAGAGAAAACATTGTACATATCATGCCCCCCCCCCCCTTTTCCACCCCCCACCCCCCTCCCCCTTTTTTTTTCTTTTCAAAATACCACACAGAATACCAGGAGTAATAAAAAAAAAAAAACATGCAGAATATAAGTGGCTTCCATCTCTTGATGCTTGTTGACTAATTATAGCGTGAGACTCAATTAACACTGTGAACATGTTGCCCGGTAACCACTGCAACCAATGTGGAAAATACAACAGAAATTTCTATAGAAAAACTATTTTCTTAATGCTATTTTAATCCATCTAGTCATCCCCTAAAATTAGTAACCACGGAAATGAGATGTCTGAGAAGGGCTGTAGGAGTGACCATAAGAGATAAGATCAGGAATGAGATCATAAGAGAACAAGTCGGCACAGAACCAATTCTGGATTACATACAAAGACAGCAAGTGAAATGATTTGCCCACTTAGAGAGAAAGCCTTGTGACACCATACCATACAAAGCATACATAGAAAGAGAAGAAGGACGTAGAGCACGGGGTAGACCAAGAACAAGATGGAAGGATAACATCAGAGAAACTCTACTACAGCACGATGTGCCTATGGTCGAGGCAGCCAGAAGAGCTAGAAACAGAACTTTATATCTCCCTCGACACCCACAGCGGTAAAAGAGGAAGTGAAGAAGAAGAAGAAGTCATCATCCCCTGTCATGCTCAACATCTGTGCAGATGCAATGAATTCTGTTACCTATAGCAAGTCGGGAAAGCAGCTTCTAGGGGAAATGGTACCAACCAAATCTGTGGCTTGGGATGAGAGGTTTAAAACCTTTTCTGCAGGAGATGAAGCATCTGTGGATACACCCAGTGTGCTATAATGTTGATTCCTAAATTTGTAATTTAATCCCCGTGTCAGTTCTGGGGAAAACAAGAATAGACACACTGACTACCCAAAAGCAAGTTGTAAGAGTCAACTAACTCGGAGCTTTATTTGAAGTCAGAGTGCATCTCCCCAAGAGGTAAGGAACCAACAGTCTGCATACACATGAGTAAGATCTGTGAAATGGATGTGCACACAAAACTTAGGTTCTGGAAAAGGACTAGAGTGAACAGAAGTGAACGAACAACCAGAACTTTCCGCTGGAGTTTACAGCCAGTGAACATGAAGAAGAAATCTCCAATTTTCAAGCTCTTCAGATTCCACCATGTTTCACCGTCATCAAAAACAATTTCCAGAAGTGTGATACACATACAGGGCTCTGTAGAAAGAACTAACAGTTGAACCTAAAGGTCATTGGATGCATTAGGCCACAGGTTCAGCATGATTAAACAGCAGTGAATGATTCATCTTATTATATGACAGTCACTTACGGACAAATGATCCTACAATAACAATTCACCAATGTGTAAAAGTGTCAGCTACACAAGGCTGTCCACTATGCATATGTCTGATGGTGGAACAGTGTTTCATAACTCATTTTACCATTTTTATTTATTGTTTCCCTCTAGATTTGCATTCTGAAGGATTAACATCTCGAGGATGAAACTTTTCTTATTCTTCATTGTGTTCACTGGCTGTAAACTCTTTCGGAAAGTTCTGGTTGTGTGTCCACCTCCAGACCTTAGTCTTGTTCCAGAACCTAAGTGTTGCATGCATATCTGTTTTACAGATCTGACATATTTGTATGCAGACTATTGGTTCCTTGCCTCTCTGGCAGATGCACTCCGACTTCAAAGAAACCCCCCCCCCCCCCCCCCCCCGCCCAAATTAGTCTACTCTTATGGCATGCTTGTTGTGGAGGCAGTGGGTCTATTCTGGTTTTTCTCACAAGAGGGCCCCAGAACCCATGGGGGGAGGTGGGATGGAAGGGAGGGGGTATGAGGATCAGTCAGCTACAAATCTTGAGAAACTATCACAATACTCACTGTGTGAGTGTGAACTATTACCCAACGAAACTGACTACTGCTTACAAATGTTTCACCATGCACGTACCGTGTTATCCCCAAGAAGAAGGGCACATATCTTCATTGGAATCACATGTAGAAGAATGTATGCATAAGAACGTATTGCATATGCTGGTGAGTACTCCCAGGTTTGAAAACCCCTGCCATAGCAGAGGAAATGGGCCTGTGAGACAAAAGACACTGATAAATTAGCATTAACATACTGTAAACATATTACAGGAAAATGTTGAACATAAAACGGAATGAATTCAACAACAGGGATGAAGAAAGAGAAATGTCTGAAAACCCACTGCTAACTGTGGTTATAAGACAAAGAATATGGTGCTATACTGGGCACAACCTGAGAATAAACAAGCAGAGAACAACCTAACATGAGAAATAAGGGGCCTGAAGAAGCAAAGACACCCAAAAGAAACCTTAAAACAAATGCTGAGAGAGGCCAAAGCTGCTGGATTGGATTCCATCCATGATATTTAAGTGACTGCACAGGATAAAATTGAATAGAGAAATAGACTGCGAGCCCTATGTGACATACAATGACACAAATGTACAATGATGATGATGTATTTAACAAAGTAAATAACTCTTACAGTTCCCTCTATGCCATTTCCTATTGCTGTAAGATTTAGAACAGGCACAAGGTATCCAATTTATTATCCTTTCATGAGAAGGTAAGGTAGCCAATCTAATTTAATATTTGATCAAGAGCACATTTCATATCTTTACAAATGACAAGTTTTTGTAAAAATGGCCAGTTCCTATGCTGGGAGTGAGCCCAGTCACTCACAAACTAGAAGCTAATACTGGAACCTCTTAGCCTCAAAATATAAAAATATAGGCATGATACAAATTTGCAATTATACAATAAAAACTCATTTTTAAAACATAAAGGACATGTTTCCAGAGTTCATATTCGTTCATTCCTTCATGTCATTCTATACTGTACTATCTTTACAAAATCATGAATGGAATTTGGTCTAGAACCGCAAGTCTCTCTTTCCAATGTTCCTCGTAGGATTTCTCTTGGGTGGACCAGTTTCCTCAATATAAGACAAATACAGGGTCTTCTCCAACTCAAGACTGAGTTCCTTTCCCACTAACAGGTCAAAAGTCAAATTTATATTTTAAACTCTATTTTCATTCAAATGAGTTTCAGAAATGTACATAAATCATAAAAGTTAAATCTTTGTAATGTAATGTAATGTAATGTAAAAAATTTCAAAAATACATAATATGTATACTGCATCAGTCCTGGAAAGTTGTTGGCCCTACCAATATAGTCATCTTTCATTATTTACTAGTTTTTGCAGTCATAAGGGTGGATGGTTGTAGGTCAAGGAGAAGCTCTACTACTATATCAGAAACCAGACTCCAGAACATGTCCTGCAAGACTGTCCTCTCCTGGCGGAGCTGCGGAGCGACATATGGCAACACCCAGTAGAACTGACAACTAAGCTTTGGGGAAACCTAAGAGACCTTGAAAAGACATCCCAGTTTATGACCCACAGTGGATTATGCGCATGACCAGAGATCGCTGAAGAAGAAGAAGATATCAGAAACAGTTGTTTATTTTTTAAAGAACACCTTCGTCTCACATCGGACATGTCCATGGGGGCTTTAATCCTCTCCTGAGTTTGTCTCCAAGAATTTCTAGGCTTATAACTCCCACTTTTATAACAAAGGGTGGCTCTCGCATGGTTTTCCTGTCTCGCAGCCCCAATTAGTGTACCCAAGGTATGCAGTCTCTATGGCCCATTCATGATGGTTGCACTGCCAGCCAAAGCATCTGCTCTTTCTCATTGCCTTTCACATCACCATGCCTTGGGACACAAATGAAGGTGATTTTATGAAATACTGTGTGCTGCATCAGATGGAGCCACTGTTCCTGTATATACTCCCTGAACTTCTGTAGCATGCTCACTGAGACACTGAGCAAACATGCATTGGTGAATTCCTGAGTTTTCAGCTTTTCTAGGGCCTTTGTTAGAGCCATGACCTCCACCGCTGTGCTGCTGGTGATAGAAGCTAGGCTCCACTGTCTTCTTTGATGATTTTCCCTTTGGCAAAAAAAAAGACCTAACGGCTATCCTCCGAACTTCGGGCACTAAAGATGGCGGCCGCAAAATATCCTTTCGAGCCACAGTCACGTGTCAATTGTGCACTTCCGGCGACTTAATTTGCAGTTCTCCAGCGGTTTTCCGGCGACTACTGCCACCGCCACGAGTCCCCCACTCCGCTCACGCGGCGTGGATTGGGGCTAAACTAGATGGCTAAGACCCACGAGCAGCAGCTTCCGCATCTCCTTCAGCTTTGCTGCAGCTTTACTCGTGGCGGGAGTCACCGGAAAACTGCAGGAGAACCGCAAATTAAGTCACATGACTGTGGCTCGAAAGGATATTTTGCAGCCGTTATCTTTAGAGCCCGAAGTTCGGAGGATAGCCGACCTAACTATTAAAAAAAAAAAAGCTAAACACATGAACTTAGTGAAGGAAATGCTTCATCAGCTGAGATAGCTCAACTCCTACATGATAAAATAGTTTCTCACAGGTTCCCAGTAGTTGAAAGTCTCGTCACAGTCAGACACGACACTCCACAAGGCAGCACACAGTCGAGCAGACATCAGGAGTTTGAAAGCTGTGCCAGGAGTGGGAGTCCATGAGTCTCCCATGATGTTGCTTGGGTCACTGCCGCTGGGAGCAGAGAAGTCATTTAACAGATTTATTTTATCTTGCAATGATAATGGCATGAGGCCGCAGGTTAAATATCTGTAACATAACAGAGATCTTTACCTATTTATGGAATATGACAGGTGTGAGCAGTTGTGGTATGGCATGAGGCCGCAGGTTAAATATTTGTAACATAACAGAGGTCTTTACCTATTTGTGGAATATGACAGGTGTGAGCAGTTGTGGTATGGCATGAGGCCGCAGGTTAAATATTTGTAACATAACAGAGATCTTTACCTATTTATGGAATATGACAGGTGTGAGCAGTTGTGGTATGGCATGAGGCCGCAGGTTAAATATTTGTAACATAACAGAGGTCTTTACCTATTTATGGAATATGACAGTTGTGAGCAGTTGTGGTATGGCATGAGGCCGCAGGTTAAATATTTGTAACATAACAGAGATCTTTACCTATTTGTGGAATATGATAGGTGGTGAGCAGCTCTGGTAGTCTTTGGTGAAGTGATTTTTCTTTTGGGTTATTCTGTTCCCTTGTCATGGACTGCTACTTTGTGCAAGTTTCCAATGCAGGAAACATGTTTTTTATGGGAGTAATCTGTCTCAGAACAACTACCAATGCAGGCGCTACATATGAAAAGATCTGAAGTGAAAGCAAGAGGCCGCCCTAGGAGAACATGGACTGATGACATTAAAGAGCTTCTACATCGACAAAGAATGACAATAGATATTGCTGCCCATCAAGCCATGGATTGCAAACTGTTCCTTCCCAAAACCCTTAACGGCAGAAGTGGAAACTGATGATGATGATGAATGTGTATTATGGTTGTGCTGTGTCGAAGTAAGATGATGACTGATAAGCATCATTACCTTGACCGGCCCACCAAACTCACAATTTGATTGCGGAGGCCAGGAAAGACATACCACACCAGCAGGGGATGGCAACTGTCTACAAATGACAGCTTCTCATTTACAGAAGGCTCCTTGGATGGCTGGAAATGCCTTCCCTTGAGGGCCAACCAGTCTACCAATGGTTGCCCTGGATGTGTTCTCCAAGGGCAACACTTGCAGATAAAGGGACAAAGAGGACACCACACAAGTAAGGCTGCGTCAAGTGTCACAAAATGAAACAGGAAGGTCAACCCCGTGAACAAATGCCAGATGAAGACAAATGTGCTGGCCGAAAGGCCCAAATATTGCAGCTATATTGTAAACAGGCACATCACAATTACGTCACTCAGTAGAATGATTTATTATATGAGTTATTCAGAAGAAGATAATATATAAATATGTTAACATTCTCAGAGTATTATAATTACATGAGTGGTGCTGTGATTGGATCTTATACATAAGGGAAAGTTAAAGCTATTGTGCTATAAGGGAATACTATGTACCTCACCTCAGGCATCAGTAGGCTCTCTACTGGTTTTACAGAACTGTATTCAGAGTTCTTTAAAATACAAAACCTTACAAACATCATTGAAGGTCTTATATCAGGGGCAGTTTACACAGTATTGCAAGTCTTAAAAGCTGGAAATTCTGCTAAGCAGATGTGCTACATAAATCAAGCTTCTTGCTGCAGAAATGAAAATGTTATTTCCTTCACCTTTCCTACGGATGATTAATTCACCAACAGAAAACTACAGAATTAATATAAAAACTTGAATAAGGTTAAGCTTAATGTTATTTTTTAGATCTATTCAATGATATGTTATCATCACTCTACTACCTGACATCTGATACCCTGAGATCTGATGGCAGACCAACAGGACCTGAAGGTAAAAGTCTCAGGGCTGGTGGCAGACCAATAGGACCTGAAGGTAAAAGTCTCAGGGCTGGTGGCAGATCAACAGGACCTGAAGGTTTCACAGTAACCCAGGGTGTTTAAAAAAAAGTCTCAGGGCTGGTGGCAGATCAACAGGACCTGAAGGTTTCACAGTAACCCAGGGTGTTTAATAAAAAGTCTCAGGGCTGGTGGCAGATCAACAGGACCTGAAGGTTTCACAGTAACCCAGGGTGTTTTAAAAAAGTCTCAGCGCTGGTGGCGGATCAACAGGACCTGAAGGTTTCACAGTAACCCAGGGTGTTTAAAAAAAAGTCTCAGGGCTGGTGGCAGATCAACAGGACCTGAAGGTTTCACAGTAACCCAGGGTGTTTAAAAAAAGTCTCAGCGCTGGTGGCGGATCAACAGGACCTGAAGGTTTCACAGTAACCCAGGGTGTTTAAAAAAGTCTCAGTGCTGGTGGCAGACCAACAGGACCTGAAGGTTTCACAGTAACCCAGGGTGTTTAAAAAAAGTCTCAGTGCTGGTGGCAGACCAACAGGACCTGAAGGTCTGACGATGATACAGGAGGCTAGAGAAAGTCTCAGCACTGGTGGTAGACCAACAGGACCTGATGGTTTGACAGTTACACAGGAGGCTAAAAAAAAGTCTTTGCGCAGGTGGCAGACCAAGAGGACCTGATGGTTTGACAGTTACACAGGAGGCTAGAGAAAGTCTCAGCGCTGGTGGCAGACCAACAGGACCTGATGGTTTGACAGTTACACAGGAGGCTAGAGAAAGTCTCAGTGCTGGTGGTAGACCAACAGGACCTGATTGTTTTACAGTAACCCAGGGTGTTTTTAAAAAAGTCTCAGCGCTGGTGGTAGACCAACAGGACCTGATGGTTTGACAGTTACACAGGAGGCTAAAAAAAAGTCTCAGCGCTGATGGCAGACCAAGAAGGTACGCCCAGATACCACCTTCAAGCAAGTAATTATTAGGCACCCGACACATGCATCCTGCTGTCCAGGGGGGATACTGATCTACTTCCATCCGTGTTTGAAAACATAAGATAACTAATTTTCTATGCTATCAGTGTCAAATGTGGAAACTAACATTCTTTAATGAACGTAAAATTGTGACAACAGAGATTAAATGCCTTAAAAGAGCTGCAGGAGTTTAAAGGAAAGAGAGAATACGAAATCAGACGAATGTTAGGAATAAAGTCGGTCTTTCTGGTTATCAAAAAACAACAAATGAAGTAGTTTGGACACCTAACAAGAATGCCCTGGTATATCTACCACAGCGAGCCACACTGAAACGTTTTAACGGGTATAGAGCAAAGTGGAAAATATGGAGTGATGGCATTAAGAACAGCCTTACAGAAATGAACATCAGTCTTAATACTGCTCTTGATAGAGCTCATTAACGAACATTCCTTCCGACACTTCACTGAGGCACTCACTGAGGTACAAGTTGGAAGGGAAGAAGAAGAAGATAACTAATTTACAATCCACTGCGATTTGTCATCTGTTTAGGCATTCAATATTTATATAGAACTAAATGTAACAATCATTTCTGCAAATATATTCAAGAAAAGATCACCTTTCAGGTGAAAGGGACGGGTCGAGCTTTTTGGCCGGTCTAGAAGACTGATGAACTATGTGGCGTTTGACGACCATGGCAATTGTTGCAGACGACTACACTTTATCGATTAGTAAGTCTTGGCGGAACTCGTTAGTGCCGAGAGGTGCGATTAGCACAGACCAGATACAAATTATATAGAACCACTGTCAAACTGATAGACCTATACAATATATGTCTAGCCCTATATGCCCAATACGCCTGAAGGCGTGGACAATTGTTATTTTTTTACTGTCAGACTGTCACAACTGATGTATGTATTACCTTTTAGGGTGGTGTAGACAGAGGCTCGTAAACCTGAAGATCTAGAGATTTTAATTTGATTTGATTCAAGAACCGACATCACAGCACTCGGGGCATTCCCATAAGTGCTCCGTCCCCATCTTCAGCAGCCAGCGAAGAGTTCCGATACTAATGGTGCCAGTAGCTTTCTGATTAAACGTCCGTCTTGCCTTTCCTCTGAGCCTTGAGCTTCTGCCAGAACCTCTCGTCACCCCCAACTGCATCAATCTCACCAGACTGTGGTGATCCATCTGCTCCTCCGCATTGTACACGCTCTCCCACAAGGCACTAACCACGTCTGCCCTATCATGTAGCAGTATTCCACCAAGTTGTGCAGAGCCAGCCAGTCTGTCCACCTGTTTATTTCCCAAAACACCGGCGTGACCCGGTGAAAAAAATCCAGACAATACTCCTCACTCGTGTCCTCCGCAGCGAAACATGCCACCGGAGCTACAGGGCACGTGCTCTGCGCTTGACACATCATTCAGTGGTTAGTGAAGAGGGAGTGAAGATCTAGAGTCGCACGGCTAGTGCTGTCACCACAGACTGTGCAGATTAGGATGTTTAATTTTGCCCCCGACAGAAAAACTCAGTCACCTTAACGGGCCGGGGAGAGGGGGGGGTGTCGAACCTAGGTCTCCAGAATGAGAGCCCGATATTGTAACCGTTCGGTCCGCCACTCCATTGTAGTACTATTTTGGTCATTTCATGGGAAATAACGGCGGACACCGCCAATTGGTCTATTAAAAAAAAATATTTGTCTAGTATCATATACTAAAGGCACAACTGGCCGTAAAAAGTGTCCATTACTTACTTTATATAGAGTAAATCCGCCAGTGCATCAAGGCGGATTCTTTAAAAAAATGACTTCTCATAGCTCGACCCAAATTTAAATAGGTACAAGGAAATATTTTCGGAAATAGACGCGATCAGTTGGGGTGTTGACCGTATAACCCATCCATTGGTTATTGGTCTAAAAGTATGCGTTTAACACCATACGCTCAGTACGCGACCGTTGTGAAGAATATTCTCTACTTTGTATGTGACGCATTTTTTAAACGTGCAATACTCTCAGCTACAGCACGCTGAGAGGAAAGATGCAGGCTCTAAGAATGTTGACTTCCTTGCTGGTTCTTTGGCATATAGTTTTAATACTTACTGCAAGCGTGCATGGTAAAATAATGTCTTACTTTAGAGCAGTGTTATATAATTACAAAGGCGACAGAGTCAGAGGTCGGACACGTCGAATATCTGGTTAGTTGTGTATCCTTTACAGGACGTTGCAGAACCAACCCCTGCAGCCCCTGGCCTGTATGGTTTCTCTAGGCAAATTTACGTCCAGTAGTTTGCTGTTGCTTTCTGGACAGTCGGCCCCCTGATACCACTATCGAAACCAACGCAAGGCGCATGGCCCGCAGCTGGGATCGAACAAGGCACTCCAGCATAACGAAGCGTTCGCATCGACTTAGCCACAGAGTCGACACGTAGAATATGCACCGCAGAAATATCAGAGACATTGAAAAGTATTAAATACCAAGCGAACAGAAGGGCCCGATCCAGAGATCTCTTCCTCTCCTGATGCTGCGACACATTCCAGGAGTAGAGGAAGAAGAAAATGCAACTAATGGACTGGTTAGACATCTCGTAGAAAGTTTCAGCCAAGAAAGCCAGTTATGAATAGTCTACATAGAACAGTTTAACGTGACCTGGTTTTAGCATGGCTTCTGGATACACAAACAAACAGGGCCTCTGCTCCAATGTAGAAAAGAGAAAGTTAACTGGGTGATCATCATTACACTCCGGACATGTCCATAAGTGCTCACACCCTCTTCCCCCCCCCCCCCCCCCAGTATGAACACCAGCGTCCGGTGGCTAATAGTACCAATTCTTTGTTGATTAACAAGTCCTCTGAAGCATGGAATTCGTCTCGATTTTTGCTGCGCTAATCTTAACTCCTAAGTTTATCATTCTGGCGAGTGATGTGGATTCACTGCCCCAAAAGTCCTTCACCCTTCCCATTTCTCGGAGGGCATTACTAATATCAGCATGATCCATATGTTAACTGTCAGTAGTATTAGTGGATCCAGCCAATCTATCAACTCTTTTATTTCTATCGACGCCTGCATCTCCCAGAACGAAAATAAAGGTGACTCCACGCAGTGGACTCTGTAGTGATTTAACTCATTGCCTTCGAACCGAACCTGCCTGAACCCTCCAGATCATACTCATTGAATCAGTTTTGTGTTTTGAGCCATGCGAACGCTTGCGTTACTGCCATCACCTTATCGTCATGCTGATAGTTGTGGAAAAGAGAGAGTTTGGGGGGGGTGTTCAGTGGCAGAGATATAAGAACCAGGCTTGAATTAGAAGAAGAACGGAGCACTTATGGGTTACACCCGTGTGCCATAATGTTGATCTGTTGTTCAAAACTAGATATAAGAAAACATAGAAGGTTTTAATGTGTGAATGTAAAGTGCAAGCCAAAAATTTGTATTGAGTTATGGCAATATCACGCCGACCGCTATTACTTCCCAGGACGCTTTCTTGACAGGTTGACTCGACCCATTTGTTTGTTTGCGTTCAACAAAGGGGAACTCCCGGCAACAAGTTGTGGTTATTGGTCCATTTGGACCTTGACCTTGTGGCAGGACCAGAGGTGTGCTTTCACATTCATTTTACTGTCAATATGTCTGTGTAGTATATTGTTTTTTGCCTTTCAAGCAGATGCACACTCAGACTGCAAAAGAAACACTACTAATTAGACGCCTGTCATGACACGCTAAATGGGCTGTAGGGTAGTGGGTCGGGTCAGATGCATAGCTAAGCTAAGGTTTTTGGTGCCCGTTGCAACCTAGGGTTATTTTGACCCCATGGAGTTTGGCATACCTTTTTTCCTGTTTAATTCATTTGCATGTACAATTCCAAGGATCTTAAAATATATACTAGTACAGTATATATATATATATATATATATATATATATATATATATATATATATATATATATATATATATATATATATATATATATATATATATATATATATATATATATATATATATATATATATATATATATATATATATATATATATATACATATTACACACATACCTATATATCTATACGTATATATGTATATATAAACAGTTTCATTTATGATTATTTTATTCCATTCTGACCTGATTACCAATCCATTTGATTTTATTCCGTGAAATCAATTACAAAACTGTGCCTACAGCTGTTCTTATTTCTTCATTGCTGATGGTCTTTTTTTTTTTTCAGTCGCATTTCTTTCACATAATCTTGCATGTAATTTTGAGGATTTTTTCCCCTAGGACTGCTTATGTCTCACACTGATAGCACAAAGTTGGCAGGAATAAGAACAACGCATGTTATTTGAAGAAAGATATTTAATAAATAACGAATACATGAGCACTGTAATGAAGTAATTAATCAAGACAAAAATCTTGGATCCCAAACCCCAGTCAGCAGGAACACATAATGAAAAGTGCAATTTTACTGTTTCTATATACAGTTAATAATTCTAGGACAGAACATGTTCACCCACTGTATCTTTGGTGGAAAGTTCTAGTTTTTCTACTTCTTGGTTTTTTAGTCTTGCCAGAACTTGGGTTTTATTTGCTTTTCTGTTCAACAGATCTGGCTTATTTGTAAGCATATTTGTAAGCAGACTGTTGGTTTGCAACCTCTCTGGCAAATGCACTGGCACCATTAGTATCGGAACTCTTCGCTGGCTGCTGAAAATGGGGACGGAGCGCTTATGGGAATGCCCCTGGTGCTGTGATGTCGGTTCTTGAATCAAATCAAATCTTTGTAGAATATACCTATAATTAGTGGCCCCATACTACATACTTGCTTGGGAAGAGGCAGGGGGTGTAATATTTTCCCACACAAAATGGTGCCTGGAACCAAAAACAGGAGGGCAGAACTAATTTAAGTATTTTGTTTTTTTTCACTTGCAGTTTTTGTGTGTGTCTGGCAATTTAATTACTATAACAAAAGTTATTGGCTGTCTATATCACCTTCTTCCTTGTTTCTCTTTTGCAGGACAAGTAAAAGTAAAGCACCCTTTTCCAAGCCTTCTGGCTTACTGGGCATATAGGGTTAGACCTATATTTCATAGACCAATCAGCACTCAGGGGTAGATGTGGTCAGCATCACGCCAGCCATTTTCATTTCCCAGGACTTTAGCTGGCACCCATTTAAAAAGTATCACACACACACACACACACAAAAGGCACCTAGGAAAAGTATGTGTAAAAATGCATCTTTTTTGTTCAGTTTCAGTGGGCCCAACCTCTGCAAGCCTTTGTTTAAAAATCTCCTCCCCAGACAGACCCCCATGCAAGATGATGATGCTGATTGGCACCTTTCCTTCTTTCCAAACGATAGTGTTATATTGCGCTATGAGGAGGTATGGGACTCACAGCCCATGGCATTGACCAGTGTGACTAGCAAGACCTGCCCGTGTCAAAAAAACAAGTCTTCCACATGGGATTTCAGGACCATTGTTGTCAACATTTGTGTTTAATCCTCTTTTTTTTCAGACGCTCCTCTTTTCTGCAAACTTTTCTTCCTTCACCCTCATTCCCTTCCTGATATGCCCTCTCTACACAAGAGGGTCCATGCATGGCATTGTATTCCCATGAGTGCACCTCAATACCCGTATCATTCATGTTCCGCTTGCACACATCTTTATACCGTAGTAGAGGTTAGCCTAGACGTCTTCTTATCCCAGATAATGGGCTCTAAAACAATCAGAAGGTTTCCCTTCTATGACACTATATCACGGCAGTGGCCTGCTCATTCTGAGTCCCAGCGGTTGAGGAATTTCAAAATGTACAACTTGCACAGAATTAAAGTACAGCAGAGAGGCTAGAAAATCATGCCAAGCAGCGAATCTCAATCACACAGAGAACAGGTGAAAGCTCTAGACATCAGCAATATATACATGTATAGACAATGTTCTTTTATTTAAAATATACTTTCAAATTTATTAATTTTCTTTCGACCTTTCACATGTTTGTGTGTATGAGACCTCAAGGTGTGACGAGTTTCCTCCTCACAGTGCAAGTCTAATTAACTGGTGGGCCGCAGAGGCCTACGAGCCATTGCCATGTGTACTGTACTACTGATCTGTCTATGTTGAGGCTCAGGCCTATGGTGATTCCCCTTTTCAAAATTTTGGTACACGAGTATAAACTTAGCTGAATAGCCCTGTCGTAGAGTTTTGCTTTACTGACATTCATCACAAAGAGCTGAGGCAAGTAGTAATCGTACTTTGGCTTGTCGGCCATTTTTAACCTTCATCAGATCCAAACAGCTTATACGGATGGCAATTCATACAGCTATAAGAAGCAAATAACTAGTTTGTCATGTTTACACCATTCATCACTTTCATATATATGTGTGTGTGCACATAAAACGCATTAAGTACTCTGTTAAATCTGTAGGATATCACAGTTCATCTTAATTCCAACGTACAGCTATCGAAACCCACTGCTGTCTATGTGGATTTTTATCATGGTATGGGGCGCTGCAGGTCGACCCAGCTTAAAATGGGTACCAGGATGGATGTCCTGGGGGAAGTAAAGACGACCGGCATAATGATGACCACATTACCCACTTAGTGCCGATTGGTCTGTAAAAATATGGGACGCTCTTACCATATGCCCGATGCGCCTAAAGCGTGTAAAGGGATCTTTACTTACTTGCAAGTAAGTCTGATTTTGCCAAAATATTTTATCATCTGCATGCCAAATAAGCCTAGATACAAGCCATAAACTATTTTGTCATGACGCAGGAAAACAGCAAGAAAAAAGCAAACATTCTACATATGCAAACAAAATCTTAAATAGGAAGTGGCCAATTATACCTTGCCAAAAAAGAGGCCAAATACAATTTACAAAACTCTAAAGAAATTCAATTGCTGTGGTTTGCTAGTGTTCTTTTTCTGTTTTCACTCTGTTCAAACTTGTGGAAAATCCAAGACCCTGAAACAGTTTGCCTAAATCCACATTTGAATAAGCACTTTTATCCAGCCAACGAGAAACGACAAGTTTTAATTCTCTGTAAGTCTGTAGGATCTCAGAGTTCATCTTGCGAGCTATGGCTGAAATGTATAATGTAATTAATTGGTCAATACAAGTGGAAATGTTCGGCTGAAAAATATATTATATACTGTAAATAATAAGTTAATATCAGTAGGTACGTAGTTGTTTGCGTTCACCGGCTGTACACACCGGTGGAAAGACCTGGTTGTTCATCCATTTCTGGACTTCGGCTTTGTTCCAGGACCTGAGTTTTGCATATGCATCTGTTTTACAGATCTTGCTTATCTGTGTGCAGGCTGTGGGTTCCTTGCCTATCAGGCAGATGCACTGACTTTGAAGGAAGCCCCCAGGGAGTCTGGCTCCCATGTTTTGTGCATTTACCCGAGAAAACAAGGTATATGATCTAATTATCCAAAATGTCACCATCATCATCACCATCACATAGCAGGTCTTTGCTGAATGACACTCTGACCAGGGGTCCTTGATATCCTGTGTCTATCAGCGTGCTGGTCATTGCTTGCCTTTTCTTCCAGGAACCATACCCTCCATTATTGTTTTTTCCAAACCATCAAGGCGTTTAATATGGTTGAAGTATTTAAGTTTACCCTATTCTGGATCTTTGTACTGGGAAGGCTAACCCGGTCAACAAATGCCCGCAGAAGTCGGATGTGTTGGCCGAAAGGTGCAAATATCGCAGCCATGCTGTAAACGGACACAACGCAATTACATCTTCGGATGAACGCAGAAGAAAAAGGATCTTTGCTAATCAGATGACACAGTCCTCCTTTCGAACACTTTAAAGGGCACAGAAATCGTAACCATGTCTGTCAAAAAAAAATGGTAAAGATCAATCAAACGCTGTTCTCGAATTTAAAGAAAATTAAAAATAATGTCCAGACAAAACTGGCTGTCAACCAAAAAATAAATGATGAAGAAACTGAAAATGTCACAAAATGAATACCTAGGATCAATAACAAACAGCAATGGAGGCTGTTCGACAGAAGTCAAAAGGAGGATGGCCATAGAAATACAAAGATTAAACAGCATTCAAAGTCTATGGTTGAGCACCAGCAAGGAAATGAATGTAAACATATTGACAGCATGCATCTTCCCTGTAGCAACATAAGTATGTGAGTCGTGGACTATCTCAATCTCCCAGCCCTTCAGTAAGAAAACAGGGGCTTTTGAGCTGAAATGCTTTAGAAAGATTCTCACAATACCATGGACAAAGAAGAGAAGAAATAGAAAGAAGAGAAGAAATAATGACATTCTAAAAGTTCTGAACATCAAAGAAGACAAGATAATAAACAGCATCTTGTCTCGCAATCTTAAATATTTTATCCATATCAAGCGCCTGGGGGGAAAGCCAATAGCAGAAATCACTGTATCCGGATGGAGAGGTAAAAATGGGCACAAGGATATAAGTCATTCCTTGGATATGAAAGTTCATGGGGTGGGACATCTGGCGAAAGACTGGGTTTCTTTCAGGCAGCCCGTGATGAGAGTGATGTTCTGCAAAGGACCTTCTACATGATGATAATAATTTAGGTTTACGAGAAAAAGTGCTCTTTCAAGGCGCCACACTAAAATATTAGTGTCGGTGACTGAAATCTCATGCATTTATTGCAGAAAACTATTCTTGACCTGAGCTGGTCTTTCAAGTCACACTCATCATTACCCGATGACCTCTAATGTCTAATAGATAAACACTATCATTTGAAAAGATAGAAAGATGCAAGAAAAAGAATGGATGGAATCATTTTAAACAATGTCAAGAGACAACAGGTCTGGACATTTGTCAAAACTACCACCAGACGGCGCACCAGAGAGCCATGTCACTGAGGCATAATGGAAGCAGATCTAGAGGTCGACGAGGCAAGCGATGGATAGATGAAATAACTGTAAATACTCACACCTATGTAGCACACATACTAAAGCTCTCACCTACTGCTTCTTCAAAACCTGACATTGAAAGGCAGAACAGGACCGGAGAAGAATAAGGAGGAGAAGGATGCAAAACTAAGATATTAAACATATGAATCTGTTAACAACAAATATATTCTAAAAACATATATTTTAAGTTACCTTTCTCAATATCATTCAGGCATGTGATAGCTTTAGGGACATCAAACATGTACTCATAGAAACACAGCTGGGTGTACAGAGCCGAGTCAGTGTACTGAAAGACAAGAAAGCAAATGTTACTGGCCAAACCTTTATACACATCATACCTAGTCATCATTCAGCAATTAAACAAAATTGCTTTGAATGAACTTGGAAACTGTTGACCATCATCTCTTTTTGAGTGCCAAAACTCTGGAGACAAGAAGAATGCTGTTCTCTCTGAGACCAGACAAGTGGAACACCTTCTCTCCAGATAAAAACACTTTGGAGACAAGAAGAATGCTACTAAGCCTACGCAGAAGACAACTGAGGCACAGCTACTGGTCTCAAACAACGCTCGACCCACACCACCCTGCCGCCCAGGCGCTGACTGTTCATGAATATCCATGGTCGAAAACCAGCATCCCACTGCAAAAATTCCAAAGACCAGCATCCTGGAAAACGGCAGCAGAACTGAACACCATCAACAACAGCGGTATAAGGTACCACCCGACAACCCCAACCTGGGAGCTCAAAATTCCGTACACGGACGAAAGCCTGGCGCACGAAATCGACAAAAACCAGGCCATCCTCGATGCAAGGTCGAGAGTCGACGAGTACATCCGGAATGCTGAAGTAGACACCATGATTATCTACACAGACGGCTCCAAAACCAGTACGGGTGCGGTCGGCGCAGGGGTCTTCATACCAGCCTTAAAAACAACCCACGAATATAGGCTCACTGACGATACAGCAGTATGCACGGCAGAGCTGGTAGGGATACTAAAAGCACTGGAGCTAGCCTGCGAAAGGCCGCCCATTAAGCTCCTTATCCTCACCGACTCGCTGTCATCTGTCCAGTCATTAAAAGACTATTCGAAAGTGAGCCGACAAGACCTGAAAGAAGAAATCCTGACTTTGTCAACCAGACTGAGGAGCCTGGGATGCCAGGTAACCATTGGCTGGATCCCAGCTCACATAGGTATCGAAGGCAACGAAGCAGCAGACAGAGCGGCAAAAAGAGGCACCAGCAGCCCTAACACAGTGTTCACGGGACTGGGCAAAACAGAACAAAAAGCAGTCATCAGAAACAACGTCTGCAAAGACTGGTCCCAGCAGTGGTCGACCAGCGATAAAGGCAGAATCGCCTACAAATTACTAAAACAACCCAGTCTTAAGAACCAAGTGCAAGCGCCGACAAAAATACCTGTCATCCGCAAGCTGTGGAAGATGCGACTAGGGTGTTGGACAGACCGATTCCGCACGCCTGTGTGTCAGGAATGCAGGGCCAACAACTCTATGGAACACTTCCTGCTGAACTGCAAAACCTACAAACCTGAAAAACAAGATCTTGTGTTACACTTTAGAGCAAGAAACGAACCAATGACTGTCGAAAACTGCCTCAGCGTGAACGCTGAGGACCAGGTCCAGCGACTCGTCAAGCAGTTCATTTCAAGAACGGGGAAAGCGATCTAAGAAGCCATCCCTCAACCCAGAGCTGTACAACCAGATGGGACCGGACCAGATCCTGCGAGTACCAGCGGCACCTGCCAGGACAGTCTATCCTTCCTCTCACTCTCCCGACCTCGCTTTATGTCCTCTGAAGCATTCCAGCACTCTTCACCTATGCTACTACCACTACCTCTACCTGTCCGCTGGCGAATAACATCGTAAATGCCAAAGTTGTAACACAAATCTGAAATTAGTATATTTTCAGGTGGAAGTAGACAGCGGAACCCACCAAAGGCCACCCGACGCTCTGAAGCAGCTAGCCAAGGGCATTGCACCAAAGGGGACCAGCACTAGGGAATTCCTGTCTAACTTACGCCACCTTAAATGTATTTATAACAATGCCTTTCAGTCCCATTTCAGACCCTGCCCTAAGGCCGAAAACCAGCGTGAAGGCCTAAGTGATTACCAAAACTTTAATTAACATTCTTTCAGGCAGAAGTAGACAGCGGAACCCACCAAAGGCCACCCGACGCTCTGAAGCAGCTAGCCAAGGGCATTGCACCAAAGGGGACCAGCACCAGGAATTCCTGTCTAACTTACGCCACCTTAAATGTATCTATAACAATGCCTTTCAGTCCCATTTCAGACCCTGCCCTAAGGCCGAATACCAGCGTGAAGGCCTAAGTGATTACCAAAACTTTAATTAACATTCTTTCAGGCAGAAGTTGACAACGGAAACCACCAAAGGCCACCCGACGTTCTGAAGCAGACCGCTGAAGACATTGCACCAAAGGGGACCAGCACCCGGTAACTCCAGAATCTCTTAAGCCACACCCCCCCCCCCCCCCCCCCCAGTCACATGAACATTAACAATGCCTCTAGTTTTATTTCAGGACAATGGATCTCAACCCACGAGAAGTTCCAGCAACGAGAAGCCACATCCCTCAATCTATATGTCACTCTCATTCTCCCGACCTCACTATCACATCTACTGGCACATTCGGGCAAACTGACCTCTCATTTGCAGTCTATCTCACCTCCACTACTTCTCCACACTCCGTGGGGGAAAAAAAAAAAAAAAAAAAAATTTTTTTTTTTTTTTGGGCCGATCACAACAACAGATTGTGACGGCCCTGGTTGTCCTGAAAAGGAACATTGTTTGTATCGATGGAGCAACGGATATTTGTGTGGCTTTTTCCGGCGGCTTTTAGATCGGCAACCAAGCAGCAACAGGGCACCAGCACAGCGACCAGCACGAGGCAAACCAAGCACCAGCAACAGTCAGCTAGTACCCTTCAATATCACCGCAAAGAGATCTGGAACACACCAGAACCCAAAACCGCAAACAACGCAGCACAGCAAGGAAGCAAACAACCATAATATCAGGTGTGTCTACACACCACAAATAAAAGGAAACCATATAAGACAGCAAAGGACCCTTCTTCGATATAGCAGGCCCTCGGGCGGCTGAAAGAGGATCAAATTTGGAATTTTTCTTGGACAACTGGCAATGGCAATGGCAGAAGAATGCTGTTCTCTCTGAGACCAGACAAGTGGAACACCTTCTCTCCAGATAAAAACAATCTATTTTGCCTCTGCATTGTTCACTTGCTCCCAATGGGCTTTGACTACATTTAGCTTCTAATGCATCAATTCACCACTCAATGGTGCAGAACCAGCCTATCTGTCTTGACTGTTCATTTCCCAAGACTCCTACATACTGAAGAAAATATACAAAGCTAACTACATCATGAGTTTATACTCTCTCCTTTTATGAAAGGCTTTTCCTAACTCTATGTGCCATTTCCAGTTGTTATATTAACCTCATTCAATTTAATTTATTACATTAACTTAACAATACCATTAATTCTAAACTCTATTAGATGTAATCATTACTAATTTAGAGTTTTGCCTTATTTTTTACCATTTTTTTTTTAAAAACTAAATTTAATTTATGATCAATCTTGCTAAATGACTGAGCAGAAACAAAACAAACGGGATTGCTTCCAGTAGCTAGTTTTCTCGTAAACAAGTCATCTCAGTCAGCGGGGAAAACTGCATGGTACCAACAGGAACTGTTGGCTTTGTGGCTTCTCAGTGCTTATGTTTTTATCCTGTATTTATGGTAAGTAGTAGTAGTAGCACATTTTACCCCACTAGGACATCACACAAGCAATAAACACCCGATGACACAAAGTGCCACCATGTGAGGGTCACCCATGGAGAGGTCCCGGAAACTGCGTCCAGCCATTAGGCCATATTTATGGCCGGGCTATATTGTGGCCCCTGGCAGGAGCCAGGGTAGGGTTTCAAAATAACAAACATTTGCATCCTACAAAGGGATGACGAGTGTTAGTATTTATAGTTGTTTCCCTTTGAAAATTTGCATGGAAACCTGTCTAAAGCAGAAAGAGTTAAATTGTGCACATATAGAACTGGGCCTCTCTACATGCATGATTACTAGATCAAAAATTTTTCTCACCTCTGGATGTAGGTAACCTTTATCACAGGTGGGACAAACTGGGTGACCCCTCTGCATGATTAAGGGCATCTTGTTTGTCCTGGCAGCACAGCCGGTGTCCTCACACACTAGCCATCCCTGGGGACACATTTTAGTCACAGATCATGTACAACAGTCAAAATTATACTTATTGATAATAAAATACAATAGGCAGGTCAAAAAGGGACGAGGAAAATTGTGCCAAATGTGCAAATATCTCAGCTCAGGATAAGTTTTTAAAAAAAAGTAAAGTAAAGATCCCGTTTCACGCCTTTAGGCGTATCAGACACATGGGAAGAGCGCCCGTATTTTTACAGATCATAAGTGGGTAATGTGGTCAGCATTACGCCGGCCGTCTTTACTTCCAAGGACAGCCATCCTGGTACCCATTTAAGGCTGGGTCGACCTGCGACGACCCATACCATTACAAAAATCCACACAGCCAGCAGTGGGTTTCGATCGCGGTACGTTAGAATTACGAGTTGGACTAGCAACGCCTAAGCCATGGACGCTGCTATGATATCTGAGGAAAGTTGAAAAAAAAAAAAGTGCCACCAGCCATTTTAAGTCAGCATAGAATAAAAGAAAAAAGGAGGATTGCTGAAGAAGATAACAAATGTCTACCATATCATCTTTGTCATCAAATGCTTTGCAGACTGGGGTGGGCAATCATGCTTCTCAACAATCTGCAATCTTCAGTGGCATGTATCAGTTCATGTGCTGACACCCCTCTATGCCCTGACAAAAGGTTGTCAAGAATCTTCTCACACTATCTTTTTCCAGAGATCTTTCCAGTGGTCACAACATGTTCATTTTCCCTCTTCTCATAACATAACCAAAACATGATGACTGTCTCATACTGATGTTTATGATAAGTTATTTTTGAGCCCTCACTTCTTTCAAAACATCTGGGTTACTCTTTTGACTGTCCAAGGAAATATAAGAATTCTTCTGAAAAACCACATCTCAAAGGCCTCAAGAAATTGTTTGGCTTGTTGACATAAAGCCCCTAAAAACAAACTGTACCTGATAGTACTTGTTCACATGTTGCTGTATCTTCATCTGAAGAAGATTCTTTAGTTTGGCCTTTAACTTCCACAATGGCATTCTGCATTCCATATTAGGGCACGCCAGGATGGCTGGGCTAATGTTTGAATCCTGTTAGTGAAAGGATGAAAACAGTCAACATGTGCTGAAGATAAATTACTTTGGCCTCAGTGGCATATAAGACTATCAATTATGAAGAAACTAACATTTTCAGTGAACATTCTGCTTAAAAACTAGGAAATATAAGTGAAAATCCTACACAAATCAAGCAAATGTAGCCACATTTCAGGTGTAAATTCTATATAGAACAAGAAAATAATCATTTTCAGTGAACATTCTATAGAAAAACAAGAAAATATACTTTAAATTTCAACGAAAATCCTACTCTGAAAAAAATATATTACAATTCCAGTGAAAATTCTATACAAAACAAGCAAAAGTTTCAGGGAACATACTACAGAAAAAAAATTAGGAATTCTACTTACATTGCCAGTGAACACAGAGTCCAGTACTATCTGACGGTCACAATTCGGCGAAGGACAACAAAATGTAAATCTATCACAATCTCTGAACCTTTCTTCTAGTGTCAGCTGCATGGTCACAAGGTCTTCTTCTGCTGTATCCTCCTGGCGAGTGGTGTGTCGATAACCGGACGGATCCAAACCTGATCAGAAAGAATAAATGTGTAGGTAGATAGGTGGTTTGCTGTTTGAAAAAAAAAAACTATTTTAAAATCATAGTTCAACCAGCATCCCTAAAAGGGGAGCTTGCTTTAGGTTATAATTGTTGACTACTTTATGTGACCATATAAAATGTCTTAGCATTGCCACCACCAAAAGCCCTGAAAAGGACTCCTACAGTGTTAATGTGATCAAAGAAGACAGACCCAAATACTGTCCCAACTGGCAACGACGAAGTCGCCTATCCGCCAGTCAACGGACGACCTAGTCGTCAATGAATAAACATGTGTAATACTATAATATTTAAAACAAAGTTTCTGTGTAGGTTTCCGGGCCCCTTTGTGGTGAAAAACTAGAAAAGACCCATTGTCCCTTGTAAATAAACCAAATATGATTTAGTCTTTTGAGTCTTAACCCAACTAACAATAAGTATGGTGATTACCTGACTCCACAGGCGAAGATGAACCAAGACAACGCACTGAGCTAAAGGTGAATTAAAAACAAGATGCCGAATACATGGCTAAACAAGAGCAGAAAGTGAATACTGACTTACCCAGACATTCTGCAATACGAGCACTATCTGTCCCTTCAATTGGATCACACAACCTGGCAACAACTGGATGGATCTGATGTGCCAGATAATATCTGGTATCTGCATGGGAAAGAAGAAAAAAACTGGTGTCAAATATATTCAGCCATGTAAAGATAAATTTCTGCTGCAGTTCTCAAGGCCTCTGCCTGAAAATTACTTGATAATTTTCCGGCTGCAACCTGCTGTGCGGGAAATGCATAAAGTGATGCCTGCACTATTGCTTTGTTTAGACTTTCCATTAGCATATTCATGTTGCCATGTCATATGTTTATGTTTTCACAGTACTTGTCTGTGAGCACAGCAAATTTATCACAATCTTTTTTTTTTCTTTCTTCTTCTTCTTCTTCTGCCTTTCTAGCCCCCAAAGGAGCATAGGCCCTCAACCAACTCACACCAAGTCATTCTATACATGCAGCTCTCCCCATCTTTCTATCTTCATTCTCCAGCTCCCTTCTCCATGTGTTTTTTGGCCTTCCTTTATTTCTATGTCCCTGTGGGTTCCAATGCAAAGGCATTCTAGTTATACTGTTCTACGGTTTTCTCAATGTGTGTCCTAGCCAACACCAGCATCTTTTCTTCACCTCTTGGTCCACTGGAGCTTGCTTAGTTCTCTCCCAGAGCTCTACATTTGTGACTTTATCATACCATTTAATTTCCTCTATTCTGTGCAGGCACCAGTTAATGAATGTCTGTAGTTTATTAGTAATTGCCTTAGTTGTTCTCCATGTTTCTACCCCATGCAAAAGTACTGATTTGACATTAGAAATAACAATTTTAAGTTTAGTATTTCTTTCAATTTCTTTTGACCTCCACAAATTCCCTAGTGCTATGAAAGCTCCTCTTGCCATTTGTATTCTTATTTTAATATCTCTATCAGTTCCCCCATCTTTAGCTACATTATGCCCAAATAGGTGTATGACTCCACATCTTGGAGTGGGGTGCCATTAAGAGAAACCACATTACTATTTGCCTGATTTATTCTCATTATCTTTATCTTTCCTTTATGGATTTTCAGACCTAGCTGCTGTGATCTCGCATCAGGTATATTTAATTTATCTTGCATCTGATTCCGTGAATGGGACAGAAGAGAAATATCTCCGTGAATGGGACAGAAGAGAAATATTATCTCAGTGAATGGGACAAAAGAGAAATATTATCTCCGTATTATCTCCGTGAATGGGACAAAAGAAATATTATCTCCGTGAATGGGACAAAAGAGAAATATTATCTCCATGAATGGGACATAAGAGAAATATTATCTCCGTGATTGGGACAGAAGAGAAATATTATCTCTGTGAACGGGTCAGAAGAGATCTCCGTGAACGGGTCAGAAGAGAGATATTATCTCCGTGAACGGGTCAGAAGAGATATTATCTCCGTGAACAGGTCAGAAGAGAGATATTATCTCCGTGAACGGGTCAGAAGAGAGATATTATCTCCGTGAATGGGACAGAAGAGAAATATCATCACAATCAGCTTGTCTATAATTCCAGCAAGACAATGATTTCTGTTCCTGTGGGGTATAATTCATATTTAGGACTAACTACAAAAAAGATTTTCTGAAACTCCTGAACATAACAGACCAAGTCACAGTTTTTCGCTTATGTACTTGACACTGCAGACTCAATAAACACTCATATAAATTAGGTATCAGCCAAACAGCTCTCTGCCAGTGTCTTCGTGCTGAACAGACTCCAGAACATGTCCTGCAAGACTGTCCTTTCTTGGCGGAGCAACATATGGCAACACCCAGTAGAACTGACAACTAAGCTTTGGAGAAACCTAAGAGACCTTGAAAAGACATCCCAGTTTAAGGCCCACAGTGGATTATGCGCATGACCAAAGATCACTGAAGAAGAAGATGATTTTTAGTACAAATTTCACTGATCTATAATCACTGCCTGCCAACTGATCAGTTTTGTGAAGAATGTCTCCTGTGCTAAGTCAGGAGTGGAAGATTCACACCATCTTCTAGAGTAGAAGCTGGGTTTGTCTTCTTGTTGATTAAACAGAGATTAGAGTCTATTACCCAGTCCTTCACTTCATCTCCTCTGGTGTCAGTATCTGGGTATTCCCATCTTTCTGAGCGACTATTAAATTCACAAACTACAATGCAGTTTGTCTTTTATTTCCATGCCTGAAAGTACAAAATCATTATTTGCTGGGTTATATAAATTGTATATTCTGATTTTCTCCTCCTCTATCGAGATATCAACTCAAGACTCCTTCAGCGTTCCACTGTAGTACGTTAAATGTTCTGGATGTCTGGTCAATAGTTTCTACCCTAATGCCCTGTGCCTTGACTCCACGGTAGAGGGGTAGGTGCTCATCAGTCGTGTTGGGTGGACCTTTTCAAGGCAAGGGGCCCGGTGCTATCTCTGCCTCTTTGAGATTAGCACTGTATTGATATATTTTTATTTGCGACATCTTTAAATTAAAGAGTGTCTCTCTTCATCTGGTTCGCTCTCCTTTGACATTTCCAACATAGGAGACCCTACCAGTAGCTTAGCTAATGTTGGCATAGCTCTAAAGGTCAATGGAACACACAAGCCCCTCTAACTCAATAAGTGGTACACATCTAAGGGGTGCCAGGCTAATTAAACGGTAGGTTACATTTATGTTGACTTAGTGGTTGATTAAAATTATGTCAGGCTAACTTAGTGGCAGGTTAACTTTATGCCAGTTTAACTACGTGGCAGGTTACATTATGCCAGTTTAACTACGTGGCAGGTTAAATTTATGCTAGGCTAGCTTAGTGGCAGGTTACATTTATGTTAGGCTAGCTTAGTGGCAAGTTACATTTATGTTAGGCTAGCTTAGTGGCAGGTTACATTTATGTTAGGCTAGCTTAGTGGCAGGTTACATTTGTGTTAGGCTAGCTTAGTGGCATGTTACATTTATGTTAGGCTAGCTTAGTGGCAGGTTACATTTATCTTGGGCATACAAAGTCTAGAGGTAGACAAACAGCCAGAACTTTCTGCTGGAGTTTACAGCCAGCAAACGAAGAAAAGAAGTTATTGCCTTACCAACTTTGAGATTATCCTGTTTGGCTAGTTCATCTGGGTGGTAAGATCTTTGTGTGGCAGACAATGTTGAACCATCCTGCAAAAAATGTCCAGCAAATATGAATCACCTCTAAACAACGCATGTTAGAACATAAGGTTTTATTAGGATGAACATTATATACAATTCTATGGTGTTTACTGGAGAAATTAAAATCAATTTTATGTGTGTTCATAAAAAATGTTTCTTGGACACACTATATGGTATTTTATGTCTACTGAGTAAGTTTATTTGTCTTCTTCTTTTTCTCCCGTATTCACACTTAAACGGGTGGTTGACATGCTGTGTTGTGACAGCTAGGCTGTGATATCTACAAATATCAGTCCAACACATCTGATTTCAGCAAAGCCCTAAGTGGAGAGGGAGGGGTGTTTGTGTGTGTGTTCCTCCTCTCCCCCCCCCCCCCCCACAAAATGAGGCCTTGGGTGTCAATTTAGAAATACAAGGTCCAATAATTAAGTAATGAGCCTTTGTATCATCCTTTACCCATAGCAGAATATTTATCATCATCATCATCTATGTGCCATTAGAGGCCACATAGGGCTCACATTCTATTCCTCTACTTCGCTCTATTGCCTGCAACTCTATTTCTCAACTGGAGGGTTTTTAGCAACTCATAATAATGTTCTTCTTAATGTTTCCCTAGGATGACTCTTTTTCTCAGACCTTTTTGTTCGCCATTTTTGTAGAATATTTACAGAATATATATTTTATGTGGGTGTGGAATACAAGAGAAACCACTACATTCATTTTACATTACATGTTTACGGACAGACATATATTTTTGTAATGTTCTGTGACTGCTTTTTAAATATTTTGTAACTGTCACCATATTCTGCAACTGTCACCATATTCTGCAGCTGTCACTATATTCTGCAGCTGTGACCATATTCTGCAACTGTCACCATATTCTGCAACTGTCACCATATTCTGTAACTGTCACCATATTCTGCAACTGTCACCATATTCTGTAACTGTCACCATATTCTGTAACTGTCACCATATTCTGCAACTGTCACTATATTCTGCAGCTGTGACCATATTCTGCAGCTGTCACCATATTCTGCAACTGTCACCATATTCTGTAACTGTCACCATATTCTGCAACTGTCACCATATTTTGCAACTGTCACCATATTTTGCAACTGTCACCATATTCTGTAACTGTCACCATATTCTGTAACTGTCACCATATTCTGCAACTGTCACTATATTCTGCAGCTGTGACCATATTCTGCAGCTGTCACCATATTCTGCAACTGTCACCATATTCTGCAACTGTCACCATATTCTGTAACTGTCACCATATTCTGCAACTGTCACCATATTTTGCAACTGTCACCATATTTTGCAACTGTCACCATATTCTGCAACTGTCACCATATTCTGCAACTGTCACCATATTCTGCAACTGTCACCATATTCCTTAACTGCCACCATATTCCTTAACTGCCACCATATTCCTTAACTGTCACCATATTCCTTAACTGTCACCATATTCCTTAATTGTCACCATATTCTGTAACTGTCACCATATTCTGTAACTGTCACCATATTCTGCAACTGTCACCATATTCTACAACTGTCACCATATTCTGCAACTGTCACCATATTCTGTAACTGTCACCATATTCTGCAACTGTCACCATATTCTGTAACTGTCACCATATTCTGCAACTGTCACCATATTCTGTAACTGTCACCACCAAACATGTCTTGTAACTGTCACCATACCCAAACCATGTTTTTTAAGTGTTACCAAAAACACATATTTTCTTTAGCTGCTTCCAAATTCCAAACATTCTGTAATTAGTTAACAGATTATCTTCACTGCAAGCACTTGGATCCCATCTTCAATATGTCCCCCAGTGTGTGGCAACTAAAAACACAAGTTCTGTGTTGGTTTACTATTCTTCTTTGGCTAACTGTATACTGTTCATGTTTGGCAACACCTCTTTTGACCTGAAGTTCTTGTAGTCCTTTGCATTTTGCAGACTCACCGTCTCCTGAATTATCTTCTCAAACTGCATCCTTGAGAACACTGGGAATGTCAGCCAGGTCCATTGCTTTTGTTGTATCTGCGAGGCGCTACCAACAAGCTAATCTGCTCGTTCATTCACTCTTACCCCAGTGTGTCCTGGCACAAAAATGAAACTATGATTCCTATCAAACGAGATTTCCTCAGCGACTCCAACCATTTTCTTCGAATCCATCCTGTCTCTATCTTCTTAAGCATGCTCATGGAATCACTGAAAAAGCATGCATGAGACAAAATGATGTGACAAAATGCTGTGTCTCTAGCCACATCATTGCTTTTGTCACCACCATGACTTAAGACTACATATAGTTGAGGCAAAAGCACCGTTATCATCTTTTACAGTTTTCCTTCGAACCAGAACCGTGAAAGTCTATGAACTTCGTAGGCGCAGAGTGACGGATCCATCGGTGTAAATAACTTATCTCCGTCAGCAGAATTTTCAAGAATTAAGGCTTGAACTTCTGCCTTAGCCACTAACTGTCCTTGTTGTCTGCATTCTATATCTAGGTTTATGCAAGAGTGAAAAGGATGTGCGCCACTTTGCTGGCACTCATACTCATTCCTCACCAGGTTCTATGTCCTCAGGTGAACAAACCTGTTGAATTTTGTTTTCAGCCTGCCCCAGCAGTATTGTCCTGTTTTTAACCTGCAACCCTTCTTCCTGCCAATCTCACTGTGCAATTGATCAGTACTGATATGCACGCGCTTGGCAGATCACTGTTCTCACTTCCATGGTTGGAAGATCAAGGAGGTAACATATCGCCCAGCATGCTGTATTTTTTGTGCATCCAAGTATGATGCACATGGCCTCATTCTGGATCCTATCCAGCCTTTCTGTCTGTGTACGGCTAAGATCGCCAAAGCGTACTCAAATACAGAAAGGATCAGACCCTGGTATAATTAAAAATAGTTAACGCTACTCCAATTTTGTCGCAGCCATAATCCTTAGCGCTGTCAACCCCCCCCCCCTTTCCACACATTGCCCTTATTATCACGTAGGTGGTTGACATGCTCATAACAACCCAAAACTACAATCATAACACACTTAGATATTTCATTGTACAAGCTTTCTCCACGATCTTCAAACACAGACTTACACTTGGTGTATTTATAATATGGTTATTTAGTGAATAACCATGTCACCGCTGATTTCAACACACTGAAGACCACTCCTGCTTCATCATACCGCCTGCTTATGTAATCCAGTTCTGTCTGAAGTCCTTTAGTAAACTGCTCCCGGTCTCTGTCTTGACAGTACGCCAAAACATCATCAATCATCTTAGGACAGTGTCTTTCCTAGCTTCATGATTCTCATGGTGAAAATGTTGAACACTATCAAGGACAAAGGTGAACCTTGTGGCAGACCGGGTTGTACAGTTATTGGTTCAGATGCTTAACTACCACATTTGAACACCCCCTTCTACTCGACGAGAACCAAGCAGATCCAATTAATGAGGAAAGGGCTGAGTCTGAAATCAAGAAGCTGACAAATGAAGAAGTCAAATGGTACTTTGTTGTATGCATCCTCAAGATCAACTGTAGCAGCACAAGTTGCCATGCCTGAGCGAAATCCTTCATAAACATCATATGCAAAGATCGCTGCATTTCTTTAGGACTCTCTGAGCGATATCCTCCCAGGGTGGGTGGAAGCATAACTGCTCAAGATGACTTCATATTTTCTTTTCCAACAACTTGCCAATTGTATTCTGCATTGTGATTACATGGTAGCCCTGCATTGTTGTATGGTGTTTACCGGGCTTCAGCAAAGATGACAGATAACTATGCAGCCACTCTTCACTGATTGTGCACTTTCAATGCTGCTGTTGCAGATACTCACCAGTTCCTCCAACTCTTTATCAGACAGCTTAGAAAAATCTCCACAGCAGATGCTATCTGGACCTAGTGCACTATTTTTTGTCTAGTAAATTCTTCTGTAACTGTCACCAAACAAGTTCTGTAACTGTCACCAAACCCAAACATGTTCTTTACCTGTCACCAAAAATACAAATTTTCTGTAGCTGCTTCTAAAATCCAACAATTCTGTAACTGTGACCAAGTCCAAATATGTTCTGTAACTGTGACCAAGTCCAAACATGTTCTGTAACTGTGACCAAATCCAGACATGTTCTGCAACTGTGACCAAGTCCAAACATGTTCTGTAACTGTGACCAAGTCTAAACATGTTCTGTAACTGTGACTACGTCCAAATATGTTCTGTAACTGTGACCAAGTCCAAATATGTTCTGTAACTGTGACCAAGTCCAAATATGTTCTGTAACTGTGACCAAGTCCAAACATGTTCTGTAACTGTGACCAAGTCCAAACATGTTCTGTAACTGTGACTAAGTCCAAACATGTTCTGTAACTGTGACCAAGTCCAAACATGTTCTGCAACTGTGACCAAGTCCAAACATGTTCTGCAACTGTGACTACCACCACACATAAAAAAATTTTGAAGCTACTCACCTCACAAATAATGTAAGGCACAGTGTCCCCAGCTTTCATCTTCTTGCCTCCCTTAGAGTTGAACCTTAATGCCACCTGGACATGGGCTAGGTTCTTCTTGTCTGGGTAATCCTCTGGGTTCTTGGTTAGTTGCTGTGGAAACAAACAAACTTGCATGTTCACTGACATTATCATCATCTTCTTAAAGCCCATACTGTGTTATGTTGGCAGTCATGTCTATACATAGGCTTCTGTCTCGTGTACTTTCAATCATTTCTGGCACAAGCGATCCTTCATGTCATGAAGTCAAACTGTCGACATCTTCTGTTGTCTTCTTTGACCTTTTTTAGCCTCCAACATTCCCACTGCCGGAATGTACTTCAGTTTTCTCCTTCTCATGACATGATCAAAGAAAGTCTCTGACGGAAGAAGTGTGGGTCACTGATATCTAGCATTGTAAGGGATAAAGGTGGTTCCATAGCAGAGATATTAGAGCCATGACTGTCAACCTGTTGTTCACGGACATTTCCTGGCAGTCCACCAACAATGTCTGCCCAATTATGAAGTATCTTTCCCCTGTTCGTTGTTAGGGGAAGGGGGAGGGAGTGGTTGAGAAGACAGACTGACCTCATCCCCACCACCACCAATAACAAACAAACCATAAGTCTACTAACTAGGGATGTTTCCTTTGAAGTCGGGGTGCACATCCTTTCAAACCAACAGTTTGCATTAAAAAAGCAACATCTGTAAAATGTATGTGCATGCAAAATATAAGTTCTGGAACAAAGTCCAGAAATGTAAGAACACCAGAACTTTCTGCTGGAATTAACAGCCAGTGAACGTGAAGAAGAAGTTCCAATACTGACAGTACTGATCACAATCTGGTTATGTCTCTGAACAGTTGATGTCATATTTGCAACAACAAAACTGCATTTTATAACTTCAGTGCAGATTGTTAAATGTGATCTCGGATGTTGAGTTTCTGTTGTGAAAAACAATTAATCTATTTATCCCCAACAATGTTTCTTGCTTCAGCTGGATAAGAGGAATTTCTAAAAGCAAAAAAAATTTTTTGGGTGCCCGGTGAGTTCTCCATATCAAGTCTGTACTGTATTTAAATTCAACAACAGGGTTCATAGCCCATTTTTTAAAAGTATTTTCTCATCCATTAGACGGTCCACAAAATATTTATATGTTTTCTGACCTGCAGTTGTAAAAGAAAAAAAAATGGAAAAAAAAAATGAATAATGCTGCATCAGGGTGTATAGTGTAAAGTCTTCACACATTCTAGACCAGGACACATGATGTTGGGGTGACCAAATCCATTCATTTTTATCTTCTCTTCTGGAAATTATCCGGTACTCATTTTTGTGGTCTGAGTATCTAAAATCCTATTTTTGAAGACTGAACATGAACTAAACACGGCACAGTATTTTTTTCATGTATAAGACAATGTTTTCTATAATCGTTTATGTTTAAAATTGTGGGGGAATTTCCTCTTTTACACAGAATGTATTTAAACTTATGCCTTAGAGGCAAGTTAAATTTATTTCTCTAAATTTAGGTACAAACACATAATTGGGGAGAATACAGTGTCTACTTCTAACAGCCGCTAATATAAAAGAACTGCATACGCTCAACACACTCTACAAATATACAGTTATCAAACAATCAGGTGATGTCTCCATAATAAAGGCTGGCTGCAATGGATCTCCTATATGCTTTCTCTTTCATCTTTTATTTATATTTTCTGACTACTTTTAGTCCATCCCATGAGGTTACCTTCTCATTTGCACTGCTGCCTGCCTTTAACTTTTCCCTTCAGTTGGCTCCTTTTTTAATTTTCTTCAACAACTTAATTCTTAACAGTTCTTATGTATGCTAACTAGAAAAACTTTTAATTTCTAAGCATACATGTATTAACTAACAATGACTCCTTGTTTGCTAAGTAAACTAGTGTTTATTCTTTGTATTTAATATCTGATTGTTCCATAAATGCAGTGTGTCACTGTTACATTATAAAATGTGTGCTACTGGACTGATATTTTTTGCATGTAATGTTTCAGTGTTCCATGTACGTACTGTTTCAAAGTTCTTTGTACAGTTTCAATGTTCCACACCTGAGCTGGGTCACGGCTCCCAATAATTCAATCCTCCATTAACAATACTGCTTCCAATGCCTTGCAATTAACTATTTCCTATCTGTAATGAAGGATGTCTCGTGTAATGAAGGATGTCTTATGTAATGAAGGATGTCTCGTGTGATGAAGGAAGTCTTGTGTAATGAAGGATGTCTTATGTAATGAAGGATGTCTTATGTAATGAAGGATGTCTCATGTAATGAAGAATGTCTCATGTAATGAAGGATGTCTCGTGTGATGAAGGAAGTCTCATGTAATGAAGGATGTCTCGTGTGATGAAGGAAGTCTCGTGTAATGAAGGATGTCTCGTGTAATGAAGGATGTCTCGTGTAATGAAGGATGTCTTATGTAATGAAGGATGTCTCGTGTAATGAAGGAAGTCTTGTGTAATGAAGGAAGTCTTGTGTAATGAAGGATGTCTCGTGTAATGAAGGATGTCTTATGTAATGAAGGATGTCTCGTGTAATGAAGGATGTCTTATGTAATGAAGGATGTCTCGTGTGATGAAGGAAGTCTTGTGTGATGAAGGATGTCTTGTGTAATGAAGGATGTCTCGTGTAATGAAGGATGTCTCGTGTAATGAAGGATGTCTTATGTAATGAAGGATGTCTCGTGTGATGAAGGAAGTCTCATGTAATGAAGGAAGTCTTATGTAATGAAGGATGTCTTGTGTAATGAAGGATGTCTTATGTAATGAAGGATGTCTCGTGTGATGAAGGAAGTCTTGTGTAATGAAGGATGTCTTGTGTAATGAAGGATGTCTCGTGTAATGAAGGATGTCTCGTGTAATGAAGGATGTCTTATGTAATGAAGGATGTCTCGTGTAATGAAGGAAGTCTTGTGTAATGAAGGAAGTCTCGTGTAATGAAGGATGTCTCGTGTAATGAAGGATGTCTCGTGTAATGAAGGAAGTCTTGTGTAATGAAGGAAGTCTTGTGTAATGAAGGAAGTCTTGTGTAATGAAGGATGTCTTATGTAATGAAGGATGTCTTGTGTGATGAAGGAAGTCTCGTGTAATGAAGGATGTCTTGTGTAATGAAGGAAGTCTTATGTAATGAAGGATGTCTCGTGTAATGAAGGATGTCTTATGTAATGAAGGATGTCTCGTGTGATGAAGGAAGTCTCATGTAATGAAGGAAGTCTTATGTAATGAAGGATGTCTTGTGTAATGAAGGATGTCTTATGTAATGAAGGATGTCTCGTGTGATGAAGGAAGTCTTGTGTAATGAAGGATGTCTTGTGTAATGAAGGATGTCTCGTGTAATGAAGGATGTCTCGTGTAATGAAGGATGTCTCGTGTAATGAAGGATGTCTCGTGTGATGAAGGAAGTCTCATGTAATGAAGGAAGTCTTATGTAATGAAGGAAGTCTTGTGTAATGAAGGATGTCTCGTGTAATGAAGGATGTCTTATGTAATGAAGGATGTCTCGTGTAATGAAGGAAGTCTCGTGTAATGAAGGAAGTCTTGTGTAATGAAGGAAGTCTCGTGTAATGAAGGATGTCTTGTGTAATGAAGGATGTCTTATGTAATGAAGGATGTCTCGTGTAATGAAGGATGTCTCGTGTAATGAAGGAAGTCTCGTGTAATGAAGGAAGTCTCGTGTAATGAAGGAAGTCTTGTGTAATGAAGGAAGTCTTGTGTAATAAAGGATGTCTTATGTAATGAAGGATGTCTTATGTAATGAAGGATGTCTCGTGTAATGAAGGATGTCTCGTGTAATGAAGCAAGTCTTGTGTAATGAAGGATGTCTTATGTAATGAAGGAGGTCTTATGTAATGAAGGATGTCTCGTGTAATGAAGGAGGTCTTGTGTAATGAAGGATGTCTCGTGTAATGAAGGAGGTCTTGTGTAATGAAGGATGTCTCGTGTAATGAAGCAAGTCTTGTGTAATGAAGGATGTCTTATGTAATGAAGGAGGTCTTATGTAATGAAGGATGTCTCGTGTAATGAAGGAGGTCTTGTGTAATGAAGGATGAGGGTAGATAAATTACCTTGGTAATGTAGAAGAGAGGAAGGGGAAGTTCACCCTGTCTGACTTCTTCACCAACTTTCTGCAGCTTAGAATGGATGCTCTCCACAATGACCTCTCGGGGCTGACCAGATAAGATCTCGCTGACTACAAACCTGAATGTGGGTGATTGATTCATGAGTGAGCCAATGATAGGATTATGCAGACAGGCAGGCGCGCGCGCACGCGCACGCAGACACGCACACGCGCGCGCACACACACACAGACAGAGAGAGAGAGAGAGAGAGAGAGAGAGAGAGAGAGAGAGAGAGAGAGAGAGAGAGAGAGAGAGAGGGAGAGGGAGAGGGAGAGAGAGAGAGAGAGAGAGAGAGAGAGAGAGAGAGAGAGAGAGAGAGAGAGAGGGAGAGGGAGAGGAGAGAGAGAGAGAGAGAGAGAGAGAGAGAGAGAGAGAGAGAGAGAGAGAGAGAGAGAGAGAGAGAGAGAGAGAGAGAGAGAGAGAATGAGGAATGAGGCGCTGGCAGAGATCACTTGCAGACAACCTTCGCTGTACAGACAGCCCCTGCTTTATTGATGTACACTTTTAAATAGTCTCCTCCTCCTCTTTTTCTTCTTAGTGTTTACCAACTGTAAACTAGTGGAATATTCTGGTTGTTCATCTACTTCTGGACTTTAGACTTGTTCCAGAGTTTTGCGTGCACACCCATTTCGATCATTATGGTCTAAGGAAAATGGCGCTGCGAGGAGTTACCAGGGAATCTGGCCGACACTAAACCCTCAGGGGGAGGGATGAGATGGATTTACAATCAGACGGTTACTGGTACCATCGGAATTGGAACTCTTGGCTTGCTGCTGAAGATAGAGACTGAGCACTTAAGGGAGTGTCCAGAGTGCTGTGATGTTGATTCTCAATTCAACATCTGTTTCGCAGGAAGTTGCCTCCCTTCTCACAGGCAGATCTGATTGGCCACATCAGATGCACCCTGACCTTATGGGAAACACCACTAATTATTCATCTTTTATGATATGCATTTAGTCTATTATTTTATACCCAAAAAGGGCCCTGAATCCTACAGAGGGATCTTAAATAGTACAAAAATAATGAAAGAAACTTACTGTCCAGCTTCTTTAGCAAGGTCACACCAATCTCTGCGGACAATGTCCAGACCTTTTAATTCTTGAGTGGTGGTCACTTTCCCGTCGGCTGAACGTGAGATACTTAAAGCTGCATACTTTTTCTTCTTTAAAAGAAGCATGGACTTGAAGACCCCATCAATGTCAATTTCTAGCAGACGGTACAGTTTGTTGACCTCACTCTTGACCTGATAGCAAACAAAAAGTCAAATCTGAAAATTCTTGTATTATTTTATGAGTGGATTGTATTAAATGCATTGGGGGTTGGGAAGAAAATAAAACAAAAAAGGGATAATTAAAGGTTAAGAAACGAGAAAAAGCTAAAGAGTTCAATAAATAAATGAAAAAATAATTCAATAATATTAACAACATAATAGAAATAAACAAAACAAGAGCCTTCCATTCAGAAGACAATAGCAAACTAATGAATGTATAGCTGCCTGACAAAACCAAACAACCACATAGACAAACACACACACAATGCTGGGGTTGGTTCTGTAATGACCTGTAAAGGATACACAACTAACGGCAACCCCGTATTTGTGCAGAACATAAATTTAAAGTTAAAAGTCTTTTCTCTACAACCAGGCAGTTTCTATAAATTTACTAACTGGTCAAACTAATTTATGTCTGTAATGCAAACTGTCTTTGCCTATAACTTTTTCAGTCAAACTGCAAATTGCTGCCTTTATTTTAATACTTTTGATGTGTAGGCAGTGGGGGGTCTTTAAGCCTGAGGATTTACGGCCCCATGGCTAGTGCTGTCGCCACCGCTGTGCAGGTGAGGATTTTATTTTGCCCCCGACAGAACAAAAACCTAGCCTTACCGAGGATTCGAACCTGAGTCTCCCGCTTAAGAGCCCAGCCTTCTAACCATTCAGCCAGCAACTCCTCAACTTTTTCAGTACTAGTAGATAATTTTTTTCTCGGCTTTTACCCCTAGAAGTCTTAACTTAAAGTAGGGCTATTCAACTATGTCTTCTCAGGGGTTAAAATGTGGAAAATGGAATCGCTACACGCCAGAGCCCCAGCTCAGAAAGATCATTTATACAATACAAGTGGCAGAGATCTACAGGCCACTTACCAGGCCTCGGTGGGTCAGATTCAGTTTGGTTTTGAAAGAATCAAAACATAACACTATAGGACAGAATAAGCTTAACTAAGAATATAGATACAGTTAAAATAACAAACGACTGGGATAGAAAGACACACAAAAAAACACTTTCACTGGGCAAGTAAATGTGAACGTATGATGAGTTGCTTGGTATTTTTTAAAAAAATCTGTGTGTCAGATTAGATGAGTGTTTATTTTACCTTATTTCCCAGCTTGTAAACAAGGTCTAGGTCGGTGCTGTTGCTGTTAATCATAATGGAATCTGTGTCACCGTAAATAACGTCCAAGTTCATCTGTGAAGAAACAATCACAGCAATTACAAGTCAATTCGGTTTATTTTTAACAAGTGAAATTAACCACCGAATGTGCACGGTGTATCTTTTGAAAATAATTGGTTAAGTATCTGCTATCTCTTTCAGTCCCAAACAATGCAGTATGCGGTACTGACTACTTCATTCATGTCTCAAACATCAAATCAAGTATCTTCCTACATTTAAAGTTTAATCAACGTATACTCAACAGATCTGGTGAACCACAGGGGCATCTTTTAGTCATTTTTTTACTCCTACAACGCAGGAAATGGTTATTATTTTGCTTTAGAACCAAAAAAAATTTTTTGTGTGGTTGGTAATATGCAATGAAAAAAAATTATTTTTCATACAAAATCTCATGGGCAGTGTCCGTGGCTTGGGCGTTGCGAGTACGACTCATAATGCCAACATACCACGATCGTAACCCACTGATGGCTGTGTGGATTTTTATCATGGTATGGGGCGTCACAGGTCGACCCAACCTAAAATGGGTACAAGGATGTATATCCTGGGGGAGTAAAGGAGGCCGGCGTGATGCTGACCACATTACCCACCTAGTACTGATTGGTCTGAAAAAGTATGGGTGCTCTTCCCATATGCCTGATGCACCTAAAGGCGTGAAAAGGGATCTTTACTTTACTTACAAAACCTCATGGGACCGAAAGAGTTAAGGTATGTTAATAGATATATGATTAAATTTAAAACAAACTCGACCAATTTACCCTGTTAAAATACTGATAACAATTCCCTGGCTAAAAATTAAACAACTGGTTTTAATTCTTTCTAGTAACACAATGAACTTTTCACGTGTATAATGCCTCTTTTACAAATACTAAAAACAGGACAGGACAGTGCATACAAGCCCTTTTACACATACATTCAAACTAATGGACAGGTTCAGATTTTGTAGAGTGCCTTTTTTTTATCCCCACTCGTACTTTCAAATGTGTAGAGACTGGAGACTCGCTTTCAAATCCAGCTCCGACTCGGCTGGTGTTCGAAACCGGGCGGTTCCCGGGGTTCACCCAGCCTCTAGGAAATGGGTACCAGAGTTAACACTCTGGGGTAAATGGAGGAACGTCGCTGCAGCTACAGAGTTGTGTGCGCACAGCCACACAGGCAGACAGTTTCTTATCAGCTATCCGTACTGGTGGCAGAGCGCTTATGGTTTATAACCGTGTGCAATGACGCTGGTTCACATCTCCCGACTTTAACTTTTTATACATTCAACATCTATTCTTCACTGAATGTAAATCTGGCAGAAAGTTCTTGTTGTGTGTCTACTTCTGGACTTTGATGTTGTTCCAGAATGTGAGTTCTGCAAACATTTCCATTTTACAGATCTGGCTTATCTGTATGCAGACTGTTGGTTCACCTCTCAGGCAGATGCACTCCAACTTTGAAGGATGTACTTCACTACTAAACAGGTGCTTTCACTGACATCATAGAAAAAACCGGTGCTACCTGATAAAATGAATACTGTTAGAAATACTGTCATCACAGACTGGAAGTGCCAATGGTGATGACAGCAAAGTACTGCCAGTAAAGACTGGGGTACTCTGGAATTTTCTAGAGAAAATTATAACTTTCAAATGGTGACAGTAAAAATACTGTCAATTAAGACCGAAAGAGAGCTGTCCATAGTCTTGATGATGAAAGTTTTCAATGCTGACAGTAAAAACAATGTTGGTTAAAAAAAAATTTTTAATTTTAAAGAGATCTTTTCAGTCTTGATGATGATAGTGACAGAAAAGACTGGTGATCTCACAAATGACAGTAAAAAATGCTGTAAGTGAAGACAGAAGTGCCCTAGAAACTGCAGAATTGCTTTTCAGACTGGCATGGCATGGCGGCAGACATTTATCCTCACAAAGGTGTTTTACACTGGGCTAGTCTGGGCCTAATCTTGGAAAGTAAAGGCGGCAAGTGTGATGCTGACCACACACCAAGTGCTGATTGGTCTATAAAATAAGGTCTAGCCCTATATGTCCAATAAAAAACGGAAAAGGGACCTTTTTTATATAAAGTCTGGGCATGTCCTCCCTAACAGGTCTTGCTTGAAGTAAGAAATGTGGCTTTAAGTAAGAAATGTGGCTTCAAGTAAGAAATGTGGCTTCAAGTAAGAAATGTGGCTTCAATTGCAGATATTTTTTTTAATGTATATATATATGATGGTTTCTTACTTTCTGTACCAGATCCTTCGTCTGCATCAAAATCTGAAAATATTCAAATAAATGTACACAATTTAAACTGGAATAAAAATCATAATTCAACTACAATATATTAAAAGCTGGACCCAGCAATTACAGTCCCATTTGTATAAGCTGGACTCTACACAGTGCAAGCAAAATCAATATCAATGGGACACAACAATGATAGTCAACCAGCTCAAAGGATCATTATAAACTGGACTCAACAATCATATCAATTTAAGCTGGATCCAACAATTATAGTCCAATCAGAAGCAATTTAAGCTGGATCCAACAATCAGTCCAATCAGAATCATTTTCAGGTAGAACCAACAATCATAGTCCAATCAGAATAAATTTAAGCTGAATCCATCAAATCATGGTCTGGTCAGAACCAATTTAGGCTGGACCCAACAATCATAGTCCAGTCAAAACCAATTTAAGCTGGACCCAACAATCACAGTCCAATCAGGGTCATTTTAAATGGGAACCCAACAATTAAAGTTCAATCAGGGTTACTTTAAATTGGACCCAACAACCATAGTCAACCAGAATAATTTTTGTCCTGCTACATTAGCCATTAAAACCACAGTTGGCACACTGTGCTGTAGTTTACAGCATTACAGTGATATCAGGGCCTTTGTGGTCCAACACATCTGTCTTCAAAAAATCTTTTATTAGTCGCCTTTTACAACATGCTTGTTAACTCTACCAGACCGATGTCCCGCTACTGTGGTGATTTTCTAACTTGCCACTACACTGTTGTCCCGATTTTTCGGGTATTTGTGTACTACGTGATAAAAAGCGTCACAAACTAAAAATAACCATCCAATTGTGATCAAACAATGTGGTTAGTCACTGCGAATGACTGCCCACATGTGTCTGGATTTACCTTGTGTGGTTTAGCGTGAAAAAATTCTGAAAATTTACAGTGAAATGAGCGGCTGATGAACCAAGCACTTCGACAGGAAAGTGAGGTAGGCTTTTCACAGTCCAACAGGTGATCGATACTTTGGTTGATTCAGACTCAGCTGAGTTATAATTTCATGAAGAATACGTTCCCAGTAGAAGTGACACAGTCAGTGAGATGAGGAAAACCTTGACAATTATAAATCTAGAAATAGATCGATAGTAGGAGAAGGGGGCGTGTCCCTTAAACAGCAACATCTGTTGTACACTTTGTGAAACAAGGCTGATCCTGCTGGGTGGACTGACACACAAAGGTTGAATATTGGGGCTAGATGAAAGGTAAACCTATTTTCTACAATGTTTCCAAGTTTCATCTTATTCCAACCACTTGTTTGCATGTAACTAATATTTTTGTATATCATGTTGGTTTTTCGCATTAATGCCCAGGAGCTCAGGTATAGGGGACAGTTAGGTTTAGGGCCTCAGGTCTGGTAGGGTTAAAACAGTGGCTCTATTCTTTTTTCCCCTAAAATGGAAATCCGGAACATACCTTGAGGTAGAATCATTATAAATTAAAAATTAATTATAGTCACAGAGGCAACTCACCTCTCTTCCTTTCCCAGTTACCAATGCAGCCAATGGCTTCGCATAAAAACGAGAGAAAGTGAAACCCAGACACCCATACATGGAGTTGGCTGTTAGCTTGAGGGCTTTCTGTCGGATGTCATACTGCATCATCTGCTCTGGGCTGACATCATTGTTCTTCATTAATGTTTTCACCTGGAGTGAAAAAAACAAACTGTTTTCATCATACAGAAAATTTATAAGATATAGGTTTTCTTAGGTTGGGGTCGAGGAAAGACTGGAATAATAGTCGTTGCAACTGTTTTTAAAAAAAATAAAAAAAACACTCAACAATCACAATCGATGGATCAAAAAAACTATCATTAAGCAAGATGTTGTGATGGCCTTTTGGGAACGAGTGAATAGTGCAGAGGCACAAGTAGATCATTACTGTTTGAGGAGAATGGTGCTGCAGGAAATTCCTAGGGGATTTGGCCAACCATCAACACTCCAGGAAAAGGCGAGACAGATGTACAATCAGATAATTACTGGTTCCATCGGAGCTGAAACTCTTCGCTCGCTGCTGAAGATAGGTACAGAGCACTTATGGAAATGTCGCAAGTGCTATGATGTTGATTATTAATTCAGCATTCAACGTATCATTAAGAAATGCAAGAATTGCATTTGTGCATGAATAAAATAACTAAGTATAATGCTAAAGCTCATTAAAAATATGAATAATGTGAATAGAATAACAAAGTATAATACTATTTATGTTGAAGCTCATGAAAAATATGCAAAAGCTAATAAGAGAAGTTATCTAGGGTGGGTTCTGTAAACCCTTTCAATGGTGCATAAATGAAATAATAAAGTATAATGCTATTCTTGCTAAAGCTTATGAGAAATAAGCAGAAGCTAAAAAGGAAAGTTATCTAGGGTGAGTTCTGTGAACCCTGTTGATGATGAATAATGTTCATAAATGAAATAAAGTATAATGCTATTCATGCTAAATCTCATGACAAAATATGCAGAAGCTAAAAAGTAAAGTTATCTAGGGTGAGTTCTGTGAACCCTTTCAATGGTGAATAATGTGCATAAATAAAATAAAGTATAATGCTATTCATGCTAAATCTCATGACAAAATATGCAGAAGCTAAAAAGAAAAGTTATCTAGGGTGAGTTCTGTGAACCCTTTCAATGGTGAATAATGTGCGTAAATAAAATAAAGTATAATGCTATTCATGCTAAAGCTCATGAAAAATATGCAGAAGCTAATAAGGGAAGTTTCTAGGGCCCCTTCCGATGGTGAACAACCACATACCAACTTCCTGCTGTCAACAAGTTTCCGAATCTCTGTTGGCAAAACTCCAGGCTCAAGGTCAGGGTCTGGGAGTATCAAATTTGCCTCATCATCATCAGCGGCCTTAAGAATTAAGAAAATTTGAAAGTTAAAAGAAAATGACAGTGAATTCACATATCTGGAAGTAATACTAAAAACAAATTAAGCACTTCATTTTAGAAGGCGTAGACTGGTAGATATATGTCTATTGTAGTCAAAATTAGAATTTTGAGAGCATGTATCTCCCCTGTGGCTACATATGGATGTGAGTCGTGGACTATCTCTCAGTCCTTAAGAAAGAGAATAGGGGCTTTTGAGCTGAAATGCTATAGATTCTCAGAATATCTTGGACAAAGAAGAAGAGAAATATTGACATCTTAAAAGATCTGAACATCAAGGAAAATTTGCTAATAAACAGCATTCTTTCTCGGAAGCTAAAATATTTTGGTCATATCAAGCGCCACAACGGATTGGGAAAAAAACTATAGCAGAAGGCATGGTACCAGAAAGGAGGGGCAGGGGCCAACCGACATGAAGATGGGCACAGGATATAAGTGACTCCTTTGAGTATGAAAGTACATGAGGCGGGAGAACTGGCAAGAGACCGAGTTTCTTTCAGGCAGACTGTGATAAGAGCGACGTTCTGCAAAGGACCTGCTACATGATGATGATGATGTCACCTGAACAATATAAAAAAAGAGTAGAATAATATAACAGATTTTTTTCAAACCACTGGACAGGGCTTGACCTATATTTTTTTATGGACCAATCGGCACTTGTTGGGTGATGGCCAACATTGTGCCAATCATTTTTTACTTCACAGGACATTATCTTGTACCCATTATGGCTGGGTCTACCTTCCTAATAGACAAGGTAGATTTTGAAGAATAATCTGTCATGATATGGATTTTAACACTAGACTTTTGGGGTCAGAAGGTGAACACAGCATAACATTTTTCAATGTTAAAACAGACAACCGAAAACCAGCCTTAATAAATCTGGAAAACATAAAATATATATACAACACTGATCCACATTAAACTGGAAAACTAGCCAACAAAACAACAATACAATACTAACCTACACAAAACTGGACAACAAGAAAATAGCCAATACAGAACTGACCCACACAAAATTAGAACCCTTTTAAACTAATGACACAAAAACAGACTTCAGACTGATAAAAACAATGCTGGCCACAATGAAAATGTTCAATACAAATACGACCTTCAACATAAACACCGGACAAAACAAAACTGACAATTCGATTTAAAAAAAAAAAAAAAAAAGAGACCAAGATTACATTAATGCATTAATGACTCACCTCAGTTACTGCCCCTGACCTTGAGATGGTGGTGAAACATATGTTGTATTCTTGGATAATCGATGGATACAGGGAGTTGAAGTCCAGCAGCAGAATGTATGTATCATAAAACCCTGAAAGAGTCAGGCAACTGCTTGAATTATACAATGTTATAATATGAAGGTTACGTAGAAAATGGTGGCGTCCGTGGCTTAGTTGTTGCAAGTCTGACTCCAGCGTACTGCAATTGAAACCCACTGCTGGCTGCGTGGATTTTTATTGTGGTATGGGGTGTCGTAGGTTGACCCAGCCTAAAATGAGTACCAGGTTGTGTGTCCTGGGGAAGTAAAGACGGCCGGTGTAATGCCAACCACATTACCCACCTAGTGCCGATTGGTCTGTAAAAATATGGGTGCTCTTCCCATATGCCCGATGCACCTAAAGGCATGAAAGGAGGTCTTTACTTTTTACTTATACGTAGAAAATACTTTGTAAAATTCTGAGGCAAATGGCAGATAGCAAGCTTACAGTTTTTAGTCACAGCAAGTTATCTGCTTCTGCCTACGGTTAGCCATTGCACTTTATCCCACACATGGACTGATAGTATATAGTTCCATCACCCAACTAAAGAGCTGAGTGCATGGTGTGACACTGCGGGCTGCAGATTTCATTAGGAATACTTTTCAGTGGTTTGTGTTGTTTACCACAGATTCAGAAAATGACAGGTTGCAACAGAACTGATGGTCTCTTATGCAATTAATAGCATGTGCAGCTACTAATTTATTGTAACTGCTGCTTACACCACAAAGAACTGCAGTTTTAGTACCTGACTTTGTGTTAGTACGTCTGACTGCTGCCTTATGTACTGAGAGTGTGTGTGTATCCTACTAACTTTGTCAAGACTCCAGTCGGCATCAATCTATTTACAAAGGACAGCGATGGGCATATTGTGTGGTTTTCGTTGGCACAGGAATGTAGCAAGCATGCGGTGACCCATTTGCTGTAAAGTGAGAACTGTGATTCCCTGATTATAGAATAACACTGCATGAAACAAACTCACAATCATCTGAGCTCAAAAGAAATGAGTTTACCACAGAGTCCCTCAAACTGTGCCACTGTTATTTATTTGAGGTACTTTAGAAATGATCTTTAAAAGTGGAATTTTTTTAATCTCACAAAAATACTCCACTACACATGAACTGAAGCTTGCAGAAAACTGAAGAGACTTTTAAAAACAAACAAAAAAACACAATTGCCTACAAATTTGAACTAAATAAAACTGCACAAGCAAACTGAGGACATATTTTTGTTTTGTTAAAAAGGATGATTACAAACTCTGAAAGTATTACTATTTTATCAAAGATGGTTCCTGGCCCCACTGTGGAGGACAAGAACAGACCAGAAAATCTGCAAAAAAACATGTCAACTGTCAATACAAATTACTTACATCTACGAAACGAACATTTTATGCAATAAATTCCTGTCACTGATAGTAAATTAAAATTTCTTGGATGCTACAAACAACAAGTGAGCCGCCATGGTATAGCGGCTAGACGCTCGCCTGCGGATCTCAAGATCAGGGGTTCGAATGCAAACAGAGCCTGACTTCAGAAAGAAGAGAAAAAACCTAGGCTCCCAGGCCAAGCCTTTAATTTGTACCAGGTAAAGTCATGGGAAGTAAAGGGGATTGGTTTGATGTTCACCACATCCCCCAACAAGTGCAATTTCGGTTCTAAAATATAGGTCACGCACTATATGCCCAGGACGGCGTACGTGGCTTAGGCGTTGCGAGTCCGACTCCTAACTCCAACGTACGCCGATCGAAACCCACTGCTGGCTGCGTGGATTTTATCGTGGTATGGGACGTCGCAGGTCGACCCAGCCTAAAATGGATACCAGGATGGCTGTCCTGGGGAAGTAGAAACGGCTGGCGTAATGCTGACATTACCCACCTAGTGCCGATGGTCTGAAAAAATATGGGCGCTCTTCCCATATACTCGATGTGCCTAAAGGCGTGACAAGGGATCTTTAAATTTTTTTTTTTTTTTAACTTTATGCCCAATATGCCTGACAGAGGATCCATTACTTGAACACACTTTCAGCCAAACTGTAGAAGAGGAACAACAAAGACAGTTGCCAGAAAGTAAACACACTTTCAGCCGAAGTGTAGAAGAGGAACAACAAAGACAGTTGCCAGAAAGTAAACACACTTTCAGCCGAAGTGTAGAAGAGGAACAACAAAGACAGTTGCCAGAAAGTAAACACACTTTCAGCCGAAGTGTAGAAGAGGAACAACAAAGACAGTTGCCAGAAAGTAAACACACTTTCAGCCGAAGTGTAGAAGAGGAACAACAAAGACAGTTGCCAGAAAGTAAACACACTTTCAGCCGAAGTGTAGAAGAGGAACAACAAAGACGGTTGCCAGAAAGTAAATACACTTTCAGCATAAACCAGCTACATGGTTAGTATAACAAACAAAATTTAGAACTCCCCCACGAACCTTTCTTTGGCTCCAGTACTAAACCACCAGCATATGCTGGCTTCCGCTTGCCCTGAGCTGTTTTCTTAGATGCAGGCTGATCTAATTCATCATCATCAACTCCAGCAGGCTGTGAACAGAAAAGTAATCTGTATAAAATACTTCCAAATGAATGTCAAAATATGTTTCGCTATACTAAGTCAATTTAAGGTGAAAATCGTTCTTTTCCTTAACTGATTTGTCTTTTCTAAAACAATAGTTTTTCTCTCTCTCTTCTGCCTTTGAACTTGTAACAGAGCATAGGCCCTCAATGAACTAGTGCCAAGCCCTAAGTCATAAATGCAGGCACAAGAGACTTCTATGTAAGCAAAAACTGAAGGTGATGTGTAGGCACAGGAGACTGTTCTATGTAGGCAAAATTTACCGTGATATGTAGGCACAAGAGACTGTTCTATGCACGCACAAGAGACTGTTCTAGGCACGCACAAGTGACTGTTCTATGCAAATATAAGAGACAGTTCTATGTAAGCCAAAATGACTTCTATGCACACAAAAATGTTCTGTGCAGCAGACATGACCATTCCATGTAGGTGAACGTGACTGTTCTATGGAGGCAAAAGTGACTGTTCTACATAAGCACAAGAGATTGTTTTATGGAGGCAAAAGGTAATGAGCAATTATTTGTGAGGTGTGATATAAAAAAAAAATATAACAACGCATTCTACCCACCACAACTTTCTTCTTGAAGTCCTTGTCAGGACAGATGTACTGCTTCTCACTGAATGCATGAAGCAACAGCCATTCATTGCGCTCAGACCGGCCACCCATCAGTGTTCTCGACTGTAAGATAATGTACAATAGTTACAATATCAGAAATAATAAATTGGAGAAGACTAGCGGTAAGCAGCATAAATTTAAACTGGTAGGGGGTAGGATTAGGGCAGGGCAATGTGACTGTATGGTTAGGAGTTGTGTTGGTGTAAAGTTGGGTAGAGGTCAAAGGGCTCATCAGGAGTCATGTTAGTATTCCAGAGAAAAACTTACCATAACATTGCCACAAATATTAGTGATCTGAAGGGCCAGAGGGATGACGTTCAGCTCATACATGATGTTCAAGATGTGCTTGGAATCTACAAGAGTTCTTTCAATCAGCTGGAGAAGCTGACGACTGGTCCTAGAAATCATGATTGAAACAACAGAGTTAAATGTCTTTAACAAATATTTAACATCTGTAAAATTTTAAATATGACTACATGGTGGCTCAATGGGTAAAATTCTCTTCTCTGTGTACATGTCAGTTTCTCTTTTCTTCTTTACACACCTTAATATGACACATCAAGGAATAATTTTTTTTTAACAATAACAGAAGTCAACTTTAGGTTGTCAACTCCATAATGGAGCGAGTTTAATAAGCCATAATAATTTTATGTTCTGTATGTTAGACGGGAGCCGCCGTGGTCTAGTGGCTAGACGCTTGCCTGCGGATTGAAAGGTCGGGAATTCGGTTCCTGGCAGAAAGCCGGACTTTTTCGAAACAATGACCTTGGTTCCCAGGTCGACCTAGCCTTGAGTGAGTACCAGGAGCAGTCCTGTGAAGTAAAGGCGTCTGATTACATCATCATCCAGCTGCCGTTTGGTCTATAAAAAATGTCTAGCCCTATATACCCAATACGCCTTAGAGGCATGAAAAAGGTTTTTTTTTTTACTTACTCTGCTGTATATGCTAGACACATCTACATCAAATGTTAAGCCATCAGTTTACCATTTAAAGTTACAGTCATCAGTGTCTCCTAGCTTTAGCAGGTCAAACAAATGGTACCTAGGATAGTTTCTTAACTCTCAGCCATATGCTCTTCAAAGAATATCAACAACAAATCAGAAAAGGTCAAATAACCCAAAAACAAAAACTTACGAGAACATCTCTCGGACTTCATCATAATCCAAGTCAGTACGATCGGTTTTCAACACCTGCTTGACTAACTCGGAGAGGTCATAACTGCGGCAGCGAATGAGCTCACGGGCAGAGATTTGTACATCGCACATCATACGACCACAGACAGCTGACTTTTCAGCAAATGTAGCTCTTCCATGACTTTGCTGTAATTAGTTGCAGTTATTAGTTTAGTGTGCAACATACTTCTAAGCTAGGACATTTAATCACAGTTAATGTTTGTGCTTGGTGATTGGACTGAACAACAAAGGGAATATTCCCTTAAAAAATGTAACAACAAAAGTAGTGTACTTATAATAAAAACAAACCAGACTCTATATTCTTCTTCTGCCCTTTAAAGGACCAGTTGCACATTGTGTTGTGCTTTACAGCTAGACTGTGATATCTGTGCTCTTCTGACAAAAACTGTCACTTTCAGCAAACCCTAATTAGTTGTCTTCGTGTTGCGAAGGTGTTTCATAATGCCAGGTTCGATCCCAGCTGCAGATGATTTGGGAGCAAAATGTCTTGCATTGGTTTCAACAGAAGTATTAAGAATCGACCGTTCATAAAGCAGTGGCAAACTAATGAAGGCAAAATATGATCTGGGAAATGTTGGGATTTGTCCTGCAATGGATAAAGGAAATGCAACTAAATTTTTTTTGTGTTAGGGGACAGTTAGTCTATCCACACCCCCTTCCCCCTTTGTTATTTGAAGCCCCACTCTAGCTTTTGCTGGGGGTAATGAATATAGCCGGGCCATAAATATGGCCTAGCGGCTGAACAGGGTTTCTGGGACCTCTCCACAGGTGATCCTCATCCGCATGGTGGCACTTTGTGCCACCGGGTGTTTATCGCTTGTCTGATGTCCAGATGGAGTACAATGAGAGAGAGAGAGAGAGAGAGAGAGGAGAGAAGAGAGAGAGAGGGTAGAGAGAGAGAGAGAGAGAGAGAGAGAGAGAGAGAGAGGAGAGAGAGACACAGACAGAGACAGAGAGAGAGAGAGATAGACCAGAGAGAGAGAGATAGACAGAGAGAGAGACAGAGAGAGGAGAGAGAGAGAGAGAGAGAGAGAGAGGAGAGAGAGAGAGGAGAGAGAGAGAGAGAGAGACAGAGAGAGAGAGAGAGAGACTAGAGAGAGAGAGAGGAGAAGAGAGAGAGAGAGAGAGAGAGAGAGAGAGAGAGAGAGAGAGAGAGAGAGAGAGAGAGAGAGAGAGAGAGAGAGAGAGAGAGAGAGAGAGAGAGAGAGAGAGAGAGAGAGAGAGAGAGAGAGAGAGAGAGAGAAAGCATAATTTCTTTAAACAATTAACTTACGGACGACTTACCGCAAGCTTTGGCATGAATGTTCTCTTGAGTCTGCTGATCTTAGACCAGTGTGGCACTTTGTTGGCACTAATACGATGCAGTAACAGGTCAAGGTCAAAGCCATAGATATCATGACCCTACAATCAGCAACAAAATTGGTCAAAATGTCTTCCATGTGATTCTGCATTATTACTGCTGCTATTCATGCTTACTGAAATAATTACCAGTACAGAGACAGTTACTATTAGTGCAACTACTGATACCAAAACAATAATTACTACAACTGATTTTAACATAATAGCAACTGTTGCTACTACTACGATTACTACTAAAACTACTCATGCTACGGTTACTACTACCACTACTACAGCTCTACAATTACTAACTACCAATGTTGGTTCTGCAACGTCCTGTAAAACTAACAATAACAATACTATTACTACTGTTATTGCTTAAGTTCCACTACCATCACTACCAATAGTACCAGTCCTGAGGAAGTCAGAACAAACTGTTACTTAAGTCCCAACCAACTCACTATTTTATGAAATTAGTCTTGCAGCTGAACTAAGGCAGTTTACAGAGAGTTCACAACCAAAACTAAAAACAAATACTGAAATTTATAGTAAAAAAAAACTAAACAACCTAGAAGTTTACAGAAAAACAAAATGAAATATAGTCAGAAAACTAAACACAACATCACTTAAATTTACAGATAGATAATACACCATAGAAAGAAAACAAAGCAAACGATAGATAGTAGTTAGAAAATAATACTTAAAAGTCTAGAATAAATTTTTTTTTTTTTTAATATTTGCAGACAGAAAACTAAACAATACATAAAGTTTACGCACACAACAAAACAATAATAAAAGTTTTCATTGAGACAACTACAATACTTACTACAAGCAGATCCGGGTCCAGCTTGTGAATCTTGGCCAGGAGAAAGCCAATCAATCCACGCTCACCTGAAGTAATTTCCACTTTCATACGACCAGCCTGGCAATAAACATGACATCATTAACTATCATTATTCCAGGTTTGTTTCAAATCTCCCTAACAAGATTCCAATAAAATGTCCACTGCTTTCTAAAAGCTCAGCTAAGTTAGAAACCGATATCACAGCATTCAGGACCCTCCCATAGCGCTCCATCCCCATCTTTATAAGTGAGCGCAGTTTTAGTAATAGCCTAATGAATTATACATCCATTTTGCCTCTCCTCTGAATGTTGAAAGTCAGCCAAATCCCCTGGACACTGCCTACTGCACCATTCACTCCAGACCATGATGACCTGTTTGTGCTTCTGCACTGTTCACTTGCTTCCAAAAAGCTTTTTTATCACTTCCAGCTTGTCAGGCATTCACCTCCACGTGGTGCACAGCCAGCCAGTCTACATGTTCATTTTCCAATATACTTGCATATCCTGGAGAAAATATACGATAAATGCTATCTGGGTCAATAATGCAATGCATGCCACACTGCACACAGCTTGTCAATCTCCACATAACCTGCCACACTGCACACAGCTCGTCAATCTCCACATAACCTGCCACACTGCACAGAGCTTGTCAATCTCCACATAACCTGCCACTCTGCACAGAGCTTGTCAATCTCCACATAACCTGCCACACTGCACAGAGCTTGTCAATCTCCACATAATCTGCCACACTGCACAGAGCTTGTCAATCTCCACATAACCTGCCACACTGCACAGAGCTTGTCAATCTCCCCATAACCTGCCACTCTGCACAGAGCTTGTCAATCTCCACATAACCTGCCACACTGCACAGAGCTTGTCAATCTCCACATAACCTGCCACACTGCACAGAGCTTGTCAATCTCCACATAACCTGCCACTCTGCACACAGCTTGTCAATCTCCACATAACATGCCACTCTGCACAGAGCTTGTCAATCTCCACATAACCTGCCACTCTGCACACAGCTTGTCAATCTCCACATAACCTGCCACACTGCACACAGCTTGTCAATCTCCACACAACATGCCACACTGCACACAGCTTGTCAATCTCCACATAACCTGCCACACTGCACACAGCTTGTCAATCTCCACATAACCTGCCACACTGCACACAGCTTGTCAATCTCCACATAACCTGCCACACTGCACACAGCTTGTCAATATCCACATAACCTGCCACACTGCACAGAGCTTGTCAATATCCACATAACCTGCCACACTGCATGGAGCATGCTGGCCAAAAATGTATTTTTCATTTGATTTTACTCCTCCCCTAAGCAAAAAAAAAAGAAGTCAATAATTTCCCACTGAGGGACAAGCCAAGAGGCACTAATCAGCATTAATTTTACATTCTATGTATTTATGTCAGTTGTACCCCACCTGAACATCACACAAGCGATAAACACCTGGTGACACGAAATGCCACCGATGCGGATGAGGATCACCCGTGGAGAGGTCCTGGAAACCCTGTTCAGCCGTTAGGCCATATTTCAGGCTAGGCTATATTTAGGGCCCCCAGCAAAAGCGAGGGTGGGAGCTTCAAAATAACTAAAAATTGCGTCTCACAAAGGGATGACGAGATATGCATATATAATTAAAAGTTAAATTTACATAAACCACTCAGGTGGTATCAGAATTTGTGGCTTAGGTATCGCACATGCATTAGCAGTCAACTGACAAGAAATTTCTTTTACAAAAATCCAACCTGCTTTGTGACCTGGTCCTTGAAATCAAATGGGAAGATGCAATCATTAGGCTTTGTGATCACTGTAGAATATAAAGGTGAAATGACTGATTATACTGTAACAGTGAATTTTTTTTTTTAAAAAGGCTTTAAGCTGCGACCTGAAACATCAAATGGGAATCTGTAAACACTAGATTTTTTATAAATTAAAATTATGAGTAACAAATTTAAATGATTTAACACACTGAAGCACTGGATTATAAAAAGGCTTTATTATGTGTTTCAAAACAATGTGCAGTATGTCATAACTCACTGTTGATGCATATCAAGCTACCCAAATCAAAGTCAACATTTTGAGAGCATGCATCTTCCATGAGGCAAAATATAGATTTGAGTCGTGGACTATCTCAGTCTTAAAGGGAGGAAATGGGAGCTCCTGAGCTGAAATGCTTTAGAAAGTTCTCAGAGTACCATGTACAAAGGTGAAAAGAAATCTTGACATTCTAAAATGATTTCAACGTCAAGGAAGATTGGCTAGTAAACAGCATATTGTCTCAGAAACGGAAATAGTTTGACCATAAGTGCCACTGCAGATTATGGAAAAAAATAACAAGGCATGGTACCAGGAAAGAGAGACAGGTGCTGAACAGCATGAAAATGAGTGCACAATTTAAGTGAAAAGAAATACAAAAATTCTAAAATGATTTGAACGTCAAGGAAGATTGGCTAGGAAACTGAATATTTCTCAAAAACGGAAATATTTTGACCGTAAGTGTCACTGCAGATTGGGGAAAAATAACAGAAGGCATTGTGCCAGGAAAGAGAGGCAGGTGCCGACCAGCATGAAAATGGGTGCACAATTTAAGTGACACCTTGAGTAGGAAAGTGCACGAGGCAGGAAAGCTGGTGATAAACAGTTTCTTTTGGGCAGACTGATGAGAGTAACATTTTACAAAGGACCTATTAAAAGATGATGAAAAACCTATCCAGGTATTAAACCTCTATATTCAATAAGAGCATTAGAAACAAATCTGTGTATTTATTTTTATATATTTCGCTACCAGGAATAGCTCACCTTTTGTCTTCTTATTATTACCGCCATTTTTTTTTATGTGTGTATGTAGTTTATTTCTTCCAGCCTGTAGGCTCCAGAACAATGAGCTATTTGTTGGGTTTTTTTTGTTGTTAAACTTTTATCAGGTTTTCTAAATGCCCTATCTAGAGCCAGCATTTTTCCTCCCCTCATGAACTGCTAAAATTTGTTTATTTCTAAGCTTGAGCTCTACTTTAGTGATTCTATCATTTCATTTTAGTCCCTCTATTTTGTGCAGCCACAATTATAGACAGTTTTAAAACAAAGAACATGGCACTATAATAGGTAGATCCTGAGAAGAAGCAAAAGTAAGCACAGCATCACCAAACAGGCACTGAAACTGGAAAAAATGGATTCAGAAAACAAGGACATCCAAGAGAAACCCTTAAACGAATGCTGGTTTGAGAAGCCAAAGGTGCTCGACCAGATTCCATTCCATGTGTGGGTTTCAGGGCTCCATTTTGTAAAAACTAGTAGTAAAAACAACAGGACACATTGAACAACACACATAACAAACACATCACAGAAATTTCAAGTAGTAAAAACAGGACAGACTGAACAACACATCTAACAAACACATCACATAAATGTCTAGTAGTAAAAACAACAGGAGACATTTAACAACACATCCAACAAACACATCATAGAAATGTCTAGTAGTAAAAAGAACATAAGACATTGAACAACATATCACAAAAATGTCTAGTAGTAAAAACAACAGGAGACACTGAGAAACACATCAAACAAACACATCACAGAAATGTCTAGAAGTAGTAATCAAAATAACAGGACACCTTGAACAACACAACATCTAACAAATATAGCACATAAATATCTAATAGTAAAAACAGGAATCACTGAACAATACACCTAACAAACGTACCACAGAAATGCTGCTGGAACTGCTGTTTGGGGGCTGGTTTATCCATGTGAAAATCACTGTGAACCAGGCATGCTGCTGCCACAATCTGAAACACAAATTTTCTGGCTTTTCTTCTATGCATGACAGAAACAGTTCTTGACTGGATATCTAAACAACACAATTTCGTATTTTCTTCTTCTTTGTGCTCAGTTTCATATGGTCAGGCCAGACCATCAGGTGGGCTGCATCTATCTATCTCTTCTTCTTTGTTTACGGGCCGTAAGGTCATGCGGAAAGTCCTGGTTAATTATCCATTTGGACTGGCTTTTTGCCAGGAACTAGTTTTTTTTTTTTTTTTTCTGTTTTTTTTTTTCATGAATGTCTGTTTCACTGGTTTACTCCCCTGTGTGGGTTTTGGGGCCCCATTATAGGGAAAACAAGAATAGACCCACTGCCTACCCAAAAAGCATATTGTAAGAGTCGACTAACTGGGGGCTTCCTTTGAAGTCGGAGTGCATCTGCCTGAGAGGCAAGGAACCAGCAATCTGCATACAAATAAGTCAGATCTGTAAAACAGATGCACACGCAAAACTCAGGTCCTGGAACAAAGCCAAAGTCCAGAAATGGATGAACAACCAAGTCTTTCCACTGGAATTTATAGCCAATGAACGCAAACAACAACAACAACTGGTTTACTCATGTACAACTGATTGTTCCTTGCCACTCTGGCAGATGCACCCTGATTTCAAAAGAAGCTCCCAAGTAGTCGACTCCTACGTCATTTTTGTTTGGGGGGCAATGAGTCTATTCTTGTTTTCTTCACAACGGAGTTGCATCTATCAATTCACATATCATATGCAGGTCTTTCCTATTCCATATTATTTTTTTAAAAACACTATCCCACATCAACAATGTTCCAGTGTGTGTGCACATATATATAAATACTATTCTGCATAAAATATTTACACAAAAAATACAGCTATAAATGACACACTGAAATGGTAAAAAGTACAACTTATGCATAATTACTAGATCATCTTCTTCACGTTTGCCAGCTCTAAACTCTGGTGAAAGGTTCTGGTTATCTGTCTATTTTCTGGACTTCAGTTTTATTCCAGGATTTTATTTGAGGGCACATCCTATTATTCTATTGCCAGATCATTTCATTATAACTAAGCCTCCCTAGAGTAATGAACAATAAACATACCTCATTCTGCCGTGTTTTTGGATTCGGCAATGTTTGTAAATTCAAGGTCATGACCACAAGAGGTGGTGGTGGTTGGTTATCAGAACACACGGTGATGTAGTCTGGTCTTGCAATGACAGCCTTCAAATTTAAAGTGGGAAAAAAGCAATGTAAACTGAATGTTAATGGAAATGCACTGTAGCAGTAACTCCCAGATGTGTTCCCTCAAGTGCTTTTGTTCCTCTTTTCTAACACGCACTAAAAAGTTCTGGGGTCAGCAAACTCTATTTGTTTGAACCCCTCTATTTGTACTGCTTCTGTACTGACCAATTGTTGGCATTTTTTCAGATGATAATGTTATATTGTGCTACAAGGGGGCATGGAAATCATAGCCCATAGTGATGGCGAGAAGACCTGCTCGCATTAAGAAAGGTCTTCCACAATCAGAGCCTAGGATTTCAGGTCCACTGTTTCCATTGTAAGTATTTAAAGTGGTGCTTGATATTTGCACCTTTTGGCCGACACATCCTCCTACTTCTGGCATTTCTTTACAGGATAAGCCTTATTTGTGTGGTGGTCCTCTGTCTTACAAGTGCTGCCCCTAGAACCCACCCAGGGCAGCCACGCTCAGACTGGTCGACCCTCAAGGGAAGGCAGGGGCAGATCATGAAACCCTGTTTATGTTTAGGATGAATAAACATAAACAGGGGCAGAACATAAGCATTCCCCGTCATCTAGGAAGGTTTCCACAACTACAGAGCTGACATAGCTCTCTGGTCCTCGGCTCACCAGAGAAATCATCACATGCTGCACACGATTGCCTAACCTCTCATCCTGTTCAAGAGGGCTATTTGAACTCTTTCAGGTGCTTCATGAACTAATATATATAACTGTATCAGGCAGAATGAGTCTAGGACTGAAAGAATTAAGATGTTATAATATCACAAATATCACAAAGAGTTCCAGACAGTCTGCACAACTTACGACTGAGTTCCATTCTGATTAACAGAACTGGTCACAGGTCAAATTAATTTTTTCAGCAAAATTTTCATATAAACCAGTTACAACATTTGTGCATAAATCAAAAAATTCATTTTATGTATGTATGTATGTATGTATAGTTACTGTACATAAACAATTTTTAAAAATGCAGTCTATGTATGTATGTATGTATGTATAATTACTGTATATAATAAATACAAAATTCTGTTTATGCATGCATAGTTATTGTATATAATGTGAAAAATAGATAAGCTTTATTGTGCGTACTGTACAAAAAAATACAGCCAGAAATAACTATTTTTATTTATTCTTTTGTGGTCCTAAGTGTGGATCGTCTCGCACTGGTCACAAGTCAAAGTGTATACATAAAATAAAAATGTGATATTGTAGATTGTAATAACTTTGTATATATGTACTTTACATGTTAAACTGTACACTGTGTGTTAGATATGTTTAGATATATGTATGGTTGTAATGTCAGCGTCTGTGGCTTATGCGTTGCGAGCGAGCTTTGTAATGCCTGTGGTGCTGGGTTCAATCCCAGCTGCTGGCCTTGCGCTGGTTTCAGCAGTGGTATTGGGAAGCCAACCGTCCAGAAAGCAATGGCAAACTACTGGACGTAAATTTGCATAGAAAAACCACAACAGCCAAAAAATGCTGGGGTTGGTTCTTCAACGTCCTGTAAAGGAGATGCAACTAACTTTTGTATGGTTGTAATGTAACTCTGCACAAAACATATGAAAGCATACATTAAAAAAAATACTGTTTTAAACAAAACAAACCTCCAGTTTGCACCAACTTGTCTCAGCAGCAGGTACCTCTGTAACATGTAATTACAATAAAAACCCTTTAGAATAATCGTTAGTTACTATGTCGTGCACAACGAGGTGATATAGAACAAACAGCAACCTTCATATAGGCCAATTAGGAATACCCTAAGCATAACAACTAAGAATACCAACACACCGTCTTTCCAGTTGTCAGACGATCTACAACTAAATTACGCCTAGGGGTTCTCACATGTTCAATTATGTATACAAATCCACATTCAATCATTCCGCAGTATTATTTTTTTTTTACACAGGCCACATGAATGTGTTAACAATGTATGTGTGTAAATTTTTTATTCAAAATCCTCACACATGCTTTCCAAAATGATGAAAATTACTCTGACTCTCTCTCTCTCTCTCACATAAAAACATCTCCCAATAATCATCTAATATCTCTTTATTCAAAATTACTTCGTCAACACACTATGACTGACCTACCAAACAAACACTAACACATTACAATAACACTACTGAAAAACACAAAACAGCAATCTCGCTAATTACCATATTTGTCTGTGGATGAGACACTCCCCATATTTTTAAAGCCCAAAATTAGGTATTGGGAAGTCACCGCTGTGTAGCGGCTAGATGTCGCCTGCGGATCGGAAGGCTGAAGGTTCAGGTCCTGGTAGTACCAGCCCGTTTTGATTTCACTTTCAAAAATGACCTTGGTTTCCAGGTCGGCCAAGTCTTGGTGGGGGGAGCACCAGGCGGAATCCTGGGCAGTAAATAATGGCGGCCTGCGTGATGCTGATCACATCACCCACCCAGTTTCAACAGGTCTATGAAGTATAAGTCTGGCCCTATATGCCTGAAGGCGTGGAAGAGGGTCCTTTACTTTAGAGTTAAAGAGACAACTATTTGTGTCACATTCCGTGTAACCACATTCCGTGTAACCACATTCCGTGTAACCACATTCCGTGTAACCACATTCCGTGTAACATGCGCCCCACAATTGTATACTTAATTTTGGGGATACCTGTCTTATTCACGGAAAAAATATGACTACATTCTCAACATGATGTTCTCAAAATATCACACATACATTTTCACTACGTTTACAATGACATATACTCACGTGGACACTTCAACTCCAGCCAGGCTGGTCCTTTCATTTTCCGACTGATGAGCAGATGTTCCAGGCTACCAAAAAAAAAAGCATAACAAAATGGTTTTCATCAAACTAACTTGGTTAGACCAAATTCCTTGCCTAATTCACCAACATTTTTAAAGTTTTTTTCAAGGTATCTTTGCTTTTTTCAAGGGTATACTAGACATATGCAGTACTTTATTAGCGCATACATGTGTGGGAATGTGTGCACAGATAAAGTGCTTTATTTTTACATTTTGTCCTGACCTAGCACAGAAAGGTAAAATGAAGTTCTGTCTGCTCTAGACCTGGTAGCTGAAGGAGAAAGAGTCATAGAGTAAGGAGGGATAGAGACGGATTATGAGGGAGAGACAGAGAGGGAGACAAAAAGAGAAAGAGGGACAGGCAGGTAGAGAGATGGGCAGAATAGAAGAGGAAGACAGAAATGGAAAAGATTAAAAAAGACAGATGAGGGAGGGAGAGAGAAGGGAGAGGCACAGAGGGAGATGCGAGCAAAGAGAGATGTAGACAAAGAAAAGAGAGACAGAGTGGCACAATAGAGAGGATAACTGGGAAAGAATAAAAGTGGAAATGGCAAAGCATCATGAAATTTCATATTCAAGTAGTCACTTATATCGTGTAGGTCGGCCCCGCCCCTGCTTCTTGTTACCATGTCTTCTGCTTTATTTTTATCCCAATCAGCACAGGCGCTTGATACGATCAAAATGTTTCAGCTCCTGAGACAAGATGCTGTTTATCAGCCAATCTTCCTTGATGTTCAGTCCTTTCCAGATGTCAGTATTTTTGCTTCCACAACGAGTGCCAACTGGTCTTTAAAAATACAATCCTAGCACTAGGTACCTAATGCATCAAAGGTGCAAAAAGAGTTATTTATTTATTTGGTTTTCTAACTCACCTTGAAGCAGGTCATTTGCAGAACGTTAGATTTCATTTTTATCTTGTCTCATGGTATTCTGGGGAGTCGTCGTGGCAGCGCGGCTAGACGCTTACATCAGATCGGAAGGTTGCAGGTTTGCTCCCTGGCGAAGCCGGACTGTTTTAAAAAAATGACCTTGACTCCCAGGTTGACCCAGCCTTGAGTGGGTACCGGGTGCAGTCCTGGGAAGTAAAGGCGGTTAGCGCGATGCTGACCCCCCCCCCCCCCCCCCAACCTTGTGCCGATTGGTCTATCAAATATGGGTCTAGCTCTACGTAGAAAAGGGTCATGTTTACTTTTCTATAGCTTGCTGTCTGTTTTGTTTGGTTTTTTTAATGATATTCTGAGAATCTTTCTGTAACTTTCAGCTCAAAAGCCCCTAATTTCATCCTTTAGGACTTTTTTTTTTTAAACTAGGACCCCAAATTTACCAGGAGGCATTAGTTTCAAATCTTACCTGGAAGTATTAGTTCCAAATACATGACTGAAAGTTTCTCCCTTCAGATCTGACGGCAACACTGGACGATCTGCCTATCAAAACCAAGCAAATTAAAAAGTTTAATTACACTACAAACAAAACAAGCAATACAATCTCAACTCTCTACTCTCAGGAGTAGATCAGAGTTACAGTGCTTAACTTTGGCTCAGGCAGAATTTGTTTATTCAAATGTATTTTTTGTCTGTCTGTATGCAAACAGTTCCTCGGCTCTAAGGCACTACGACTGGAAGGAAATGACACCAATTAGTTGCCTTTATGACATCCTCCTTGGAAAGCTCCTATTCTTTTCCTCTCTAAAAGATCCCCAGAACCCCTTGGGTCTTTTATTTTCTTTAGATTTAAACATGGTTGAATTTCACAGCCACAAATTCCAGTGTGGGTTAGGGGGCTTTGTAGTGGGGAAAACAAGAATAGACTAACTGCCTACCCAACAGAATGTCAGAAGAGTTTACTAATTGAGAGCTTCCTTCAAAGTTGGAGCGTTTTCCCAAAGCTTAGTTGTCAGGTCTACCGGGTGGGGCCACATGCGGCTTCTCAGCTCTGCTAAAAGAGGACAGTCTTGCAAGACATGGTCTGGAGTCTGTTATACATAAAGCCACTAGCAGAGAGCTGTTTTACATGAAGACACTAGCAGAGAGCTGTTTTACATGAAGACACTAGCAGAGAGCTGTTTTACATAAAGACACTAGCAGAGAGCTGTTTTACATGAAGACACTAGCAGAGAGCTGTTTTACATGAAGACACTAGCAGAGAGCTGTTTTACATAAAGACACTAGCAGAGAGCTGTTTTACATGAAGCCACTAGCAGAGAGCTGTTTTACATGAAGCCACTAGCAGAGAGCTGTTTTACATGAAGACACTAGCAGAGAGCTGTTTTACATAAAGCCACTAGCAGAGAGCTGTTTTACATAAAGCCACAAGCAGAGAGCTGTTTACATGAAGACACTAGCAGAGAGCTGTTTTACATAAAGCCACAAGCAGAGAGCTGTTTTACATGAAGCCACAAGCAGAGAGCTGTTTTACATGAAGACACTAGCAGAGAGCTGTTTTACATGAAGACACAAGCAGAGAGCTGTTTTACATGAAGACACTAGCAGAGAGCTGTTTTACATAATGACACTAGCAGAGACCCGTTTTACATAAGGACACTAGCAGAGAGCTGTTTTACATGAAGACACTAGCAGAGAGCTGTTTTACATGAAGACACTAGCAGAGAGCTGTTTTACATAAAGCCACAAGCAGAGCTGTTTTACATGAAGCCACAAGCAGAGAGCTGTTTTACATGAAGCCACTAGCAGAGAGCTGTTTTACATGAAGCCACTAGCAGAGAGCTGTTTTACATGAAGACACTAGCAGAGACCTGTTTTACATGAAGACACTAGCAGAGAGTTGTTTTACATGAAGCCACTAGCAGAGAGCTGTTTTACATAAAGACACTAGCAGAGAGCTGTTTTACATGAAGACACTAGCAGAGAGCTGTTTTACATGAAGCCACTAGCAGAGAGCTGTTTTACATGACACTAGCAGAGAGCTGTTTTACATAAAGCCACTAGCAGAGAGCTGTTTTACACGCAGACACTAGCAGAGAGCTGTTTTACATGCAGACACTAGCAGAGAGTTGTTTTACATGAAGACACTAGCATAGAGCTATTTTACATGAAGACACTAGCATAGAGCTGTTTTACATGAAGACACTAGCAGAGAGCTGTTTTACATGAAGCCACAAGCAGAGAGCTGTTTTACATGAAGCCACAAGCAGAGAGCTGTTTTACATGAAGCCACAAGAAGAGAGCTGTTTTACATGAAGCCACTAGCAGAGAGCTGTTTTACATGAAGACACTAGCAGAGACCTGTTTTACATGAAGCCACTAGCAGAGAGTTGTTTTACATGAAGCCACTAGCAGAGAGCTGTTTTACATGAAGACACTAGCAGGGAGCTGTTTTACATGACACTAGCAGAGAGCTGTTTTACATGAAGACACTAGCAGAGAGCTGTTTTACATAAAGCCACTAGCAGAGAGCTGTTTTACACGCAGACACTAGCAGAGAGCTGTTTTACATGCAGACACTAGCAGAGAGCTGTTTTTCATGAAGACACTAGCAGAGAGCTGTTTTACATGAAGCCACAAGCAGAGAGCTGTTTTACATGAAGCCACTAGCAGAGAGCTGTTTAACATGAAGACACTAGCAGAGAGCTGTTTTACATGAAGACACTAGCAGAGAGCTGTTTTACATGAAGACACTAGCAGAGAGCTGTTTTACATGAAGACACTAGCAGAGAGCTGTTTTACATGAAGACACTAGCAGAGAGTTGTTTTTTCAATGGGAATACAAAATAATGTCTTCAACATAATTTCCATCATTTGCGATACAAAATGTGATGTGTCTGCAAAATTCATGTAAACTCCGCATACTAAATTCACATTTCTGTAAATTTTAGCACATTCACTCTTTACTTCCTATGTGTCCAGACTTCAGGAGCTCCCTCCTGGTGCTACAGGTTTCATGCACTGTGGTGATTCTCTCTCTCTCTTTCTGCGTGGGGGATATTCATAGAGGACTGATGCACTTGTGAAGGTATAGGTGTGCAACAAAGGTGATCATTCACAACACCCCCCCCCCCCCCCCCCCCCACAGTAGAGGTTCTGAAACAGTTTGTTCTACTTGTGACCAGAATTTCGCTAGAGCTGTTCTACTTATAGAACTTCACTTAAGTTCTACATGTGATCAGAATTTCCCTTATAGTGTTCTACATCAATAGTCTTTTATTTGTTATAAGAACTTGACTAGGACTGCTCTACTTATATTAGAACTTCATTATGAGGGTTCTACTTGTGACTAGGAGTGGAGTGGTTTTCTTGTAAAGGGTGGGGCACGGTTAGAAAAGGGACGGGTGTGCTGCAGGTCACATTCTTCTATTCAGTGGTTTAAAGCATTTCATTTTAAGACTGACAGACAAAACTGTCGGTACTGGGCTGCTGAAAATGAGCAACAATTACACCAAGAACCTCTCCATAGTAATAAGGTAATAAATAACAGAGTGGTGTGCAGTGGGACAGTTTGGCGTTATTTTTAACACCTTTTTTTTTTATAACTGAACAGTGTTAAGAGTTAATGTAACATTGAGATGCAAATCTTTTTCATCCCCGAGTTACAAAGAGGTACTGATGCAATAATGGCTGTTCTTCTCCCTTGTTTCCCAACCTTCTCATTCTGAGATCTGATGATGTTTTCTTTGGCCTTTGGCCTCCTTGGTCCCCTGACATGTCCACTTGTGATTTCTATGGGGATTCCTTAAGTCATGTATGTACGAGGGTAAACCTTGTATGTTAGAGTTAGTCTTCCTGCCAAAATGAAGGAAAGTCTTGAATGTTGAGCTACAAAGTTATTATTGCTTCCGACAGCGCTTTGCTAATGCAGTTTCCACATAAGGATGGTAGTCTACGGTTTTGCTGCCTGAGCTAGTGAGTTTATTGCTCGGTTGCAGTCCTGTGAGCTGTATTTTTTCTGTGGAATGCCTTTCATTTGTTAAGCGGCTGTATCGTGGTATTCAATATGGCTGGTAGCCGGTTTACGTGTGAGCTTGTGAAATATCTTATGTAATAATTCTACGTGTGAATACAATAACCAGCTCATCAGACCTGACTACTTCCATCAATGGCACACAGCACTTCTGGTTCTTAAGCAACTGAACTACACATTTGCTGTGTGCGCATTATTTCTAGATTGTTCGGGACTAGTTGTTTGTTCACCAGTGCTTCAGTTGCAACAATAAGGGAGATTTCATTTGATGTGCACTGGCACAGGAACAGAGCAAGTATGGGGAAACCCGATTGCGGTGACTAAGACTAAGAAGATGGAGTAAGTGAAGGAAGCGATCCATCAACAAATCACTCTAATTAACAAAGACCTGCTAGAAAAAATGCGGGCCAATTTTCCGGAATGCCTTTAACAATGTTTTAATGACAGTCGATGCCAGATGTAATTTTCCGTTTCTACCAATACATTTTTTATAGCAAAAACTAACAATTTTATGATTATTTCAAAAACACTTAATTTCCCTGCCCCATCCTGTATTAGAACTTAATATTTTTAATTGACCAGAAATTGACTATGAGTGTTCTTTTTGTGTCTGAACTTCACTATGACTGTTCGATATGTGATCAGAAAAACTTCCTTAGAACTGTTCTATATGTGGTCGGAACTTCGCTAAGACTGTTCCTATGTGATCTTTTCCGTTTCTACCAATACATTTTTTATAGCAAAAACTAACAATTTTATGATTATTTCAAAAACACTTAATTTCCCTGCCCCATCCTGTATTAGAACTTAATATTTTTAATTGACCAGAAATTGACTATGAGTGTTCTTTTTGTGTCTGAACTTCACTATGACTGTTCGATATGTGATCAGAAAAACTTCCTTAGAACTGTTCTATATGTGGTCGGAACTTCGCTAAGACTGTTCCTATGTGGTCAGAACTTCACACGGACTGTTCTACTTGTGAACAGAGCTTGAAATGGGACTGCTTAATGTGTCTACAAGGGTTTAAGATCCCTAATGCTGTGACCTATATCTGCTGTAAGAGTATATGCCAGCTTTCATAATTGACCGTTTGTGCCAACAGTTAGCTGCAATTCTGGTGTGGGACCATTAGTGTTGGCACAACTGACAGATGCCTTATGCATTTTTAGTTGGCACGTAAAAGCAAGATTTTGCCGGGACTGATGAGTCTTTCACCAGTGGCGGACATCTATAATTTCTAATGGCGCAGGAACACAGGAGTTATGAGGTGAAAGGTCTGCAGTGATGTTGGACTAACAACTACAACAAATTATAACATCAGGCAGTAGGAGCCAACTGCAACTTACAGAATATCGGACTTCCAAATAATCTGCTTCAACTGGAACATCCAGCTTGTCAAAAGCATAGTTTTTCTTCACTTTCTGTCAAATAGAGAAAAAACTGTAAAAACCATGTACAACTTATATGCACTCAAACGCGGGAATGCACATAAAAAAGAACAGATCTAGAAGTGAAGAAACCACAGATCAGCTAAAGTAACAATTAGGAGTAGCAGCTAAATTTACCAATATTTTGAAAGGTTTTTTAAAGTAATATTGTATTTATTGAGACAGATCAGATTATAGATGAATTACAAAGTGGAAGAGCAATTAACTAATATTCCAAAAAAGATTTTCGAGGTAATACTGATTTTGTTGAGAATTTCTCAAGACACATGTGTGTGTGTGCATACATAACACGTATACACATACACACCTGTGTATGTGTATATATACATAGACATGTGTGTGTGTATTTGTGAGCTTGCCAGATATGTGATATTTCACCAGAAACGACATAACTGGGGCATCATAGTACTGGTTATTAAAAAGTGAAATTCCATTTTTTTTTAATTATAATATAATGTATGTATCATTTCCAAAATAAAGGTTGACTGGAGCAAACCCACAACAGTCATTACATGGGGCAACATACTCCAGTCTCCCTGTGTGGGTTCTATGGAAAACAAGAATAGACCCACAGCCTCCACAAAGCATGTGAACTTACTGTGGGCTTCCTTCGAAGTCATACCTTCGAAGTCAGAGTGCATCTGTCCAACAGGCAAGGAATCAACAGTCTGTATACAAATAAGTCAGATCTGCAAAATGGATGTTCATGCAAAATTCAGGTACCAGAAGAAAGTTCACACAGACGAACAACCAGAACTTTCTACTGGAGTTTACAGCCGGCGAATACGAAGAAGAAGACTCAAATGTCTTTCATGGAGACGGAAGAATAGTCCTTTAAAAAAAAAATTGGTCTATCACAAAACTCGAACGCTGGAGCAAGAGAATCGTGACATTATAATCGCATTCACTATCTTGCCAAAACTCAACACACACAAGCTATTTGCCATTGGGTATGAAAAACTGAACATACCATGGATCGAAACTCGTCGATTTTGTGTTTTTCTGCCATCCTCTGAAATTCTTCGTACACCAGGGGAAGTGTTACGTCTTCATCTAACTCTTGATTGGTTTTCAAATTCACACGCTGGTAAAAGAAAACATAAAAGATTCAAGTCTGATTGATATGAAGGGCAAAATCATCATTTATTTGACTGATGCAGTATTCCCTGTCACTATTGAACTGAAGTATACTGACAATGATATACCTGAGCCTTGTGGAGGAAACAGTGTCAACCTAGACCTTAATCCAAAGCACTCAGAGTGATATGAACAATAATCATCATCATAAATCACTTCCAGTAAGTAACATGCACACACAAACAAAACTGTAGGTATTTGAAATCCCAGGTCTGCAGGCTATCTACTGTTGGCTACTAAAGATATAGTCCATGATGGATGAGGTGTTCAATATATTGAAGATGAGGTTAAGCTGTCATCAGTAGAACGTGACGATTCCTTGGGTAAGCCCAGTACCAGAGCACAATGTATTGGCTCTGCCTTTGCAGAAGCCTCCTGGGATAGTGGGGAATGCTTATGTTCTGTTCCTGCATTCTCTTGAGGGCTGATCAGCATTGCATGGCTCCTCTGGAGCGGCTTAATATGGAGCACCACCTGTGACCTGGAAAACAAAGATGACCACACAATAATGAGACTGCAAGGTCTCACGAAACTAAGCCAGTCAACAAATGCCTATAGACGTCGGATGTGTAGGCTGAAAGGCACAAATATCGCAGCCATGCTGTGAACGGACACAACGCAACTACATCTTCGGCTGAACGCAGAGCAAGATGATGATGTCAGTAAGCAGTATGGAAAGGATTATCTGCAGTCCAGTGCACACTGGCGCTGGCTACTGTCAAGCCGTGAAGGTGTAAAATGTCTCTTATGATGTCGATCAATATTTTTGTGGCCGTACTCTTGCTCTTGTAGCTGGTCTTCTAAGATGTAACGCCTGTGATGGTATTTGACATTGCTGCATGCTAAAGAGATGGTCAAACCATGTGAATGACCTGGTTAAACTGTGTCAACAAATGTGAGGCTCCAGTAGTCTCACAGATTACACCATCAGTTAGAATGCTATCTAACCAGAAAGCCTAACCCAACACATGCCAAAATAAGTCAGATATGTTGACCAAAAGGCATGTGTTTCGCAGCCATACTGTAATTTACAGAAATCAGGCACGAACACATTTATGGCACTCAGACGAATGATGAAGAAGAATGCTACTAACAAAAGACGGACATGAATCAATCATTATTTTGTGACTTATAAATATAGCAATTGACTTCATAGTGGTTTTAAAAATGGCTAGTGTTCCACAGGATTCTAATGACAACTGTGATCTGGGTTTAATTTTCCTTATGTATGTTTTGTATCACTAAGAATTTTTTTTTGCTTTTTTCATTATTACCTGTAATGTTGTAGGGGCCTGGGATCCATGGGATGAGAACCCATGACACAGCAATTTAGAATAAACAGTATGTCATAACCATACAAATTTACAGTCTACCTGGCAAAAATTTACAATTCATTTCTCATTTTTTTAAAATAGGAAAATAAATTGAGGCAGGCCGCAACGTATCCATTGCCAACAAAGGGGGTATTATCTCGTGAGAGCCAGATTTCTTCTACAGGTGACTTGCACTGCTGTCTGGAAGCCATGAGAACATTCTTTCTCGAAACAGCAGGAAATGTACACTAGTAATCATTAAGGATTGCACTGTGAAACCATTTCCCTAACTTCTCTCACATGGTATTTGCACAAATTTACAATTACCAGTTGACTTCAAACAGGTCAACATAAATAGTACACATCAAACAAATCTACAATACACAGTACACACCACACACAAACCTCAGAAAACAGTTAAGGTCTACAATATTTATATATGTTCTCCAGGTCAAGCCAGTGTGTTGGGAAATGAGCAGGCAGATAGACTGGCCGGCTCTTGTTGTATGACAAGCTAGATATCGTGAAGGCCCTTTGGGAACGAGTGAACAGTGTGGAGGCGCAGACAGATTAGATCATTACAGTCTGAGGAGAATGGTGCTGCAATGAGTTACCAGGGCATCTGGCCGACGCTCACATTCAGGGGAAGGATGGGACGGATATAAAAAATCAGTTACTGGTGCCATCGAAACTGGAACTCTTTGCTTGCTGCTAAAGATATGGATGGAGCACAAACGCACAAGAACAATTTGACATTTCAGCAGCACCTGTTATTGACAGAAACCAAACAGGGGAGGGTGGGATCTTGCTCTGAGAGAAACAGTTGTGACTGCACTCAGGCTAATATCAAGAAATTATTCCACTAAACTGTGATTAAGAAGCTTCTTAAGTCACCGTTCAGTGGATTAATTTCTTGATATTAGCGTTGAGTGCAGTAACAACAAAACTGTTTTTACAATAAACAGAGCACAACTCATAAACCAACAATAAACAGTTGTCACAATTCCACTATAAACGGTACTATGCCATACACAAAATTTCAATACTATGTGGATCCTGAAGATGAATTTGGGGGGGGGGGGGGGGGTGGGGCATTAAACTTTAACAAGCATGTCCTAAAAAATGACTATTAAGGGCTTTGCTGCAATCAGATGTGTAAATATGTGTAAAGGTGTAAATATTGCAGACTAGCTGTAAACCACAATACACAACCATTCTTTTGAGGGCAAACGCAGAAGAATTCCATTCACGATAAATCGGTTAAACAAAAACACAACAATCACAAAAGTTATATTGTCAAATATTGTTAACTACAGTGTCATATGAAATTCTCACCTTGACCCGAGGCAAGACAAACACTCGTCTTTCTATGCCCTTGACAGTGGCACAGAGACTGACATAGGCCTTGACACTCTCCACATAAACTTTACCAAACAGATAGACAGTCCCTGCGACATGATATCACAATAATCAATTAAGGAAATGTATGCAAATCCAAATGTACATTTTAAGTATCACATCCAGTTAACAGAATCAAATTGACAGAGCTACGTGCGGACGGCAACACAGGCAGACAGTTTCTTATCAGCTGTCCGTACTGGTGGCAGAGCACTTATGGTTTATAACCGTGTGCAATAACGCTGGTTCACATCTCCCGACTTGACCTTTACAGTTGCATTAATTCTGGTGGTTGTTTTTTACCCTGTTGCAACAATATGTGCTTGACCCGGCTGTGGAAGATCTGTCAAAATCTCATGTCCACTCCTAAACAATCATGACGTCTGTCACTGCTGTCTTTGACACTGTTACCGTACATTGCCTGCTTTCTTCGATGAATGTCCACTGGTCCACATTCTTCAAATGAAATAAACTGATCTACTGCTCTCTGGGCCATTTTGGGTGGATTTTGGATCAACCCGACCATTTTCTCAGAAACAGAACCGATGCATCATGGGATGATAAGCACGTGCTCCTTTTCATTCATTGGTGCAAACTTATGACCACGATCAATGCACGCCATAACGTGCAGTGTGTCATGAACGAGGCACAGATTAACTCCTTTTGTTGTCTCATGATACCAGGAAATAGCCCAGTGCCATGGTTTTCTGTATTTGTCTTACCATTCTCAAATGGCTTGGGTGATGGATTTGTTCTTTTGCATGTTTCAGCTGCACCATTTATCAATCTCTTTCTTGGTCTTCTCCTCACCTTCCTTCCAGACACTTTACTGTAAAAAAAAAAATCTCAAATGCTGTTTGGTTTGGATGCATTTTCACTAGATGGCCAAACCAATTCATTTTGTCTGTCAATATAATTCAGACAAGTCTTTCATCACCTTTCTCTATAAATCTGGTCTTCGTAACCCTGTCCCTTTTTGTGTTAGTGACCTTATGAATTCACCGGATTTTATGGGTAGTTATTTTCTGTTCTAGTGCCCTATTCATTGTCCGTTTCTGACACTGATAGCATAAAGTAGGAATGAAGATACTAATAATTATTTGGCGTTTTGTTAGAAGGAAGATATTTGGATGTCTAACAGTGGAGTTAACTGGTAGGTGACAATATTTACTTTCTCTACACTGGGTCCTATCTGCAGTCTTCTGTAAATATGATTCTTAGAGATTTGAATTCTCGTACTTGTTTGGTAGTAGTACTATTAACATGAACGTTCATGTTCTTATGTTTCCTGCCTGTTCTCATTATCTCAGTTCTTGGGGAGTTTATTTTCATGTTTTATTCAATCGGACAGATACTAGTACCATCAGAATTGGAACTCTTTGCTTGCTGCTGAAGATGGAAACTGAGCGTTTATGGGAGTGTCCAGAGTGCTGTGGTAATTATTCTTAACATCCAACATTCATATCTTGTGCAGGAGTCAGGGTGTTATAAATTTTGTATCAAATACTGGTCTTATATTTAAAAAAAATGAAGTTTGAGATATCTTCAGTGTATTTGCATCCATGTAGGTTTTGAAGAGCAACGATGAGAGGACACATCCTTGTCTGACACCTAAGATGGGAACCATTCTGTCATTCCTTCTGCTGTTATTACTCTCAAATGAATTCTTATAAATATCCCAGACTGCAAGCACAAAATTACAAAGTATATTTGGAAAAAAATCAAAATCATAAATTTTAACAGCATATGGCTGTAATTCAGCCTCTCAAATTAATGGCACTGTTGCAAATCTACAAGATGCTTAAGTATATTTTATAAACATTTTTATGTATGAGTGCTTTATTTGCGATCTAATGATTTATTCATTGTCACTGAATCAGCTAGTTTATGGCCTACACTAGCCAAGTGTCACAGCAACCACTTCCATAATCAGGGGATCATCATGAGGCTCTGGCTACTTGCCGTGTGAGGGTGGTATTCATGTCTATCCACATCCGTCTGTCTCGTGTACTTTTAGTCAGTTTCAGCCACAAATCTTCCATGCCATGTCAAACTGTCCAGAATCTTCTCTTTGCCTCCTTTACCCCACCAACTCTCCCACAGTTGTGATGTACTCCAGTCTGACCAAAGAAGAAAGATAGTTTCCTCCTGATTTGGGTTGTCTTCATGAGTCAAGGTCCTTCAAGATATCATTACTCTTTTATCTGTCCAGGGTATTATTATTCATCAATAAAACTACATCTCCACCATAAAAAAATCAGAATCAACCAAACAAGAACAGTTCTCAAATGGCTTGGCATGAGTTGGCAGAGGGCCTATGGCAGACTAGGAGATTCAAGTCAGAAGGAAGAAATACTAAATGCAGTGGAAAATTCAGTTTTATTTAGCACTATTTGTAAGCTAATCAATGTCAGAACTTAATAGTAAGAACAAAACTGTAGTGTGAGTGTCCACTGCTGATCCATAGAGTGGTTTTCACCAGAGTCCTAACCAGCCAGAACTTGGCTGTTTCTACTGCATGTAGAGAGCATACGTGCATATCTGTAATGCTCGTCCCCATGGGAAAATGTCTAAATTCCTAACCTTGAAATTCATGAATAAATTACCCCGACCACGGAGTCTTGCATCCAGTTCATAATCTAAATATAATATTAAATGAAGTTTAAACAATGGAAAATGTCACACGGGTAGTAACCCATAAGTTCTCCCTTCTTCTAAATCAAGTCTGAGTCCGAAAAAGCTCAGCACAGAGCACAGGCACAGCCAAGGATCCTGAAATACTTTAATATTGAGGATAATACTAAATAAAACAAGAAATGGGTATATGCGACAATGATGGTTTACCAGGCTGATGGTAAGGATCTTCAAAAGCATCCAACCAGTAGAACCTCAGCACCTGCTCTCCTGTGGCATTGCTGGTCAGTGGAAGTTTTGAGGTGTCCACCTGAACGTCTACAGGAACTGACTGACCCGTGCTTCCAGCATTGTCCCATCCTACAGTCAATGTGTCTTCACTGTAGGCACAGAAGAAATGTCAGGCCATTGTTTCGAGTGTTTTGAAAACTATTCTACAATAATTAAGTTTACTTCAACATATTTGAGTCTTAAATTAGCAATAGTTATGTGTATTCTCAAACTATTTTGGGTGTGTCATCTCTGCCCTACAAACGTCATAAAAGGTGACTAACAAGGGGTGTTTCCTCAAGTCAGAGTGCATCTGCCTGAGAAGTAAAGAACCAACAGTCTGCATACAAATAAGCCAGATCTGTAAGATCGATGTGCAAGGATAAGTTCTGGAACAAGACTAAAGACTAGAAATGGGCAAAGAACCAGAACTTTCCGCCGTAGTTTACAGTCGGTAAACACTCCGGAAAGACTGGCTGGCCGAACGGTAAGAATCCTTAGTAAGGCTAGGATTTTTTTCTGCTAGGAGCAAAATAAAATCCTCACTTGCACAGTCGTGGCGACAGCACTAGCAATGCGGCCGTAAACCCTCAAGCTCAAAGACGCCCCCGCTCCCCCCCCCCCTCTTCCTTATACACCGCAAAAGTAGTAAAATGAAGGCAGTAATTGTCAGAACACTCAGAACAGGAGCAGAGCTGGGTTTTTAGATAATGGCATCCACATTTAGAGAGCCTTCACACCCACACCCCTTTTTGTACAAAAACGGGTGTAAATGTCTTTTGATTTTACACACGCGGTAAAGACAGCTACAAGTTTTAACCGGCCGGACCCTTTAGCCCTGTCACAAAAGTCTTGCGGGTTTTTGATTACATATCTCTGGGCAGTGGTGGGGGTATATACCTAATGCCCTCCAATAAGCCTTCCACAGGAGCAACTAAGGTGTTCCCTCGAAGCTGGAGTGCATCTACTTGAGAAGCGAGGAACCAGCAAATTGTATTCATGAGTCAGGTCTATAAAATGTGCACGCAAACATCAAGTTATGGAACAAGCCCAAAGTTAAAACAGCGAATGCTAAGATTTTTTTTTATCACGCTAAGAAAATATAATCACTTTTTTTAATCATCTCCTAATGAGATCAGGTATCTGACATTCATACCAAGCTCTTGGTGGATTTTTTTAATCGTGGGGGCAAAAATAAAATCCTAACCTGCAGTCCATGACGACAGCACTAGCCAGGCTGTCCTAAATTCTCAGGCTCAAAATGATACCTTCCTTCTTCCTTACAGCACTAAAGTAGTAAATACAGACAGGGAAAAGATGGTTAGTCACAGTATATTTTTTTTCTCTAGCCATCACTTCCTTTAGGAGCCCATTATCACAAGTGAAAAAAAAAAATGAGAACAGTTGGAAGTTTTCAGAGGTATTGAGTATTGATGTAGATTAAACATCTAGTTCTAGTTCCCCTACTTCTTGACCTTAGTCTTGTTTCAGAAGGTTTTTCAGGCACATAAGTTTTTTTTTCTTTCTTTATTTGTATGCAGAATGTTGGTTCTTCGCCTCCCAGGCAGATGCAGGACTTTGCAGGAAACCCCTAAATGGTTTCTCTTAGGGAAGCAGTGTTGTTTTCCCACACAATGAGGAACTCACACAGGGAAAGTTACAGCTCAATTCTGATAACGTAGAAAATAATATATCTTACAAATACAGACAGGAATCGCCGTGGCATAGCGGCTAGACGCTCGCGTGCAGATCGGAAAGTCGTGGGTTGCTCTCTGGCGGAGCCGGACATTTTTCAAAAATGACATTGACTTCCAGGTTTAAGTAGGTACTGGGTGCAGTAAAGGCGGCTTGCGTGATGCTGACCACATCACCCATCTTGTGACGTTTGGTCTATAAAAATATTCACCTAGCCTTATAAGCCTAAAGGCGTGGAAAAGGAGTCGTTTCCTTTTTTGTTTTAACTTAATACAGGCACTTTTTCAAGATGGGTGGATAAATGTGAGAAAACGAATTTACCAAAGACCGTTGCAAAACCAGACTTTTAGACTGCTTTGCTTTGCACAGCAATGTACGTGTGCCGCTAAATTGACTACAGAATGCATTCCAACTATAAGTGTGAGAGGAACAGAACTAGTAAGCTGCCATTTTAACCAGCAAGCTCCCCGTGTGAGATCCAGGGCCGCATTGTGGGAAAACAAACATTTGCACTGCCTTCGAAGTCAAGAGTGCATCTGCTCAAGCAGCAAGGAACAACAAACTGCACACAAATAAGCCAGTAAAACAGATGTACACATAGAAATTAGGCCTGGCACAAAGCCACAGTCCAAATGGACGAACAACCAGGTCTTTCCGCTGGAGCTTAGTGAACAAAGAACCAGCAACCACAGAATTCATCTCTCTCATGCACCTGCCATTAATAGAGCACTGGTTTGGTTTACAGTGAAGACCAAACAAGAAGAACAAACTGCCTCATTCGGGCTAAATGAGACGCAGGAAAAAATTGTGACACATAATCAACAGACGGCCAACTAGATCAACAACAATGATAGCAGGGTGTTCGTACTGTTAAAGAAAAAGAAGTCTCTACTCCCATGAAAATTTGGAAACTTGTAAATTGTCACTGAAGCTTACACAATACAGTATGGGCAGAACGATGGAGATACTTCAAGGAGGATATATCAACCTTGTGGATCTTGCTAGCACCCGTGTCCTGTGAATATACACATGTCGAAAAACTAAGTTTCTCACTGATGCTTGTATCATTCAATTTATGGAGATAAGATACAGGTGCATAATGAAGGCGTTTCAACAAAAAAATCCCATAGCAACAAGAACTTTTTTTTTTAAAAAGGAATCCTTGTAATAAAGCATAAATACACTTAAAAAAACCAAGAAGTGAATAAAGGTAGATAAAAGACTAGACACCTATGCAGAAGAGACAGTAGCACCAGCTACTTTTGAGAAAGATTATAGCAAAATATTAAGCAATGATCAAACCAACATTTTTTAAAATCAAGAATAGACCAGCCACAAAAGATAAAATAGGTAACTAACCTGCTGAAATGGAGCTAAATGAAAGCAGCCATCTCAGTTGAGAATAGCTACTGGGCTCCTGAGGGATAGGAACACTGCTGGTACAGGTGGTATTCCAACAGAAATTAGAGCAATATAAACAATTAACAGTCTAGAAGACTAAAAATTTCCAGTTAAACAGCCAATGAAATGACTTGCATAAGCATTCACAGTGGAATGTTCTCATTTCTGAACAACTAAGGAATTAATAGGCAGTTTCATGCCAAAACAGATTTTGCACCCACCTGACAATCACACAGGCAGCTAGCATAATAATGAGCACATCAACCACAGTGTCAACTGACCTATACAAATATGGAGCTAACAACCTTTATCCATTTTGCCTCAAAGCATAGAAATGGGTTTTCTTTTACTTAAAATATAAAGAAGACACTATCAACAAAATGTTTATGTGAGAGATTACAGAGGAGGCGAACTGGCTCATAAACAACATCCTGAAAGCTGAGGTATTTTTAAGCCACGTTAAACATCATGGTGGCCTGGAGAAAACGGTGATTGGGGAGTCGTTTCTGGTAAACGAGACAATAGCATTTCTCCGCAAACGTGGATAAAAGACAGTGAAAATGCACTGGCTATAAAAGCGTTCCTATTCCGTCTTCTATCCTCCAGTAGAACAAAACCCGTAACCAACGCACGCCAAGCCATTCGTTCTATCCTTCACTATTACATTTAGCTCACCACACGTCCTCCCCAAATTTTAAACTATTTTTCTAAGTGCATGTGCCTTCTGGTCTGTGTGCTATCCACCCTCCACCATGCAAAGGCACAACAGGCCAATCACCTGTTTGTCTTAAACTATGATTACAAGTCATCACAGAGAGAAAACCGGACGGATCTTAATGACGAACCGACATGGCTCACGCACTTCGATTTACAGAACATGGAACTAAAGAGGCATTAAAGGGAAAGAAAATGAGTTAGTAGGGGAGATGAGAATTTAGGAGTCTTGGCTCTGACTGAAACCAAGAAAAAGGGGCAAGGAATCACAGATCACGATGGAAGTATGCTGCTCTACTGTGGTGTCTATGACGAAATGAGCCAAGGGAGGCGTTGGCTGTATTGTGGCCAGGAATCAAGTTAGTAACAAGGGATGGAATTTCATCTTGGAGTGAATTGTTTGATCCGAAATAAGATCAAACTGTCAATACTGTCATTGTGTACGTGGCCAAATGAAGATGAGCAAGTAGATGTCAAAGAAGAATTCATTGAACTGCTCAAAAGGACCATAGATGACTATCACGATGAAATTATCCTCCTAGGAGATCTAAATGCCAGAAAAAGAAATGATCAATGTAGATGGGGTGGAGAGATCAGGAGATATGAAAATGTTTTGAATGATAATGGCAATTTCTCAGATTCTGCAGGGAACAGAACCTTGTCAATACAAATCAAAATTCTCCCACAAACGTAGGCATGCACAAAAAAGATGAACTGCTACAACAAGGCAACACATGCAAGAAACCAAGCAACCGAGAAGGGTTGAGGATTAAGGCATACATGCTAGATACCAGGAGCTTGTAAAATCAATAGGAACTGAAGAAGAACCATCAGGGGACACTGAAGCCCTCTGGTGCAGATTCAAGAATATCCTCACAGCAGCTGCAGTAGAAGCATGTGGTGAAGTCAAGTGAAAGGCAGGGATAAAAAACACCTTCGGAATAAGTTAAATCGAAAATAGGAGAAAAGAAAAGGGCATGGAAGCAATACCTGGCAACCAGGAAAACAGCTGAAGAAATAGAGAAATATAAACAATATGCAACACTCAGAACAGATGCCAAAAATATAGTGCTTAATGCAAAACAGACATTGAGGGAAGAGTTTGGAGAAAAGTTGGAAAAGAAAATCACACTGTTCTAAAAGACCCTCAAGAACAGAGAAAGGAGAAAGAGAGCCCACTGAAATTCATAAAAGACAAGGAAGGGGCTCTGCTTACTACCACAAATGATATGGACAAATGAAAAAAAAAAATTCTCAAAGCTCCATGGTATTGAGGAAAATCATGGCCCAGAAAAAACGGACTTCACTGCGGAGAAGGAAATCATCCATGTGGATAACAAGATGGAAGAAGTGAAGGCAGCTATTGAGAAGATTAAGCTGGGGAAAGCAGCAGGAAATGAAGGTATTAACATCAGAGATGGTCAAATACATTGGAGTCGCAGGTGAGCAAATTCTTTTGGAAGTTCTCCAGGCAGCCTGGTGTAGTGCTATACCAAAAGATTGGGAGATTGCCATCATACCTATGTTTAAAAAAGGTGATAACAGACAATGTGAAAACCAGAGGTATATCCTTCCTTAGCATTGCTGGTAAAAGTTACTCTAGAATTCTCAAGCAGATACTAAGTCTGGTAGAGCGAGCGCTGGATCAGTCACAATGGGACTTTAGAGCAAAGTGAAGTACTCTTTACACTGAGCCAGAAAAAGCCCTTGAATAAAAGAGATGCACATGTGTTTTCGGATCTTAAAAAAGGCATTTGATAAGGTACCCTGGAGCAAGCTCTGGGACTGCTTGGCAGGGAAAAACATCCCAGCACCCCTGATCAGTGCAATTCAGAGTTTTTACAAAAGCTGCAGAAATTATGTAAGAACAGCAGACCAAAAGTCAGAAGAATTTAAGACCACTAGCGGTGTTAGACAAGGTGATATTCTCCCACCTTACCTCTTCATTCTTATGATGGATGTCATCAAGACCTGAAAGGAATAGACAAAGAAGTTCTCAGTAGGGTACTGGAAGATGAGACCAATCTGTATCAGAGCTGGCATTTGCAGACCATGGGGCCCTGATAGCTATATCAGAGGCACAACTGCAGTCCAAAATACTTGTCTGGAAGAAAAAGCTTTGGAAGAGAGGGATGAACATCAGTTATCTCCAAAATTAAAACTATGGTGATCTCAAGAGAGAGAAGAAACACCAGATCATGATGGGACAGTATGCATTGGAGCAGGTCAACCAGTTCAGTTACCTTGGAGTTGTATTAGACCGAAATGGAGGCATTAGGGCTGAGTTGGCTACGCAAAACTCATCTGCTGGAACTCTTCCAGGCCATAAACCGAGGGTTTCTTAGCAAAAGAGAAATTAGCAAGAGGGCAAAAATGGCTCATTACTGCTCTATGTACCAGTCCTAACCTATGGGTGTGAGTCATGGGCAATTACAACAGCTCACAAAAGTCAGCTTCAGGCCTCAGAAATAAGATATCTGAGAAAGTCTGCAATCAGACAATTTATCAAGATCTTGATAATGACCTTAAAAAATTAGAGTGGATCAGTAACAGTTACGATGGTTTGGACATAAATGCAGAATGTGAGAAAATCAGCCACCTTAGCAGGCATGGGAGGCTAGGAAGCAGGGAACCAGATTTCCAGGACGACCCTGGAAAGAAGACATCCGACAGTCCCTAACTGACAGAGGGCTGGAATGGAATAAAGCCAGAAAGAAAACTGCAGACAAGGGCGTCTAGCAATCTCTCTGGCAAACCTCTAACCCCAAGGTAGAAGAGGAGCGACTAAGTGTCCTATTCAACGCCAGCATCTATTCTTCAGTCCACTGCAAGTTAGTTCTCTTCCAAAGCTCAACATTAGTGATTTTATCACACCATTTAATCCCCTCGATTCTGCTCAGGCAACAATTATTGAAAGTCTGCAGTTTATTAGTAAGTTCGCCATGTTTCCGCTCCATACAGCAAACTTGATTTGACATTAGAATTAAAGAATACTGAACAAGAAACTGGCTTCAAAGTCTTGCTCTGGCGATCATACCACGCTCCTCCTTTAGAAAGTCGTCATCGACAGCCTAGATATTCTCAGCCCAGGCAGCATCATTATCCAACATACCTTTATTCTTAACAGTTTAAATGTTATTGCATTTTTAATTTTTATTCTTTTATTACTTTATTGTGTCTTATCAGTATCATTTTTATATCCTTAAAATTTGTATTTCTTTTTTCCTACTATTATACTATATATTAAAAATTTAACTTTTTTTAATGACTTTTTTTAATTTAATTTTAATTCATTCACTCTGCATCACATTTTTTTTAAACGTTGCTCCCGTCACCCCTAAGAGATCCAAATGCTTTCTTCTTTGCTACATTTGTGTAGTTCATGTCATGTTTGACAAAGGCTGCCGGCCAAAACTTTTGTGCATGTTTTTCCACTTCTCTATTTCGTTTAGCTTTTTTGTCACATTTCACTGGAATGTCTTGAGACGTATAGGCGTGACATAAGAGAGTTCTGTAAAGGAGCTTACTGTGACACGAGAGCAAGTTCTGTAAAGAAGCTTACTTTGACATGAGAGCAAGTTCTGTAAAGGAGCTTATTGCGATATGAAAGCAAGTTCTGTAAAGGAGCTTACTGTGACATAAGAGCAAGTTCTGTAAAGAAGCTTACTTTGACATGAGAGCGAGTTCTGTAAAGGAGCTTACTGTGACATAAGAGCAAGTTCTGTAAAGGAGCTTACTGTGACATGAGAGCAAGTTCTGTAAAGGAGCTTACTGTGACAGCGAGTTCCTTGAAGGAGCTTACTGTGACAGCGAGTTCCTTGAAGGAGCTTACTGTGACAGCGAGTTCCTTGAAGGAGCTTACTGTGACAGTTAGTTCTGTGAAGGAGCTTACTGTGACAGAGCGAGTTCCGTGAAGGAGCTTACTGTGACAGAGCGAGTTCTGTAAAGGAGCTTAATGTGACAGAGCGAGTTCTGTAAAGGAGCTTACCATGACATGAGAGCGAGTTCTGTAAAGGAGCTTACCATGACATGAGAGCGAGTTCTGTAAAGGAGCTTACTGTGACATAAGAGCGAGTTGTGAAGGAGCTTACTGTGACATAAGAGCAAGTTCTGTAAAGGAGCTTACTGTGACATAAGAGCAAGTTCTGTAAAGGAGCTTACTGTGACATAAGAGCAAGTTCTGTAAAGGAGCTTACTGAGACATGAGAGCGAGTTGTGAAGGAGCTTACTGTGACATGAAAGCGAGTTGTGAAGGAGCTTACTGTGACATAAAAGCGAGTTCTGTAGAGGAGCTTACTGTGACATAAGAGCGAGTTCTGTAGAGGAGCTTACTGTGACATGAGCGAGTTCTGTCAAGGAGCTTACTGTGACAGAGCGAGTTCTGTGAAGGAGCTTACTGTGACAGCGAGTTCTGTGAAGGAGCTTACTGTGACAGCGAGTTCTGTGAAGGAGCTTACTGTGACATGAGAGTGAATTCTGTAAAGGAGCTTACTGTGACAGCGAGTTCTGTAAAGGAGCTTACTGTGACATGAGAGCGAGTTCTGTAAAGGAGATTACCATGACATGAGAGCGAGTTCTGTAAAAGAGCTTACTGTGACATGAGAGCAAGATCTGGGAAGGAGCTTATTGCGACATGAGAGCGAGTTCTGTAAAAGAGCTCAGTATTGATAAATTAAAGATATGCATGGTCCTAGCATTACAATGCCTGAGACCAAGAAAGATATTCTATATACCTAATAAGATGCCTGGATGGCTTGGGCTTATTCTCTAGCTGATGGTCGGTTGGCTCAACTTTGATGTCTTCCCTGGTGCAATCCTCAACATCATCAAAATCAATATCTGACATGTCAAGTTCATCTTGGCCATCTGGAAATAAAACATTGAACTGATCAACTCACAAGCCTATGATGTGGTCCTTCCTTGGTACCAAATGAATTAAGAACTTGTTATCTTTGTCCATCTATGTATCAATTTGTCTGTAATACTCAGTTCTAGGGAGAAAGATATTGATGCCTCGAGACTAATATTGTTTCAGTTATTGGATCTGTTCTTCGGATTCCAAAAATATTACTTGTAAATACTGTCCTAAAGTTAGGGGTTGGGGTTGGACAAACAAATATTTCCTTCTTAAAAACCATGGTATTTTTGTGATTGTAACTATATATATATATATCCATTCAAAAGTATAACACAGGCATCTGGAGATCTCTATGACAAACCTTTACAACCCCAAGGTAGAAAAGGAGCAACTAAGTAAGCATTCTGAGCCGTGAGGTTCATTGCTGCAGATATCACCACCTCCACTTATCTGTCATTCTCTCAATATGCCCCAGCTATTTCAACCTATTAGCTCCCATACTGCCAATGATCAATGGTGATCTAAACAGATCATGAATTTCATTACTTCTCACTCTCCATTCCCTGTTCAAATCTTTGATAGGTCTAAAGATTCATTGTAATACTTTGTTTTCGAAAACCTGTAATAAACCATCTTTTTTTGTGCTCCTAGTTTCAGAGCTATATAAAACAACTGGTTTTAACATTTTATATATTTTGATCTTGGTGTTGCAAGATAGAGGCTTTGACTTTAACAGATGTTGAAGTGCATAGTATACTTTATTATGAAGCCCTTGTAGATATCTAAAAGTAAGGGGTTTGGTGGGCTTATCTAACAGAACCACGGACCTAGCGGTTCCAACTGAAAAAATAAACAGGAAAAGAAAAAATTTTAATTTAACTAAACAATACACACTATACTGCCCATGTGATTATTTACATCCTCGTGGATTACAATAGGATTCAAAAATGGACAATTATCTCTTCAGTTATGTTAGCCCAACCTGGAACAATCACAACATTCTACACAGCAGTCTGTCAAAGACTGAGGACAACAGTTTACAACATTATCAACTTGCACATTATATATATATTGGATCTGTGTATATGTATATATATATACAACTGGCATGTCTAAAAAATATATATATACTAGCAGCGGTTGGACATATATATACATATATACATATATATACATATATATACACATATATATACACATATATACACATATATATACACATATATATACATATATATACATATATATATATATACACATATATATATACACATATATATATATATATATATAAGGCACGTATTTGTGAAAACAATAGAAAGGGGAGGTGGGAAACAACAACAGTAAAATTCTAGAAAAGAGTAATCTTAAGGGAAAACAACTTTCCAAGAAAAAGTTGGACAACCCTAGCTAGATGTATGGTTAACTAATTCAGTAATGGACAACAGTACAGTTACAAATCAAATGCACAGTTAGTACCAAATAACTTTGAGCCTTTGGTCGATGGCATGTGAACACGCTTAAGATAATGTTCAAAAGAATGATCTGTCTCAACAGGTTATTTATAATGGCTACCAACTTGTTTAGATAGGCGAGACGTCACAGAAATTCACAGCGTAGTCAGGAAAGCTTTATGTACAACCAGCACATGTGAATATACTGAATTAATTAGAAAGACAATGGTGTTCAGAAATATCTCCTTGCTCATCAATAAGGCTGTGATGTTCAATTTCATCACCACGGCCATATTGACAAGTAACAAGACTTCTACAGGCTAAATTGTCATTGCAGCTTGCGATCAACTCATAACAAAGGCAGCTACAGGAAAATCAGAAGTCAAACCAAACACAAAAAACCATAGTAATATATAGCAAGCTAACACTGATCTTGCAGAATAAACTAAGAAACACCTTGACATGTGGAGCAGACACTCCCACTTTTGCAAAATAAGAGCCAAGCAGATTGAGCTTGTAAACTGGTAACAATAATCCAACTAAAAGGAACACCAATCAGGAACCTTCACTGTTCAGTTTATAGGTTTGGACGACCATGAACTATGGAAGCTTTGACAGAAAAGCACAAGTCCGATGTAACAGGCCGAAGGTTAAGGTGTCATAGCCAAACCATTTTATTATTTAATAGCATCAAGCAACTCCTTACTGTAATGGGAAAGAAACAAACAAAGTCTGATCTGACAGTAATTTCAAATCATGACTGCAGCTCTTAAAGTAGCAACATACAATACAAATGTAAAGCTAGTGCAATTATATTTAACTAATCTGAGATAATAGATTTGTGGCGAAAAGTTCAAAATAATCACTATTTATGTTACATTATCTGCAAACTTGACAACCATTTACGGGCAAACAATAGATTAAAAAAAAACCAGAAGTGTTAAACAACTGGGAACAATGATTCCCGGGAAAAGCCATGAACTCAAGTCATTGACATCTGCCATCCCCTGTGCCCCAAATTTGCAGCTTGACAGGAAACCAATGACTGCAAATTCTATCAGCTGCTGTTCACAGAACCACAAGTAAATGGTGTTCAAGAAAATGACATCACTCATCAACCAGGCTGTGATGGTTTGCACACAGCACATCCCGGATGACAAGTGACAGCATTTCTCACTCCTGGAAACTCCGAGGGAAGGTTCTAGTAGTCCACTTCTAGACTCTGGTCTTGTTCCAGAACCAGAGTTTTGTTGTTGCTGCGTCACCTCTTAAGCAGTTGCTCACCGACTTCGAAGGAGAATGGAAGATAAAATGCACAGATCCCAAACCGAACATACGATTCTGGAACATGAATTATATTTCACGCGTAAATATGTCCAATCACTGCTAGTATATATATATATTTTTAGACATGCCAGTTATGCATCAGGCATGTCAGCCGCAACTCCGATCTACTGCTAGATATCTTTGATCCCCCCCCCCCCCCCTCGGTGCAGTATCACTATTCCTTTGTGAATACACTGATGTACGACCATGCTGCCATCTCGAGAACCATCAGTCTTCCTTGTGATACTGAAATATAGGAGGTATATGATTGTGCAGCTGGGCTGATTTGCTGGACTAGCTAAACATTTGAAAACACGTTTAGACCCTCAAGATGTAAAGTCAATTCTTAACATATCAGCAGAAAAAGACTAAATAATCCAAACATCTAACAGCTGTATGGCTTTGTCAAAACAGGCTTTTTTAAAAAATTGCATGAAAAGCACCCTAATGGGTTTTGTATTCCTGCAAGCGTCAGTAACTGAACTTCAACTTCTTGCTTTATTTGTTTTTATCCGTAGTTCTATTGTGTGTTTGAAGCCGTTAATGTCTGCTACAGTAGAACACTATTTGCACCTTTTAGATAACAATCACCTTTTTAAGCACTTACTGACCAGGTTAGTTTCTCAGAAACTATTACCCGACAAATAGTAAAGAATTCACCTGGTTTCAACGGGTATGACCAAGTTGGCTTCAGGAATTGCACTGATATCTTAGGTGAATTATCCTGATATCAATTATTAATTACTTCTCTGCGTTCCCCAAATGTAAACTGATGAAAGTTCTGGTTGTTCATCCGCCTCTGAACTACATCTTGTTACAGAACCTGACTTAACTCCTCGCCTTTCAAGCAGATGCTCTGACTTAAAGCCCCCAATAAGTCTACTATTACGACACGCTAGTTGAGAAGCAAATGGGGAAATTATATAAAATCAAAGGATTATATTTATCAACCCTGACTAGTTCATTTGATTTTAACCAAACCTATTCTGATAAAGACTAGCACAAACACTGACATATGAGCACGACTCTTGAACAGATTGATATTAAAGAGCCTCTCCATGCAAACTGGCTGACAGATCGAGAACCTCTTCGCCCATTTATCGACTGTGATATGATGACAACTGCACATCACAGCCAAAAAACAGGGAAAGCTGTCCCAACATGGCGGTCTGAACAAGACATTACCCTGTGAGCATAACTACTTGTGCACAACTACATTTCATTTTTGAAAAAGGCAGGGACCAGCTGAATGGATCAGCTTTCAACCTTGAACAAAAACCTAAATGAATATAATTAAATTCAAAAACAGCATGATAATTCATTCGTTATAATTTTTTTTTTAATTTTCAAAACACAGTGACTCATGCAGTGACCTCTAATAATGAGGCTTACAAGAAAATAACATTTTTAAATAAAAAAAACTGATTATACCAGGTGAGTTTGAAGGCTGACGTAGGCGCCCACCTAATGACTGTGATATGGATATACAGCATTTCACAAACATTAAGCGGGTGCCTACGGCAACATCTCACATGATGATTATATAACCATGCAACAGTACAATATAACTACCTCCCACTTTCAAAGTCTAATGGGTTTTGTTATTTTTGCGGAACTAAAAATCCACCAAGCTTAAGGAGCAAAACTGCCTTTGCGAGCATTGTCAAACAATCTCACAATAAAATAAATGTATGGCAGCAACATCTCATTATGAACAGAATCATCCCTCGGCCAATGACGACACCAAAACATAAGTGCCACTTCATAATCATACAACAAAAGTATTACATTATCATTTCTTCTTCTTCGCGTTCACCAGCTGTACACTCTGGCGGAAAGTTCTGGTTACTCGTCCACTACTGAACTGCAGTCCTGCTCCAGAACCTGAGTGTTGCGTGTGCATCAGTTTTACAGATCTCATTCTCTTGAATACAGACTGTTGGTTCCTTGCCTCTCCGGCAGATGCACTCCGACTTCAAAGGAACATTATCATTTGAATGAACAAATGAATTACTAAACGGACAACAAAACAACTGAAACCTAAGGAAGTACTTGTAACAAAACACAAGTTTCCTAATGACTTTTACAGTTACTAGCAGAATGATATCATGGCTCATTAGTTGCATTGATCTGAATAATCACAAGATTAAAAATGGACTGCAAATACATAACACTAAAACTAACACCATATCAAACCCATTGACACCAGTTTCCTAATGATGTACTGTTAAAAATAGTAACAGATCTTACACTTGTAAAATTAAGAAGACAGGGTATGTAAAGATGAGCCTGAACTGAGCTTGAGTCCACCCTAAACGAGACTATCCCCATGTAGTCGAGGCATGGATCCAATTAGTATATTATTATAGAAGCTGCGTTGAGACAAGAGACCTTCTCGAGGCAGAAATCAATTGTGATATGAACTCATTCAACACATCACAACAGATCGTCTGCCTTAGACTGTTCTTTTAGTCATCAAAGATGACAGATTCTGCCATTGTAGATAATTTATGCCCAAAGGTCCACAAACATCCAGTCACAGAATGTAAGATTTATGTCCAATGGCTAGGCTACAAAAAGGCATGCTCTATTAAAGCAATGTAGGGAAGGAATATAAACGTAGAGACTGGAATCCCCAATGAATCTAAACAGCCCTATCCCCTCATAACACCCACACACAAAAATCATACAGGGGGAGAGGGGCACATTAAATCTTGCAGAATAAGAAAACGAACAACAGTCTGTCATAATTTAGTACAAGAGCAGCCAACCTCCACTGTAGAGATAGCATTCAATTGAGTAGCATTCACCACCGGGTTAAATAAAATGAGACCAAAATAATAAAGTATATTTTATCATGATGTCCATCACAGAAGATATGTTTAACCGTACCGCCCATCAATTGACTGTGATATGATAAATTTGGCACACATCACAGAGAACTGACAGGCACTAAGACTTACATCTTTGAGAATCAAACATTGAAGCATTCCAGACAGAGCACACACAGCAATTATTAACAGCTTGTAAACAAAGTATTTATACCTCATACATTCTCCCTTGTATTCCAATCCCAACTTAAGTATTCAGTCCATGAGCTTTACTGTGCTGCCTGATTTTAGTGTCCAGAAGAGCCTGATGTAAAAAAGGTTTTTCCCATGGCTGTACTGACTGTGATATGGTTTTTTCCGCAAATCATAACCAACACAACCACAGGACTAAGACCCCAATCAACATTGCAATAAAACAAATAAACCTATGGGTGACCGCAGTCAATCTAGTATCAAGAAATATAATGTGCTCAATAGATGATAGTCCGTTTCTGGGCATGTTCTGTCCCTGTGTACAGCTCCTTAATGCGTATATTTGGTGATTTTATTTCTCTTGAACCGTAAAGGTAGCAACAACCAAGAATCATAAGACAAAATTACAAGACTAATACAAGAACAAAAACAGCTACGCTTATACAATTATCCAAGAAATGGAACAAACAAGAGAAATTAGTACCTACAATTCCCTGTGTGGATTCCTGGGCCCTATTATTGGGAAAACAGGAATAGACCCATTGACTACCCAAAAGCTTGTAAGAGTCGACATTGGGAGCTTCCTTCGAAGTCTGAGTGCATCTGCCTGAGAGGCAAAGAACCAGCAGTCTGCATACAAATTAGATCTGTAAAATGGATGCACGCGCAACACTCATGTTTTGGAACAGGACTGCAGTCCAGAAGTGGATGAACAACCAGAACTTTCCGCCAAAGTTAGCTGGTGACCGCGAAGAAGTACCAACAATTACCTATTTTACCACAAGATGAATATATACCAGCAGAATTGTGCCAATATATGAATATACCAACACAATCAGGTGCAGTAACTTTAAACTAGTGTAAAACTAACCACTAACTACAGAACCACAATGATTCAATTTCATTTTGTGAAATCATTTGCAAAGCCCAGTGAAAGATGACCAAGTCTTGCCGCCCAATAAACAACTGTGATATCAGCAAGTCAAAATATCACAGAAATTTATCAGGAGACAAGTGCATGAATTCAGTTTGTTCTTTTGCTCACACCTTACTTGTGGTCTCTATGGTGTAAACTAAGATGGCAGAACGGAAACTGTGGTCAATGTCAACAACATACACAAATGGAGAACACAAATTTTAAACGCTAACAACTATTTATGACACAGGGGACATGAACCAAAGGATCTGAGACAACGTGGCCAGTGCAGTCACTATGAACTGTAGGTTAGGATTTGTAATTTCTGCCTAAACAGAACAAATCCCCATCCCTTACCAAGGATCAAATCCTGGTCTCCCGCATGACAGCTCAGCTCTAAAAACTTAGCCACCGCACAGCAAGTGTAATTGTATAACATATACACACACCTGGACCCTCAACTGATTTCCTGCACATTATCAGATCTTATGGAGGGAATTATGTCTGATGACAAGAGATCTTTTATAAATCAAAGCACTGGTATATATACACATATATTCCTTACCATTAACTTGCTCCACTTTATTAATATTCTCTTGGATGTCACTGTCTGATCCACTGTGCTCAGGTACATCATCTGGCTCAACCTTGACTGCCGTCAGCAAATCTTTTGAGGCCGATATGTTTGATTTTTTGGACACTGGTACTTTTTCATAGGACAAATTTCGTTTAACGGAACCAGCTGTTTCTAAAGCTTGCACTTTTTGTGGAGGTGTCCGCGTGTCTACTTTGAAGGGATTATAAGCGGCTCTGAAAACAATCACAGCAATTTATTGATTCAATACATTTCAATTTTCACCAGACTTTTTATAGGCATTTAAGTTATTTTACTTTAATCTAAAAGCACCAAGCACAAAGAATGGGTGGTTAGATGTAGCCATGGTCTTTTTTTTTTTTTTAAAGGGCAACCAACTGGTCTGTTGTGCTGGGGTTTACAGCCAGGCTGGGATATCAGCACCCTTTGACCCAACATATCAGCAAATTCTTGGCTGCTTTCTCAACTAGAAAATTAAGGCTATCGTGCTGTGTACAGAAATAACCCGTTCTTACTGCAGGCCCTGCTTACCGATGCGCTGATATGGAACCTGATCATCATCATCCATTGAGTGCCATTAAGACATATAGGGTTTGCTTTTGATTCTCCCACTCTGCTCTATTGCATGCAACTCTGATTTCTGACATGGAGTTCAGCACAATATTTTTAGCCTCTTCTAATAATCTTAATTTCCCTTGGAGTAAACCTTTCACAATCCACTGTTTCCCATTTCAGGGATTTGTTAAGTAATTCTTTGTTATCTTAGAATGTAACCAATATATCTCCAACTTCGTCACCAAAGTACACCATGAACAGATGGCTGTCTTGACTCAACAGAACTAACCGGATCTGAGCTAATGACAGATCAGTGATAAAACAGCCACAAGGCTGAAAAGCATCCAGTGCCCATCAGCTCTTTATCAGTTGCCCTTGAGAATTGGCATGTTTTGATGTTTACACATAGCCTAGAATATCTGGACCTTTCAGCTTAATGCATTTAATTTTGGCACACCTCCAAAACAATCACATTTTGTGACATGCTTGTTCCAGAGCATGATCTCTTCACCCTAAAGATGTCCCTGGAACCCATGCGGGGAAAGTGGTAAATAAATACCACTAAGTGGGGGGAGGGTGGAGACAAACATTTCATCCCATACTATGTCCCATGAATGTTTCTCGAACTTTTCTAAGCAGCTGTTTGGGGTAAAATAACTGTCGAGCTGAAGAGCCTCAAATGATCAGAACTGCAGAAATTAATATGTTCATGTTACAGCTGGATAGGGCTACAGGAGATGCAGAAAGATGAGTAATGCCAAAGAACAATAAATGCAGGCTTTAAAATTGCATGAGTTACAGCTTTTTACATTTTAAAAACAAAAATCAAGTGTCTGGACACTAACAAATATGGCCCCAAACCAGACAAAGCAACAAGAACAAAGTCCATGTAGACAAGACAACACTATATCTCACTTCTTAGGTGGCTTTGTGATTGGTTGGTCATGCTTGCCACTTGGCAATTTCACTGCTTTTTTGTTCAGCTCTCCCATCAATCCATCCAAAATATCATCATTGGCCAGGCTGACATCTGCCTGCAGGTGAAACCACCAAACATTTACAAGTCTATCAACATGATACTCGTGCTGCACCACCTCTCAAAAATAGCATTTTTTTTTCTCCAAATATCCAGAAACCCTGAGTTGTTACACTTTAGCTCGGTACTATGGATATCGCAACCCTTCTGCCTTGATTCTGTAACAGGTACAGCAAATCTAGAGAAAATGTGGCGCTCATGCAGAACTCAAGTTCTGAGGCTTAAGTACAAAAGTGGACGAATAAAAATTTTCCAACAGAGTTTAGAGCTGGTGAGCGCTAAGAAGATTACATATAAAGATTCAAAGTATAATATGCTATATTTTGCATTCAATTTCCAGTTAAATTACAGCTATCTCAAGTGGGTCTAGAGATGATGATAAGACTTAGGGGCAACAATGATTAACTAACAAGTAGTTTACAAACAATATATCTTACTTCAGATTTCTTCTTGGAAGTTACCGCAGCAGCAGCAAACATAGACTTGATATCCTGTTTTGGCTTTGTCCCTGGTCGAACAATGTTTCTGTTCTTTTTCTTATCATCCTTCTGTTTTCCTGAAGAAGGAACCAAAATATTCTTTTCATACAAGGGTGTTTCTCCCACAGAATAAATTGTTCCGTTGGCATAAAATGTTCCAACATCAACAACTTGGATTGCAACCAGGTCTCTCTGTCATCAGTTTACAGTTTAATCACAACTGGTAACCCGAAACCTGCAAATCAGCTTTAAGTATATAACTTATCCATCCCTGTGGGATCATAACCATAAAATAAAATACAAAAGTATAATTTGCAAAAATATATATATATAACAATAATTCTTCTTCACGTTCGCCGGCTGTTAACTCTGGCGGATAACCATAAAATAAAATACAAAAGTATAATTTGCAAAAATATATATATATAACAATAATTCTTCTTCACGTTCGCCGGCTGTTAACTCTGGCGGAGAGTTCTGGTTGTTCATCCTCTTCTGGAATTCAGTTCTGTTACAGAACCTTGCGTGTGCATCCGTTTGACAGATCTGACTCATTTGTATGCAGACTGCTGGTTCCTTGCCTCTCAGGCAGATGCACTCAGACTTCAAAGGAAGCTCCCAATTAGTCGACTCTTAAGACATGCTTTTTTGTAGGCAGTGGATCTATTCTTGTTTTCCCTATAATAGGGCCCCGGAACCCACACAGGGATATATATATTCTATCAAAACACCAAATGTAATCTTACTTGAAGATACGGGTGCATCAACATCCACATCATCATCAAATATTTCACGTCCATCTTCCACATACCCAGCTCCATCTGTGGATATAAAATAATGCATGGAAATTATTACATTTAAAAATAGAACTTGCGACACAAAACAAGACAGGGTAATACAGAGAAAAATCAATTGAAGTTTACAGTATGTAAAGAAAACAGACAACTAGAGAAAATAGAAAGTTTACAGCAGTAAAGATTATAAAATAAAAGTACTGTGGAGAAAAATCAGAAAATGAAGTGTGCAGCAGCAAAGCAATGTACTGTGTGAGAGAACAGTTACATCACTGAGGAAGTAAAATCGGAAAAGGGTCTTGTAATCAAGCTGATATACTGAGATATTTTTTCAAAAATAGAAATCAGCATATTATAAAGAACTGTCATATTGTTCAAGAAAGATATTTAATGCAGAATACTGAAGCAAAGATAATTACAGAAAGTTTTTTGGTGAATGAAGATACTGGAACAGAAAATTATACAGCAAATTAGGCCAATGAAGTACAGAAAATATTACGGATTAAAAAAAACCATAGGATACAGCAATACAGAAAACAATTAATGATAGGCTTTGCTATAAAAAAAAAATATATATATATATATAATACTGCAGTAGAAAACACAAGACAAGTCAGGATAATAAAACATTTGGAAAAAAAAGTATACTGTGACATATTTCTAAAGTTTAACAGATGTTACAAACCAATCCGAGCAATTGTTGGCTGTTTGTGGATGCACTACGCAATTTTTATTTCCAGCGGTTTACAACTGCCTCTGACAGTCAGCACTCACTGTCAAAATCAAGACAGAGGTTTACTGCCATATCACCTGCAGCTGAATCAAACTGGGCACTTCAGAATTAACTCACAGTAAACATCCACAAGACCCCTATCAGCAAACAACAGAAAGTTACATACAATTTTCAATCTATGATTAGGACACTGCAGACTCAACTACCACATGCATAAAATAAAGATTGTACAGTGCCCAGTGTGCCTTGTCAAACAGGACCACAAAAACCTGAGCACATTCTGCAGACCTGCCCACTCTATATACAACTTCGAAAAGACTCATGGCCTCAAGAGCAAAGTGTGCAGAGCAAGCTATAGGGAACCATGAAGGACCTGCTACTGACATGCAAGTATGGTCATATGAGCATATGAAACCAGACCTGCTACTGACATGCAAGTATGGTCATATGAGCATATGAAACCACCAAAGGCAAAGAAGATTAGGTGTTCGCAGCCCTTAAGCCACAGACATGACAAGACAAGAGAGAGTGGTATAAATGTATGGACAAGATCAAACGTGGCCAATGAGAAAATAGAAAATGATATTTTACCATCATCAATAATCCAGTCATCTTCCTGTCGTTGTTTGACAAGTTCCGAATATTCATTCTCTTCAACAATGTCATAGACATTCTTCTCCTCCTCTAGCTCGTATTTATTCTTGATGCCCTTTTCCTTCGCCTGCCTGAGTCTTTCAAACGCTGACAGTGTGCCCTTCTTGTCTTGCTTCTGTCTGCGCGACCTCCCCTGAGCAAGGGAGTAGCTGCCATCTATTTTTAGGGGAAAGAAAGTTAATGTTTCAATATTGCCATACAAACAGCTTCAACTAGTATTTTTGTTTCATATGAAATACAGTAACGCCACAAATGTCAGGCTTAGAATGGTGGACTTGCAAAACAAATTAATTCTAAATTTTGTGTGCACATAACTCATAAATGTTCCCAATAATGCTCTGTCCCAATCTCAAAAAGCAAACGCAGTGTTTATCTTAGATGGCACCAGCTACAAGAAGATAAACCAAGATGGTCTGGTTAACACCAGTGGCACATGATGCTAAAGTCATTTGTAGAAACCAATCCTTGCCATGACAGGGCTGTAAAGAATTTAGGTCTTTCAAATGTAGTCAAAACAATCCAGTTTTCTTCTCACAACAAGAGCAAAAAATGGCTGTGTTCTGAGCCCTCTGATATTTGTAATAAGTGCAAATACTGGTTCTATACTATCAAGTAGCAAAGACACCAGCTTGTGCTCACATTATTTTTTCCTCACCACTGTCAAAAGTCTACTTTTACAGTGGCTCTTAAATCGTCTGAAAAGCATCTTTTATCATCTTGCTGAAAGAAATAAGATTTGAAAGAAATAAGATTTAACTATTTGTTACAGTAACAAGATTTAACATAGCATTTTATTGTAACTATCCATTTGTTTAGTGTACATCCACCTGCATGTCGTTGTAATCGCGGACTTTATTCTTACATTGTAGGTTACAGCCTGAAATAATTCCTGTAGTACTTACACTCCGAAGATAATTCAATAATTAACGCCGACAACTAAAACTTCAAGCTACCATCATTCCTACAAGACAACAATGATCCCAAGCTGAGTCATCGGGACATCTGCGAAAGACGAACAATGAACCGTCCTCTAGAACAGCCATCCTCGCCGCATGTTTCAAAGTTTGAAAACTTCGCCACTCGTCCAAACAATTCATTTAAACTTACATGCAATTAAAATCGTATTTTCGATAACATATTTTATCTACTAGTTAGTTACATAAAACAAAAACCAACGAATGACAAACAGAAATAAAAGAATTATTTGCCTGGTGAGTCTGTGCCTTCTGCCTGCATTTCCCGCATTTCTTTGTGTACCTCTTTGCCACACTAGCGCTCTTTTAACATTTTCAAGTAAAACTCAAACCATTCGTGCCAAATTCTTTTTCGCGTTAAAATCACTCACTGAAACCTGTTCACTAACGTAAACACACGCTTTTATTAATATATACTATATATGAACTTTTGTCATTACTGACAGTATACGTTAATATTTTATCACATGGGGAAGTTACTGAAACATGAATTCTTCATGATATCCAAAGTGGCATGTGGAGTTCATGTTTCGCGCTTTCTTTCTCCCAGGGAATCTCTTGTGACCTGGACTAAATATAGCTCAGTCAACCCCTGGCTCTGTTTTCTTTGTTCCCTCCATTTCTCTCTAACATTTTCGTGAGACTCACCAGTCCTTTATTTTGACTCTCGCAGTGACCTCATACGTTGAACATTAGTCACGGAATGAGTTACTAGAAGCAAATGACCAACCATCAACATTTCACAAGTTTAATGATTAAATAATGGCGCTTGAATTCACTCACTCAGTTGTGGTGGTTTCTTTTTTTTTCTTTCAAATAGCAGTTATTATTAAAATGAGCAATGGATTCCTTGGGAGGTTGAGACACAAAGAAAACTCACCCGAAGTATCATTTGTTAGAAATCATAACCAGATAAACATGGATTACATTTTAACCGATAAAATTTAGTGATAACAGATTCTAGACAATCTGGTATTATGTTTTGAGAAATGGGAAAGGACTAAGATTAACAGACACGGGTAATAGACATAATAATACTAAGCAGTTGTCTGGGAAGCCTGTGGGATACCAGGTTGTAAACAGAAACAAAGAACAGTAACAATGTCATCTAACATGCTTGAAAATTAAGAGCATTACAATTTTTAGAGGAGAGGACGGGACGCTTTATCATTGTTTAAGTGTGTAATAATAATCATTATAAGAATGTGCTGAATTGTTAACAAATATATGTTTTAAAAACAATATGAAAAGTACAAACACATGTTTTAAAAGAACGTCAATGCATGGTGGGGGGGGGGCAGGGGCCCTCAACCCCCTTGTATATTTTCTAGGTGTCGACGGGGAGCATAGCCTCCGCCCAAAAAAAACAGAGGGAGTCAATATGCCGGAGCCCCCCCCCCCCCCTTTTGCTAGAAATATTCAACGAACTTTAAACACTCTAAAGTACAAAACAATGAAAAATAACAACACTATTAACCAAGAGTAAGGAGATCACAGTAGCTACACGCTTTACTGCAGGTCCGAAAGTCTTTGGTTTGAATCCGCACCGAGGCAGATTCATTTACAGTCATTGACTTGGCTCCCAAGTTAGCCTAAAATGTCTACCGGAAAATGTTTATGGAAGTAACAGAATACACAGCACAGCAGAAATGGTAGGACTAAGAATAAATAAATACAAGGAAAACTAAGATCATGACAAACTTTAAACCAACAACCAGTGACCATAAATAACGATAACCAAGAGAAGATGGAAATGACTTGGCCACGGTGTGAAAATGAACCCTAAAATACCTGCCAAAACAGCTCTCACTTGGAGACCAGATGGTAAGAGAAAGAAAGGGCGCCCAAAAACAACATGGAGACGAACGATGGACAGTGAACTGACATGGAAAACTGCACTGAAGATTGCACAGGACAGGCAAGCATGGAAAGCCTCGTGTGCCACTAGGTATAAAGAGAACTGATGATGATGACTGAAGGCTCAAGCTTTTTGGGGAGGCAGTAGGTTCATTCTTGTTTTCCCCGTACTGAAGCCCCAGGACTCATACGGGAATACTTCTTGAGGTATGACTCTTTCCCGTGTGGGTTCCAGGGCTCAGTTGTGTTTAATTTTGAATCGACATCACAGCACCCGGGACATCCCAATAAGCGCTCTGTCCCCATATTCAGCAGTAAGCGAAAAGTTCCAATTTCGACGGCACCAGCAACTGATTGATTGTATATCGGACTTGCCTCCACACTGAGTGTTGAGCGCTGGCAGATCCCCTTGTAACTCCTCGCAGCGCCATTCTTCCCACACCGTTAAGATCTATTTGTATCTCCGCACTGTTCAATTGCTCAGATAAAAAGCCCTCACAACATCCAATCTGTCATACATCAGTTCACCACCAAACGGCGCAGAACCGGCCAGTCTATCAATTCTGTTTAAAAAAAAAAGATATGACCCAGTAAGGGCCGTCTTAACAGCGTTCACTGGGCTAATCACAACAACCACCTACAATAACGAAATTGTTATTTGTTTGTATGTTTATTCGACGGATGTCCGGCTCTCTAGCGTAGTTTGCTAAACCGGATTGCGCGGTGACCGGGTGACGAACTCCTTGTGGTCCGGGTTCACTCCCAGGGATAGGCAGAAAAGCCACATTTCTCCCAGATTTACGGTATTTACAATGGAATCAAGGCCGAAAAGGTTGCGACGATATCCATAATACCGAGCCTAAGGGTTAACAACTCATGGCCTCTGGATACTAAAACACAAAAAATTCGACGGATCAACATCATGGCACACGGATGTAACCCATTAGTGCTCCGTCCTAATTCTAATTCAAGTCTGAGTCTGAACAACCTCAGCGCAGTGCACGAACTCCGTTTTACTGGCGAGGATGCTGAAATACTTTGGGTAGAATTTTTGCTCCAAATTGTGCCCGGGTAATGCCGTTAGGCTGATCTATCTTTTTTATTTCCAACTGCTAAAGAATTTTTTCCATGCAAAGAATACACACGGGCGTCCGTTCTTATACACGGGCGTCCGATCTTACTACACAGAGACCAGGGGAAATTATTAGAAGTCCAAGTAAAATAAAAAAGCAGAAACTCCTTCACCGGGGCTTGAACCCGGGACATCCAGCTCTCGAGGCGGACACCATACATAGAGACCACTAAGCCCTCCGACATATTTATTTATGGCAAGTCACTTGACGTGTACATATTAGCATGGGCCCGCTTTGCTGGGGGAAGGGGGGGGGGAGCTCCCAGAAAAGTACCCTGTAGGCCCATGTGTAAAGACGGGAATCCGTTATTGAGTCCGCACTCCCTCCCCCTATTATGAGGCAACAGCCTTAACACGGTTTTGAATTATACTTCTCGTCCTTTTCAGGATGAAATTTTTCGTTGTTTGAAGCCCTACTCTGGCTTTTGCCAGGGGCCGCAATATAGCCAGGCCATAAATATGGCCTAAAGGCTGAACGCGGTTTCTGGGACCTCTCCACGGTGATCCTCGCCCACATGGTGGCACTTTGTGTCATCGGGTGTTTGTCGCTTGTGTGATGTCCAAGTGGTGTAGAAAGTCAGTCAGTCACGGTTTTTAAGGACATGCTTCTATCAAAGGTGATACCAAGGCACTTCTGTCTGCATTTTTTTTTTATTGAATCTAGTATTAATTCGGCTATCCTCCGAATAACGGTCACATATTATGGCGGCCAAAAACAGGGCCTCAGTCACATGTAAATTGCGAACTTCCGCAGCAGCTTCCGCATCTCCTGCAGCTTTGCTCGTGAGTCCCAGCCATCTAATTTACCCGTCTCCGCGGAAGATACTCTCGGCGCTGGCGGTAGTCGCCGGAAGTCAGCAATTTAAGCCGCCGGAAGTCAGCAATTTACATGTGAATGAGGCCCCATCAGGGTGTATTTTTGGCCGCCATAATATGTGGCCGTTATTCGGAGGATAGCCATTAACTCTAATGCTTATGACATCAGCTGTGACAATCATGTTGTCCAGAGAATACCATAAAACAGTCGCCCTTTCTGGATGGATGACAGAACCGGTTTCTGCAAACCATCCAGTCACTTTGTCTACTGTTGCCAGTAGCTCTTGATACATCTGTTGCCAATCGCCTTTGCTTGTTTTCAAGAACATCGTCTGCGAATGTATGCATACCAGCACCCTCAGCTTCTAGTTCTGCAGTCTTGCTTGTATATATATTTAAGAGCATTGGTGAAGTTGCAGAACCCGGTGGTACTCACTGGGAGATACTGCACTGTTCTGAAGTCCATGTACCAAGGCGAAGGGCAACAATACATTAATGCAGCACAACTGCTATCCAGTTCACCAATATAAGACAGACCCCTTTCTCTACGAGAGCAGACATCAAAATATAACATCTGAGTTTTCCCTGTAACAAGTTCATGAAATATGGTACACAGACAGGCCAGCTGAGAAGTGCATTTGTTTCATCGTTGTTCAGGGCTGTACTATATATAGCAAGTAAGCACGCTCAGTCTACACCACTCCTTTCTAGGAAAACACTACACGTTTGGACTCATGCGCTTCTTCTGTTGTGGAGAAAGTTTCTGGAACAAAAATGGATATATTTTCCCTCTGTTTGACTCTCTGTGTGGTACGTATGTGTACGTAAATATAACATACACATTAAATGTGTAATTTAGTCCTGTACACCATGACTTTTACTGTTTTACGATTGGTTACAGTGCTTTTCCGAAGCTGTTTTCCAAAATGTGCAGGGAAAAGCTTACATAATGTTTACAGTGAGCAGATGTGAAGTTCTGGAAATCATTTTCAGGTCAAGGCTGCAATAGAATTATATCTGAAATTTCCTGCAATCACGTGGTTAATTTTTCTGTCTCGGCAAGTGTGCCAAACAGAAGCATTTATTAAAAAACATTTTGTAGCAGGGTGTTCTAACTTTAGTTTAGTGCCTTGCAACTTTGAGATTATGTGATCAATTCTCTTCCCACCTGACGTCAACAATTTCCCTTTTCAATTTTTCCACGCTCTTTTCTCGGTTTTTCTTTGCTTTCTGTATTTGTACGTTTCTATTTCTCACTATATGCCTTATTCTGCCTGTCTTTATCCTTCTCGTTGTCTTTCTGTCCACATCTCTTTTGCTAAAGGTTCTTTACTAGGGAACTAAATGTTCCAGTACTCGGCACGAAGTGTCTATGACAGTAGAAAAAAAATATGCATAAAATAGGTGCCATTATTGTGTAACTTTGCGCAGCGCACGGGAAATAAATCTATGCTTTCTCCTCCTCTTGTTTTTTCTCCTCGTCTTCCTCTCTTCCCACATCTTGCTGTTCACATTTCTTTACCGACCCCCACCCCAAATGTCTTTGTTCTTGTCGTTGTCCTTTATCCCGTCTCTTCATTGTCCGTCAGCTGTTGCTGTCCTCCTCTTCTTCGTCAGTCTTCTTCTTCATTTGTCTTTTTCTTCTTCAATCGTCTTCTTCTTTTTCCTCCACCACCTGCTTCTCCCCCTTTTCTTCTTCTTCCCAGTCTTCTTCTCCTCTCTCCTTTCCCCGTCAGCTGTTCCAAAGTGTGACCCAGTTTGCCATCTCTAACACCATGTGAACCTTACAATAAAAACCATTGGCTAACATGTGAGAGACAGATGTCGTTTTCAGATGTGTGGCAGACATCCCGGAAACGAATCGATTCATTAAAAGGCAATATTTTCTTTTGCTGGAATCACTTGGTAAAAGGTTAAGAGGGAAGCTCATAAACAAAGGGGAAATAAACGTAGAAGCGAAAGATTTCGACAATTGTATGAGCGTCCTCCATATAGACAAAATACTCAATGTACAATAATTGTCTTTTTCTTCTTCTTCCGCTTCTTTTTCGTTTGCACAGTCCTGCATTGCCTTTCAGCGCCAGGTTTAAGGCATCGGCTGAGAGCTTGCTATGTGCTAGGTAGATACCGGTATCTACGGCCTCGGCCATTCCATCTTTCCATCTCTTGATGACCGACCTCTAGATCCACAAATGCCTGCTAAAACCATAATCATTCAACAAATACTGCGGTTAGTTTACGACGTTGTGCAACTGATATAAAATGAATGTTTTTAAAAGTTAGAATTTACCTCCAAATGAAGGACAGCACAAATGCAACTCTAACACCGTTTCCCAATTTCGTTGCAGACTGCATTTCCGTTAATATTTTAATGCAGTGGTTCTCAACCTTTCAGTCTAACCCCTTTGGGGGGGGGGGGGAGTCGAACGACCCTTTTACATAAGTCGCTTAAGACCATCAGAAAACACACAATTCATTGAAGTTATGAAATAGCAACGAAAAAGTTTTATGGTTGGGGGGTCACCACAACACGAGGAATTGTATTAAAGGGTCACGGCAGTAGGAAGATTGAGAAGCACTGTTTCAGCAAAATACCACTTGATTCACTAACTTACCTTATCTGTTTTTAGATTTCAGACGCAGAATTGTTTGAGAGCACTGGCAAGGCATTGTCAGCTTTTAAATGCTTAAACATAAATGGAACTCTAAATTATATAGTTTAGAACCAAGCTACGCATTTTCAATTCTAAATGTTATTTCAGTTTTAACATATGTTAGTGAAAGTTGATGAAACAATAAATGCTATGAAATTAAAGTTAAATGTATTTGAAAACAAACGCTAGAGAAAAGCGATGAACATAAAATGCGATGAATTGAGAGAAGTAAAGAAAAAAGCGAAATGTCTGGGCAACCACCAGTATCAACAGTTAAAAGACACAGAAGATGTCGCTATACTGGACACACTCTAAGAAATGACGATTAGAGAATCACCAAACAGGCACTGTCTATCCATTCATCTATTTATGAAAAACACAACAAAAATATATAGACAGTGCTTTATTAATATCCTACCCCAAACAGGGGAAATCCACAGGTCACCGAACAGTCTAATATTTCAGGGGGTGGTAGATAGGCTGCATGCAGTTGTGGGATCTAGGCTGCATGCATTCGTGGGACCCAGGCTGCACTCTCTCGTGGGACGTAGGTGGGTTGGGGTTAGGACCAGTTGTAGGTGTTTTGGGGCAAGTAGCATCAGAAAGCGGAGAAACCCAGTCTTACCACCCTCTAAAATGTTGGACTGTCCTGTAACCTCATCTGAGGTAAGATATAAGTAAAGAACCATATAGACCACGTTCAACCTACTGCGAGCAGTATGAGTTATAGTTGCGGTCTGGCTTATTTGTGCCAATTGTGTTGGCTAAGAAATGTTAATTGCACAAAAACTAGTGGCTTGTACCGGTACTCTAGTACCTAGTGAGGGTTGTTGGGGTGAGGAAGGTTGGTTCAGGGTCCCCTTTAACAAAGAAAAGAATAGACCAACTGTCCTCCTATAAGCATGTCGTAAAAGGCGACTAATTTCGAGTTTTCAGTCGAAGTGTATTTGTCTGAATTCTAGAAAGAGATTCTAGTATCTTCAGCAGAAAAAAAGCATACAACAATTTTTCGTCTACGAACAAGCCACTACAGGCTCAGCTAGCACATGCATAAAAGAAAGACTGTACAGTCACCACAGTGTGCCTGTCTGAAAGGGCCACAAACACCTCAGCACATTCTGCAGACCTGCCCACTCTACCTACAACTACGAAAACAAACCTGGCTCCAAAAGCAAAGTGTGCAGAGCAAGCTATAGAGAACCATGAAGGACCTGCAGTTGACATACGAGTTCACAGAGGCAACCCACCTGTTGGTCTGAAACAGAACGCAAAAAGAAAAGAACAGGAAAACAACAGGGTGATAAAAATAGTTTGTATATTTAATTTTCACCTAAATTGAAATGATGAAAATGGATTCGCGTGGAATGCTATAACATAATAATGTCAGATGTCCATTGCGTCCACAGCTGTCAACAGTAACATTATCCATGCCACAGAAAGCTGCTCCCCCTGTTAATTTGGGACGACCGTTTGAAAAATTCACAAATCAAACCTTGGACGAAATCATAACTGGTGCTATGGGAGGGGTAGATGGTTAGTACTGCTTCGTTTGTGATGTCACTAAATAGTGTAGTTTATTGATCCACGGAATAAATAGATGTGTATAATTTAAACCACTGGTCTCATTGGGAGATTTTAAGAGATGCGTCAAGCAAATCTAAAATTGAGCGCACTCGTATTTGAAACATTTCGTTTTATTATTTTTCACCATAATTATAAATAAAATTACAAAATTGTCTTTAACTTCGTATACAACAAAAAGCCATGGACAATTTTGGGGGATTTTCGTAAGTAGTTTCTATACCTACAGTTAGAAAGCTAATTAATATGTTAACATAGGCATTTATAGGTTAAGAACACATTTTGACCAAAACAGATCTACTATCGGTCTTCCTTGTTGCTGGATACTGTGTCCTCTTTTTTTTTTAAATCCTTTTTTGTGTGTGCAAGGAAACAAAGAATATACACACTACCTCCCCAGCTAGCATGTCGTAAGAGTCGACTGACTAGGGACTTCCTTTGAAGTCGGAGTGCATCTGTCTGAGAGGCGAGGAACCAACAATCTGCATACAAATAAGTCGGATCTATAAAACAGATGTGCACGCAACACTCAGGTTCTGGAACAAGATTAATGTCCAGAGGTGGACGAACAACCAGAACTTTCCGCTAGAGTTTACAGCCGGGGAACGCGAAGAAGAAGAAAAAGAAATCCCATTTTGTGTTGGTAGGGGAGGGGCCTTGTGTAAAAGGAGGGGGCATGGGGGCGGGGGTCTTGCCATATTCAAGGAGTGGGGGTGACGTAAAACAGGCTGTAAACCACTGGTTTAAACGAATCTGCGGAAGAAGAAGTTTAAACGAATCTGCTGTAAACCAGCTACAAATGTTGCAGTTTGGGTGTCAAGTCTCAAACTTTCACACAATCCAAGCAAAGAACTAATATCTACCGCTGTATATGGGAGTGAGAGTAGGAAAGGGGTTAGAAAGGCGCAGATATCGCAGCTTGAAAAACGTCGTTTTAAGAAATTGCTTTGTTGCATTGGACGTTTATCCCCGAATCCAGTTTGCTATCTTCGGTGAATGTTGTTCCCAGATATTTCATTTTCTTCTTCTTGTTCAACGGCTGTAAACCCCAGCAGAAAGTTCTGGTTGTTCGTCCACCTACCTCTGGACTTTGGTCTTGTTGCATGCACATCCGTTTTACATATCTTTAAAACAGATACCCTTCTAACAGAACACGTCATTGAAACAGAACAAAAAAGGTTGAAAAAGATTAGTATGCAGCTTGACTGACTACTTGACAGTCAACAGCACCAGGACCGCTCAACGAGCGATAAACAACTTGTGACCCAAAGTGCCACAATTCGTACAGGAACCACGTGGGGATAAGTTCCAGAAACCCAGCTTAACATTTAGGTTATGTTAAGTCCACCGGCTACAGCCGGGGCGAGGCTTTAAAAAGACAAAAAAATTGCGTCCAATGTTGGGACGAAGAGAGTAATTTAGAAATAAGACAGCATGCAACTTTCACGGAAAGAAAAACTGTGCTTTATTAATATCCTACCCCCAGATGGCTTCACAGGACAGTCCAACATTTTAGAGGGTGGTAAGACTGTGTTTCCCGGCTTTCTGATGGTTTTAACGACCCAAAACATCTAGAACTGGCCTTAATCCCAACCCACCTACGTCCCATGAGAGAGTGCAGCCTAGGTCCCCCGACTGCATGCGGCCTATCTACCACCCCCTGAAATATTAGACTGTCCCGTGTTCTGTGAATTTTTCCTGTTTGGGGTAGGATATTAACAAAGCACCAGAAAAACTTGTTGTTGCCCGATTTGATAATACTGTTCATTGCTTTATCTTAGACAAGGCTACAGCAGATGTTTGACTGTTATATAACTGCTGCCACAAACGCCAAGATCTGTTGTTCAAATCTCGCACATTGTATTTATAGATAATATCGCAGTCTATTTCGTCCTGTGTGCATCAGAAAAATAATAACCAGATCTTTCCCGGCTAGATTATGAAACACGCAGCTTTCACGTGCGTGCGTCATGTGATCTAGGTGTTTATTTTTGCCGACTCAAACGGGGGGTATAGAATCACCAAACAAGTACTGAAATGATAAACAAATGGATTGAGGAAATAAAGACGCCTAAGAAAAACATTAAGACCAACTATGTTCAGAGTGGTAAAGGGGGATGAACTCCATTATATGGAACTAAATTACACAGGATACAGTGGATATCTGGGGTGTTGGTATATCCCTCCACACTCAATGTGTTTTTTTATTTAAAAATAAATACGTACGGCGTCTTAAGAGTTAGCGTGTTACAAATTTTCAGTCAATGTGGAGGAACAGCCTATAAAGGAACAGACTGTCTTTCCCTGATAGGAAAACCGTAAGTGATTTTTAAACGGCACAAAAATATGGTGATGATGATAATTATTCCACCGATGAAAGAATGCATAGATGAACAGGTGTTCGTGTGGACTGATGTAATTTAAAAATGAACTGGATGTAAACTGTGAGATACCATCTAAAGAGGAAATTAGGAAAGCTATCAATTTTCTGAAGGAAGGAGAGGCGGCAGGTCCAGACGGAATTGCAACAGAAGTTATTATGGCCAATATAAACACATCAACGGAGTTGGTATATAGATTATTTAGTAAAGTCTTAGAGACCGAAGAAATACCAGCAGACTGGAGATAAAGATATTACAGTTACCAGTAACGTGAACTTCTTCTTCTTTGCGTTCACCAGCTGTACACTCTGGCGGAAAGTTCTGGTTGCTCGCCCATTACTGAACTGCAGTCCTGCTCCAGAACCTGAGTGTTGCGTGTGCATCAGTTTTACAGATCTCATTCTCTTAAATACAGACTGTTGGTCCCTTGCCTCTCCGGCAGATGCGTTCCGACTTCAAAGGAAGCTCCCCAATTAGTCGACTCTTACGACATGCTTTTGGGGAGGCAGTGGGTCAATTCTTGTTTTCCCCATAATGGGGCCCCAGAACCCACACGGGGGGTAACGTGAACTGTTATTACAGTAACCAGCAACATGAACTGTTACTACAGTAACATGAACTGCTATTACGGTAACCAGTAACATGAACTGTTATTACGGTAACCTGTAACATGAACTGTTATTACAGTAACCAGTAACAGGAACTGTTATTACGGTAACCTGTAACATGAACTGTTATTACAGTAACCAGCAACATAACCTGTTATTACAGTAACCAGTAACAGGAACTGTTATTACGGTAACCTGTAACATGAACTGTTATTACGGTAATCTGTAACATGAACTGTTATTACAGTAACCAGCAACATAACCTGTTATTACAGTAACCAGTAACATGAACTGTTATTACGGTAACACAAACTGTTATTACAGTAACATGAACTGTTATTACAGTAACATGAACTGTTATTACAGTACTCAGGAACATAAACTGTTATTATGGTAACCATTAACATGAACTGTTATTACAGTAATCTGTAGCATAACTCTGGTATTACAGTACCCAGCAATATGACTTTTACTACAATGGCTAACAACACGATTCTAACCAGTGACTTGATTCTGTTATTGCAGGTAGTTTGTTAGTCATTTTTTTTTTTTTATTGAGCATAGTGCGGCGCATAGGGCAGAGGTCATAGCTCTCCATATCTGGCGATTCGTTGTCTCCTCTTTTAGGTTTTTGATGTTTATTAGGCCGATTTTCCTTGTGATTGATCTGACGCATGGTCTCTCTTGATCTTTTCTGTTTTCTTTTCCCTTCTGGAGTCCATATGAGGGCTTGATGGGACAGTCTTGTTATTACAGTAGTCAGTAAAACAATTCTGGAATTATATTGGTTAGTAAAGTAATTCAGGTATTATAGTGGTCAGTAAGATAATTCTGGTATTATACTGGTTGGTAAAGTAATTCAGGTATTACAGTAGTCAGTGAGATAATTCTGGTATTATACTGGCTGGTAAAGTAATTTAGGTAATACAGTGGTTAGTGAGATAATTCTGGTATTATACTGGTTGGTAAAGTAATTCAGGTTTTACAGTTACAGTAATTCTGGTCAGGTTGGTAAAGTATTTCAGGTATAATTCTGGATAATTATACTGGGTTAATTCAGTATTACAGTGGTCAGTAATTTTGGTATTATACTGGTTAGTAAAGTAATTCAGGTATTACAGTGGTATTACAGTACTGGTCAGTGAGTATTAATTCAGTGGATATATTATACTGGTTGGTAAAGTAGGTTAGTGAGATAATTCTGGTATTATACTGGCTGGTAAAGTAATTCTGGTATTTTACTGTTTGCTAAAGTATGTCAGGTATTACAGTGGTTAGTGAAATAATGCTGGTATTATACTGGTTAGTAAAGTTAATCTGGTATTACAGTGGTCAGTGAGATAATTTTGGTATTATAGTGGTTGGTAAAGCAATTCGGATATTACAGTAGTCAGTGGGATGATTATATTACAATGGTCAGTGAGATAATTCTATTACAATGGTCAGTGAGATAATTCTATTACAGTGGTCAGTGAGATAATTCTATTACAGTGGCCAGTGAGATAATTATATTACAATGGTCAGTGAGATAATTCTATTACAATGGTCAGTGAGATAATTATATTACAATGGTCAGTGAGATAATTCTATTACAGTGGTCAGTGAGATAATTCTATTACAGTGGTCAGTGGGATAATTATATTACAATGGTCAGTGAGATAATTATATTACAATGGTCAGTGAGATAATTCTATTACAATGGTCAGTGAGATAATTATATTACAATGGTCAGTGAGATAATTCTATTATAGTGGTCAGTGAGATAATTCTATTACAATGGTCAGTGAGATAATTATATTACAATGGTCAGTGAGATAATTATATTACAATGGTCAGTGAGATAATTCTATTACAGTGGTCAGTGAGATAATTCTATTACAGTGGCCAGCAACATGATCCTGGCGGACAACGGACACATTCTCGCCGAGCTGGACATGTACCTCACCAAGGAGCAGTTTCTGGGCATGTACCAGCCTCCAAAACCAGAGTGAGTATGTGTATAGTGACCGCTCTTTTTCGTGTTCATGAGATGATTTTTCGTCCGCTTCTGTGAGTATTGGGAGTTATACTTCATGAGGCGCGGTGGTTATAGTGCTGGATTATCAAGCGGGAGACCCGGCTTCGATCCTCAGGAAGGGATGATTTTTTTTGGTCAGTCCAGGGCAGACACAAAAATCAATCTTAACTTGCATAGTTAACCTTATATCTCATGCGACACATGAAGACATGAAAGTAGAGACATCAAGAGGTAGCTGACAACCAAGCAGGAGATGGACTAAAGGAGTCACTGATATCTTAAGATTCCACAACATCACAGCACACCAGGAAACCGAGCATGCCCTAGCTAGGAAACCGAGCATCTGTTAACCTGCGACGCCCAGCGGTACAAAGCAGAAAATGGACAAAAGCTATATTAAGTCCTGGGAGTACAGCTGACCACATCAGCCACCGAGTGCCCACTGGTCTAGACAATATAGATTCCCATATGGCTCGGTCTCTCTCCTACAGACCGGCTAGCCGCCTGCAGAGAGTATTGCACAAAGCACGAACACAGTAGCTCCGGCGACGACTCCCATGGACCTACGTAAAAACTTTTCACGTGAACCGAATGACGCAGCGGTGAAACAAACCCACGACCTTTTAAGCGCGAGGCAAATCGCTTAACCACTTCGCCTCAGAGCTTCCAGGATCCATGAAGCGAGTCTAAAGATCAACTCAGCACTCCTTATTGTATTATCCCCTGCATTTAATTCTCTGTTTCGGGTATTTTTAGTTCAAACTTATCTGTTTATAGTTATCAAAACATAGAACGTGATTAGTAATCGAATAGGAAACAGTAAACCTAACAACCCACATCTCACATGCCACCAAAATATACCACTTTGCTCCCGCATCTCGAGTGGTTACTGAATGTTGAGGTGTGCTCTAAGTTTCTGGTCACTTGAGCTCATTTACGTTGTTTTCTTTGCAACACTGCAACCATTGAACACACTCTTTAGATATTCTTAGTTTTTTTCTGCGTCCAATTTCCTATACTGTACTAGAGTACAGCGCACGACACGATATATGTGCCCACTTTGCTCAGAGCACACCTTGTAGGGAATTCACTAGGGGCAGTCCCCGGTGTGGGTTCCGAGGCCCCATTGTGGGGAAAACAAGAATAGACCCACTGCCTCCCCAAAAGCATGTCGTAAGAGTCGACTAATTGGGGAGCTTCCTTTGAAGTCGGAGTGCATCTGCCGGAGAGGCAAGAAACCAAGAGTCTGTATTCAAGAGAATGAGATCTGTAAAACTGATGCACACGCAACACTCAGGTTCTGGAGCAGGACTGCAGTTCAGTAGTGGACGAGCAACCAGAACCTTCCGCCAGAGTTTACTGCTGGTGAACGCGAAGAAGAAGACTAGGGGCAGTGGTGCAATGCTGATGCTGATATTGATGATAGTGCGATGTTACAACTTGAATTAGCCATAGAGATTCAATGTCGAATGATAGCGATGTTCCTAGGTGGGTTCTGGGGCCACCATTTTGTTGGGGGAGGAGGGGGAGGGGGAGAAATAGACACATTCCCCCCGAAAAAAAGCATGTCTTAAAGATCGACCAGTTAGGAGTGTTTCTTTCGAGGTCTGAGTTCTGCCTGAGAGGCGAGGAACCAACAGTCTGCATACAATTAAGCGGGATCTGTAAAACGGATGTGCAAGCAAATCTCAAGTTCTGAAAGAAAATCAAAGACCAGAAATAGGCGAATAGCCAGAAATATTCACAGAAGTGTAAAGCCGATGAACGCTAAGAAGAAGAAGAAGAAGAAGAAGAAGAAGAAGAAGAAGAAGAAGAAGAAGAAGAAGAAGAAGAAGAAGAAGAAGAAGAAGAAGAAGAAGAAGAAGAAGAAGAAGAAGAAGAAGAAGAAGCGAAGAAGAAGAAGAAGAAGAAGAAGAAGAAGAAGAAGAAGAAGAAGAAGAAGAAAAAGAAGAAGAAGAAGAAGAAGAAGAAGAAGAAGAAGAAGAAGAAGAAAAAGAAAAAGAAAGAAAAAAAAAGAAGAATGATACCAATGTAAAGATAATCCCTGAGAGATTAAACCTCTTTTGCACGGTGAACACCTAAAACAATCACCAATGAACTATTTGTTTAACTGCTGTCTGTATACAAAACGGAATTAAATGGTACAATAGAATATATACTATTTATTGACCGTCCTTTTTAGGATGACATTTTTCGTTATTTGAAGCCCAACCCTGGCTATTGCCGGGGGCCGCAATACAGCCCGGCCATAAATATGGCCTAATGGCTAAAAGCGATTTCTGGGACCTCTCCACGGTGATCCTCATCCACATGGTGGCACATTGTGTCATCGGGTGTTTATCGCTTGTGTGATGCCCTGGTGGGGTAGAAAGTCAGTCAGTCAGTCGGTATTATAGAATCACACATGTAAAGTACCTGTTCCCTGTGTGGGTTCAGGGGCCCTATTATAGTGAAAAAAAGACCCACTGCCTATCCAAAAGCATGTCATAAGAGTCGACTAATTAGGAGCTTTCTTCGAAGTTGGAGTGCATATGACTGAGAGTCAAGTAACCAGCAGTCTGCATACAAATAAGTCAGATCTGTAAAACGGATGCACACGTAACACCCAGGTTATGGACCAGGACTCCAAAACACGAAGAAGAAGAAGAGAAATGCCTGAGAAAAGCCGTCAGCTTAATCATCCGAGACAAAGTTAGAAAAGATATTATCAGAAAGACTGTGGGAGCATTATCATGCAACAAATTCATTGAAAAACAAAGATGTAAGATCATCTAGTAAGAATGCAGCCAGAACAACTACCAAGGCAGGCGCTACACATGAAAAGATCTGAAGTGAAATCAAGAGGCCGTCCTAGGAGAACATGGACTGATGACATTAAACAGCTTCTACATCGACAAGGAATGATAATAGCCATTTAGCTGCCCATCAAGCAATTGATCGCAAACTGTACCTCCTCACGTCGCTTAACGACAGAAGTGGAAATGGATGATAATGATGACAAAGAATAGAACCACAAATGTAGCTTTCTGGGAGAGGAATAAAAAAAATTCATGTGAATAAAGCTGTAATGAAAGACGCTGGTGCTGAATACTACACATGTTAAGAAAAGCGAATAATATAAATAGATTGTCTTTGCACAGAAAGTTCCCAAGCCAGGCAATACGTCAAGATCTTGAAAACCCAGCCCTTACAAACTTGAGTGGATCAATCACAGTTACTATAGCTTGGATATAACCAGACAATACGTCAAGATCTTGAAAACCCAGCCCGTACAAACTTGAGTGGATCAATCACAGTTACTATAGTTTGGACATAACCAGAAAATACGTCAAGATCTTGAAAACCCAGCCCGTACAAACTTGAGTGGATCAATCACAGTTACTATAGTTTGGACATAACCAGAAAATACCGTCAAGATCTTGAAAACCCAGCCCGTACAAACTTGAGTGGATAACCTATCTGCAATAGTCGGCAATGCAAGGATTATCGCATGCACCCAATCGGGGTGTTTCTTGTACATCCCAGGATCATCCACATAGCTTCATTCTGTATGCGCTCCAGTTTCTCTAGCTGACTCTTCGAGACAGTGAGTAACCCCAATCCATAATCAATAACTAAGGTGATTAAGTGCTGGTAAAGTTTGAACAGCATTATCTGCTCCATGTCCTTAGCTGCCATAATCTTTAGTACATTAGGACCTTTTTGAACCCTTGTCACAACCCCCTCTACGTAATCCTTGAAAGACAAACTTATGTCAAAAGTGATTTCTATGTATCGCAGTCTGCTGTCTCTTTTGATGTCCCTGCCATTTATTTTGAGTCTAGGAACATCAGCTCTAACAATCCTGTTGTCCAGAAAACACTGCACGACGGTTGCCTTTTCTGGGTTGATTACAGCACTCATCTTTGTACACCAGTCGATCACCTTATCTACTGTCGTCTGTAACTCTTCAGGTATTTGATTCTGATCTCTCTCCTTCCTATATACAGGAACATCATCTGCACAAGTCAATATGCTGCTATAATACAAGGTTCAGAGGTCCATGAATCCAGGCGGAAAGCTACCCGGCAAGTATACATAACGGCTGCTATTGAAGAAAAAGAAGAAGCAGAAGAAGAAGAAGAAGAAGAAGAAGAAGAAGAAGAAGAAGAAGAAGAAGAAGAAGAAGAAGAAGAAGAAGAAGATAACCAGGGGCAGAAAGGACACGTGCCAAAACATTAATTATAACTGATTTCTTTAGGGATATGATAAAAATGGGCATGATGCCAGCCCCCATTGGAGCTCCGCCCATGAACGATGGACATGTACAGGATTTCACGGAGGACTTGAAGGGTAACGGAGTCAGGCAGAAAAGAAAGGCAACAAGGAATGTCCGACTACGGTGGACTTACGCTGAAATCCCCTATCTGTTCGCCAAGGGACACTTTGGTAAGTAAAAGTCAACATTGTAAAGACCCTTCATGTATATTATGCTAGTACTGTAATTTGTCTTAGTAGAGGTTTGGGAGTCGCCGTGGCGATGGCGGCTGGACGCCCGCCTGTTGATCGCGAGGTCGTGGGTTCGGGTCCTTACGGAGCTGGACTTTTTTCAAAAAAATGACCTTGACTCCCAGGTCGACCCTGCCGTGAGTGGGTACCAGATGCAGTTCTGGGAAGTAAATGTGGCCGGCGTGATGCCCATCAAGCGCCGATTGATCTATAAATTATATGTCTAGCCCTATATGCCCAATACGCCTAAAGGCGTGGAATAGCGTCCGTTACTTAGTCGAGGTTTGAACGGCACTGTAATCGGGGTTCCCCACACTTGCTCCGCTCCAGTGCCAATGCAAATCCACGCCCATCTTTAGACTATAAATATAGCTTCAGAAGGGTGTGTTCAAATCAAATGAAATATCCCTTACTTTCACATTTAAAAAACTGTTGAACACACAATGAGTCCCTACATAATCAAGAAATGTGCGCACGCAGTAAATGCATATGGCAGTGTCTAGAGGTGCCAAAGCCAACAGTCGCCACTAGATACGCAGTATGTCGTTAATGGAAGAAGTCGGGTACGATAAGTTGACTAGACACACGTGGAACTACAGCATAAGGTATTTCACAAGCTCAGTAGTGTTGCTGCCGGGGGCCCTGAATATAGCCGGAGCATATAAATGGCATAGCCATAGATATGGCCTAACGGCTGAAAGGGGTTTCTGGGACCTCTCAACGGATGATCCTCATCCGCATGGTGGCACTTTGTGTCATCGGGTGTTTATCGCTTGTGTGATGTCCTGGTGGGGTACAACTACCTACATACTTACCTACCTACCTACCTACCTACCTACCTACCTACCTACCTACCTACCTACCTACCTACCTACCATGAACGCTTACGCGATCTGGAAAGGCACACAAAATGATAACGGAGTCGGCTTCACAACTAGGGCTGCTAAAATGTTTTGGTACATAGTGCCAAATGTTCTTTGAAAAGGTACCAAATTAGTAAGAAAGTACCAACTTCGATAGCCCTGTTAACAGCCCATAATTTGCAAGATAGATATTCAATTTGCACACAAAGGTCTGACCTATTTTTGATGACAGTTAAACAGTAGCAAGCGTATAACATTTAAAATATTTAATAACAAAAGTCAGTGGTCAAAGTCATTTTGGTTATTTGTTTCTGTACTCACGACCAACCGCAGACCAGAAAGAGGAATACTTGATGAGGAGGTCAATGACTGAATGGGAGAGGTATACTTGTC